CAAAAGAAAGAAATGGATCGCTTCTTTCAAAAAGGTAATACACTTCGCAAGCAATTAGAAAGTATTTTTACGACATTTTTGACTAATTTAAGAAAAATAAAATTTTGGGTTGTATGGAAGTATTTCCAAGGGTCTAATGACAGGAAATTCGCCAAGTTCCTAAATTGCAACAAGGAGTTTAAGACCAGTGGAAACACTTCAAACTTGCATGACCATTTTGCAGGAAACCCCAAAAAGATGGAACAGCTTTCTCATTATGATACAGAGAATATTAGCAACTCATGAATCCATTGCTAGTGTGTTATTATCCACCATAAATGCACCGCTACCATTTACTGCCGAGGAAATAATTGTTTTGAAAGATTTAGAAAAAATATTGTAATTTTTTAAGAAAGTTGGGAAATATGTGACAATTTCATTGATAATACCATTGGCATATGGACTTTATCGTCAAGTCGAAAATATGAAAAATGCTTTATTGGAGTCGATCAAAAAACGCCTATCTACATATGAGCAACGGACTGTAATTATGATGGCCACGATATTAGATCCGCGCTTCTTCATACAACAGAATCCAAGAAATACAAAAATTTAAATATATATTAAGAATTAAATTAATGCTTTTAGCATCGAATCAACCGTCTTTTTACACTTTTAAAAACACTCATTTGTATTACGACTATCGATGGTACTATCGACCAATATCGATGGTTTTTAATCCTTGCTTTTATTGTATTTATTGTAAAAAAAGGTTTAAACGAAAAAGTTCAACAAAAAAATGGTCACTATGTTGCGTGTAGGCCTTTGTATACCCTATTTTGTTAATTTTATTTGAAGATCCTGTTTTCCTAGCTGTTTTAAAGACGTACATTTTCACAAAATGATATATTTTAGACATTTTCATGCAAATGATTAGTATCTTGTAACCTACGGAGCGTGGGATGACAAACATTTTCTCAACTCTATCATATCCTTTTCCCCAGGGTATGCATAATGTTGCTCAATCCGCGCAATGTTGTGGAACAATGCTGCTCGATTTCACGGCACATGAGTCTGGCCCATACAAATTAAATGTTGCCAGCAACATAAACGTAAGAAAACGTAAGTGAGTATGGAATGCGACAAATATACGGTCTCCCCCTAAAAAATACCGAAAATGTGTCATATTCCTCGTTTTTGATCTTCCATCCAATATTACTAGCTAGATAGAACCCACAGCCCTGTCCACATAATTTTATTCAATTAACGAACCTATTTTCTACATGACTGGTTTATTTTAAATACTTATTTTTATAGGATCCTGTCTAAAAAAAGGTTTTAGCAAATGTACGAGAACATAAGAAAACGTTCCTATTGCTCAATTTTGATATTCCGCTGAATAATGTTGGCTAAAACCTTTAGTTCTGCCCACATATGTGTAAGCCATTGATGAAAAATTTGTGTACAAGATTGTCTAGTTTTTAGTCCTTGCTTTTAGTGGATTTTTTTAAATCAAGGCTTAAACAAATAAAGTCAAAGTACAGCATGAAACGTAAGTGTGTATGTTACGTTGCTGGTCATCAGCTATCTGCTATGGGTCATTTATATACCCTTTTTCTTTTGATAATGTCAGAGATTTGTTTTCAAAGCTGCATTAAAATGTAACTAGTAAAGACTTTTTCTTGGATAGAAATCGTTTTAACCTATTCATGCATATATATCGATCACACTGCATAATTTCGTTGAAATATCTTCTCATAATAAGATTTTATTTTGATTCAAGATGAATTTGATTCATCCAACTTTTTCAGCTACCACCACAATTCACTAAAAAGTTACATAGCTACAGAAAACAATTTCGAAACAAAATCGAACCTCGGGTCAATTGCTATTTTCAAAATAAAAGTATGTACGCGCTTCGTTCCGCTTATCGCACAAGGATATCGACATATCGACCTGTGCATATCGATGAAACATGCAAGTAAAATCAAAATTTGACAACCCTAGCCGGCACAGCCGGCCTACGAACTTATTTACGGTATATATACTTTTCGGTATATTTCGACGTCGAAATTGTAATTTTTTGAAAATGAGGCTGAATATGTCGCTCATAGTGATTCGTAATGTTGAATGGTCTATGAAGAAGGGTATAGACAAATTTGCAAGGCTGGTATGAACCTTAACTCGCTGGGGAGAAAAAGTCGGCTTTTTGTCTTCAAGATATATTAATTGAAAGGAGTGGATTTTACTTGGACTGAGTTGCATTTTCTGCACCGTTTTGCCTGTGTTCCATACCCACTTTTTCCTACCATTATGTAGCAAATATGTAGTTAGCGTGTAGTTACCACCAATTTAGTGGAAATTGTTTTTTACCGGTTTGTAATAAACCTTATTTTATAAACAATCCAGTTACCAGTCTTTAATAATCGAATAAATTTATTAGTTCAGGACTGAGAGTTTTAGCTATCTAGTAATATTCAACCGAATATCAAAAACAAGGAATATGATGCAACTTGATCACAACTAATTCGTCAGTATATTTATGGTATATTTTGAAATTTGTGACTTAGTTTCGGTATATTTCGAGGGTCAGACCGTATATTTATCCGGATTTCAGCAGTCACACAGGATGGGGGTTGTGTTTACAAAACTTACAAATACATTTGCAATTCTTGAATGATCAAAACCGAATTCAAGTTTTTCAAATACATCAAACGTTAATCAAATCAAAAAGTGCATAAAGAAAAAAAAGAGCAGCTCTCCCAGATCCAGATTCAGGCAGCGACAAGAGAATAAGCAGGTAAGTGCAAATTTAGTATACTCAGCCACACAAACATGCATATGCATACGCACTTCCCAAAAATAATGCAGAATATTGTGCCGTTTATTTGTGTGCGTGTGTGAAAACAATCTTGGTCTTGTGTGCTACGATTTGAGCAACAAATTGATTGTTTCTGTTGACCTTCACTTGGCTATAATCAAATGTATCTGCTGCCGCCTGCCTCTTGAACTCTTCCAATGGCAATGTGAGGCGGCCTCGAGCCAAAAAACAATTTCGTTAGCGATTGTAATTGTGCGGAAATGCGAGCGAAAGGGTCGAAAAAAGTGGCACAAAGCATTTTCCGTTGTCTATTCTTCGTTTTACTTTTGCGCGCGCTTTCTCTGCAAAACAGACCAACACAAGCGTGCACTCGCTCGCTCACACATACATATGCACAGAGGAGAGCGCAGTGTAATCTATTACTTAACAGTGCCCGTCTCTCTCCTTGTTTCTTGCTTACACCCACCTGCGTGTGTGTGTGTGTGTCCGAACAACCTACTTCCAATTACGCTGCTGCCCTCTAGCCACCCCTCCTGCTCCATTCTAGCAAACAGTTTTTCAAAACATTGGCAAATATAAAAAAACCCGAGTTAACATATTTACTTTCTTTTTTCCTTTATTTAATTTCGGTTTATTTTCATTTTGTGTATTACGCTATCACTGCATTTACCGGTGCAAATGCTTCTTTGTGTGCATGTATGGATGTGTTATAACTGTTAAATAGCCCGCCCCAACAACCTGTTTCAGGCTGCCGCCGCTGCTGATATTTTCACATTCTTATGAGATATTCCAATAAGACTACCTCTCGAGTTGTCTTTCACTTTCTGCCGGCGGAGAGGCCTAAAAAACAACGTAGGAAAGTTGATTTTCGTGCGTACCACACAAACGCGTTGACCTTGTTTGCCAGCACTCTGAACATGTGTATGTCATACATATGTACATATGTATGTATGTATACGCTTTCGAGTGCGTGAAATATAATAAACAAAACTTCTTTCAAGCATTTGTTTCTCTCTCTTTCCCTCTCACCACCCGCCCCCACAATGTTCTCTTGCAAGAGTCCCGTCCGCCGCTCAATTGCTGATCTACACGTTCAACTTCGCACAAGTACAGTTTTATATTCGCAATGCCCAAAGCCGAGTACTCCACCAATGCATGCGCACTCAAGCAAGTCGCAGTGCCTGTTCTCTTATGTATTTGCGTCTTGCATTTTGTTGTGATTTCAATTTTGCGGCCACTTGCTGGCATCCCAGCGCCAGGCGGGCAGCGACGACCTAGATTTTGGCCTCCTTTTTTGTTGGATTTCGGTTGTGCGTGTGCCCCAACAGGCACGTAGCACATCCACGCACACACACACACACACATGTTTTTCGGCCACTTTCGCCCCAATGTACAATAGCAACAAGAATGCGGTGCATATTCGCAGCAACAGTAAAGTGGTTACATCGACCGCAGCTGTCTGAGCGGCCACAGCGTTGCCACCAATTCTACTTACATACATACATATATACCTATTCGACCTATGCTGACAGATGCTGTATCTGTGTGTATACGTCTTGTTTGTCACGTATGACAATACCACTGTGCCCCAGCGTAGGTGTTGCAAGGGGGCCTATTATTAAATTGGGGGGGAAAAGCGTCATAATATCATACTCGACACTCAAATTCTCATATATGTATACATGCATGCAGCTGCGCTGCGGTTATTGCTTTATCAGCTCTGCTCGTATGTATTGTGCACGTTTCGCCTTTATCGGAACAATGCAAAGCCGCAAAATAAAACAATGAAAACGAAAGCAATGGCTGGCCCAGAACCAGAACCAGAACTCGGGGAGAACGAAAACAGCAGCGCAGCGTAACGAATGAACGACAAATTTCTCAATTAACATTTCGAATTTGTCAGGTGGCAACTCTGTTTACGCCTCCCGCCGAACAGTGAATGTTATGCAAATTGTTGTTTCTACTGCTCTCCCGCTTCGGCTCTCTCTCTGTATCTCTTTCTGACCGGTGCTGTCATGCTCTATCTGTATCTGTTGTATCGCTGTAAATACAACCGGAATTTTTGCTACGCGCATTCTCACGTACACACGACCACGCACTCCACATGAGTGGAAGGGAGACGGAGGGAGACACGGCTCAGCTGCTCGCTTGCGTTATCACTGCATTCGCTTTGCGCTGCCCAATCTCTCACTCGCACACACATCTTCATCATTTTGCCTTTGTGTTTCTTGCGTGCAGACGCGTTTTACCCGGAGCTCTTACCGCCGCGTATATTTTGCACTGTCCCCGGATACTATTACTAATTCCGAGCAAATCGAAGAGTACTAAAGTGTTTTGTGAAAAAAAAATAAGTGTCGCCGCATTTAGCAGAAAAACGAGCAGTTTTAGTCAGGTAAATAGTTTTTTCGTCGACAGTGAGTACGGGGTCAAGCACATAGTGGCGGGGACAGGAAGATGAGTGTTAATAATAGCAACAAGAAAATGTTTGGAAACCTGTTAATGCATTTTCACCTTCCAAAACACACACACATACAAATATTCATAGCATGTAAGCAATGAAAAAAATGCTCAACCTATGAACGCACACAAATGCTTAGCCGGTGCACACACACACGTAGATAGACGCTCACGCACTTTTGTGTCCAAACGAAAATCAGTTTTTCCAAAAACAACATCAATTACCGTGGAGAAGGAGGAAGAAGGGACCCCAGCAGCCAGCCGTATCAAAAGTCACGTCACTCGCTGCGAGTGCAGCGAGAGAGCGCGCTTTAAATTCACTGTATGAGTGTGTGTCCCTTTTTTTGCGCTGTGCTTTGTTTATGCGGCGCGCGTCCCCAAAAACTTGCACTCACACGTACAGAAGTGGTATTGCCAGGCAACAAAAAATTGCGCTTCAGTATATATGTATACATAATATGTATTATATATGTCTATTCGTGTGTGTGTTCGTCAGCGTGTGTATATGAGCGCGCGCGTGGCTTAGCTATGTATCTCACCCGCTTACTCCCATTGATCTTATTGCTGTTGAAAACATGTTTGCTAAATTTAATTAACACTGCCTCAAAAATATAATACTTATTGAATGTGTTGATAAGACATTTAATCATTTCGTGTGGAAACCGGTTGTCGAAACGGAAGCATTGTAAAAAGATTTCTCGATTGGCGTGAATTTCATTTTGAATTGGAATTGCAGTTTATGCTGTAATAAAGCGACGCAGGCCGAGCCGAGCAAAGCAGCGTTGCCAGCTGTCAACACTGCAGTGTGATCATATGTTTAACCGTTTCTAACTCGAAATTTCTTTTTAACTCTCTTGTTTAGATCGTAACGCCGACGACGACGCAGGATAAAAGGTCACAAATGCAGCAAACAACAGTTAATCGCAAGAAATGGCTGTTGGCTGTGAACGAGTCCCGAATCAGTATAAATCCAATCGTCGCCAAGAAATAACACTAACAAAATTACAGTGAATGCGCACACACACACACACACAATACACACACATATACACAAAAGCGCGCAAGGACGCACAACGAATCAACCCACCAATACGCACACAAAACATTCAGACACACACACACCAGTAAAAGACAAATGCAAACAGTGAGAAAATCGTGAGGACAACAACAAAACATTCAACAGACCCAAGAGAAAAAGGAAAGCCCCTTTTTCATTTATTCATTACCGATCAAACGAAGGAAAAAAAATGTTCAGCTTTCATAAGCCACGCGTTTACCGCTCCGCCGACGGTTGTTGCATCTGCCGGGCCAAGTCGAGCAGCTCTCGCTTCACGGCCTCCCGCAAATACGAGAAGGAGTCGGTGCTGTGCTTCAACCTACAGGAGCCGCGCAATGGCGAGATCTGCAACGCGTGCGTGCTGCTGGTGAAGCGCTTCAAGCGCCTGCCCGCCGACAGCAAGCGCCATTGGGGTCATGTAAGTACCAAGAGAGTATACCGCTATAAAATCACTTTACTAACTCTCTGTTTCCTGTAAAAGGTGGTGGATGCCCGAGCTGGTCCCGGCACCAAGTCCCTGGCCAAACAGAAAAAGCGCGAGAACGCAGAGGCTGGCGAAGGAGGAGTCGGCGGCAGCAGCTCTTTTATACCCGAGAAGTTTGCGAAGATCTTTAAGAAGAATCGCAAGGGCAAGATAACGGCCGTTCCAGGAGCAGTAGCGGAACCAGTCGCCAGGAACCATCCACGTCAGAGCAGCTCCTCACCCATGTCCGAGCACCAGCAGAGCGACTCTAACGAGAGCAACGACGAGGAGCACTTGCCTGTTCCCGCTTCGGTTACGGTTACTGCTACGGCTACGGGTGGGGGGGCACCACCGATCCTGGCGGCGCCCTATCAGACCAGAAAGCGGACGGCAGCCGCGTCGGCGGCCCAGGCCGAGCAAGGGAAGAACAGCAAGCGACCGAAGCTCACAGGTAGCAAGCGACGCTGCCAGCTGGCGCCGAAAAAGAATCGACGGGCAGTGGACAATGTGCCGTTCTTCGAAGAGAGCGATCTGATACGATTAGAGGTCTGCTGCGGCACAGTCTTCCAGAGTCTGACTCTTGGCATGTGTTGCTACATCATCGATCCGATGCTTTACAAGCCATGCGAAAAGCACCAGCGCCTCAGGCGGCAGCAAGCGGAGATGGCAGCCACCGCCGCAGCGGCCGCCAACGCCAAGCCAAAAATGGTTCCTCCAGTTGCAGCTGCAGCTTCAGGTGCAGCACCCGTTGCGATTCCAGCTCCATCTCAAAATCAAACTCCGAACCAAGGAAATATTGTGCAAAATCCGATGCCAGCTATGAAAAAGCATCATTTGTTCTTTAAACGACAATCGGAGTCCTTTCCACAGGGCGATATCCATAGAATAAGTCCCATTCCACTGAACAAGACTGAAGTCACGGCTATGGCTCTGCCACATTCCACGACGGCCACCGCCACCGCCACCGCCACTGCGAGCTTGCATCCGGGCATGACCACAACATCCGTCGGAGCGGCTTCACCCTCCTCGCTATCCTCATCGTCCAACTGCTCGACCTCGTCCTCGGTGGCCACCAAATTCAACGACAACTCCTCGGATTCTGGCTTCGATGAGCATGTCCTCGAGCGTAAATTGAGCGTCAGTCCGCCTACAGATGATCTGAAGCAGCGCGGTGCCACGGCTGGTGGCATGCAGCTGATCCTGGCCAGCGGCTTGCCCATAACTGGACAGACTCAGAACCTAGTGCTGGCCGGCAATGAGTTCACCGCCAGAATTGTGAAGCAGCGTCAGCAGCCGTCCGAGGTAGTGGTAGCGCCTGGAGCTGCACTAAAAATCAACGTCGTTGGAGGATCTCAGGGGAATAGTAATAAGATTCGTGCAATATTCAACAATGCCAACACCATTCAGCATGAGAACGGGGTGACCACCATACTGCCGGCCTCCTCGCTGGCTGCCAGCAATCAGACGGCTGCGATGAATGCCATAGCCCCCAGTACGGTGACCATAACACCGGCCAAGAAGGGTGCCACCACCACCACCACCACCGCCACTGCGGCTGTGGCGGCAGCCAATGCCAATCCCAAGTTTATACTCCTCAAGTCGGCCAAATTTGTTGGCCAGGCAGTGCCAGCAAACCCTCCATCCTCCGCAGAGACAAAGGTCTAAAGCAATCAAGAACGAGAGGGAGACGGAGACGGAAACGGAGACGGAGACGGAGACGGAGGAACCAGCGGATGGAAGGGACTTGGCCAACTTGTTGATCTATACCTTAAAACAACAACAACAAACCCCTTTTTTTTAAATCATACTTTACATATCGTAAGAAACGCAAAAAAAAAAGATTTATATATTTATTGATTTATTGAGATTGAGAGACGCCACCCAGCATCTGTACATATACGCCGCATACGATACGGTGGGCTTCGAGAAGCGTCCAATGTTTATACGAGTAATATTTTTGTACACGATGAACGACGAATGATGCTGAGCCGAATAATACGTTTATTTTTACTTATTATTTTTGTATTTTGTTTTTTTTTTTTACTTTCAATTATAGAGATAATACTCAGTCGCTCCCCTCCCCCTCCCCACCGTAATGCATACATGTAGGCGCATATGCAAAACCTTAATTTAGAGATTAGTTTATGTAAATAAGATTAAGACCTCTCTTGGATTTTTTTTTCCGATTTGCTTGTCTAATTTTATACGGAGTCTCTCTATAGACCGCGCAATATAGTCGTCTCGCCTGCTCCTCGACAGCCTGGTACAGGTTTAATACCGTTATAAAGGAGGTGCTGTCTCGTTTTGGACAGACCAGTACGTTGAAAACTGTGTGTTTCATCATTTGCGGAGAAGACGGACGACGGCATTTAATATAGATATATGCAGATATATATATTCGTAGTAGTAGTAGTGCTGATGTGTATGTAGTAGTACAGTGCCCTAGTAGTATGTAGACGAGAGATGAAATGAGCTAAGAAAAGTAACGACCGATTACCGATCCTTGATCGAAAGAGAAGCAATCACACCCCGCCCCCACTCACAAAATGTAGCCTTAGGAATGCGCCTCGAAATAAAACAAGAAATGAGACAAGAAAATCCATTAATGAAACGTTGGGCGAATGAATGTTTTCTAAGCCTAAGAATAAAACTAAAAACATTTCCAAAATAAAACACGCACAACAGTCTTTTTGTCATTACTGTGTTCCCAGATCCAGTTCCGAGGAATTGAAGCCCCTAACTTGAAGAGTTGTGCGCTGGCACATCAAATAAAACGAGAATTTTTTCGGGGCTTAACTCGTAATCTGGCTATCGTTTCAGACTGCTGCGGCCTCCTTTTAGCAATAGAAAAAGAGTGGAACAAAGTTAAGGACAATGAAAATTGGTTTGTGTACCGAAAGGGCACGAGCGAGCCGCCCTTAAATGGGTTAAGCTTGTTGCAGATTGACAAGCAGGTTACAGGCTAACATTTATTGGAAGCAAAATGAGCTTTAAAATCGAATAAGCCTACAGACTATAGTAAAATTCGTGAGCGTCCAGGTAGAGGGCAATGCCCACCCAGAGGAGTGTGTTCCACGTGGACTCGAGCAGCAGCACAAAGTGGGTGTTCATGGGCCCGAGGCGCCAGTGCCAGGGTAGCATCTTGTGCAGGACAGAATGGCCCACGTACATGATGATGGCGTTCATGCCACATTCGGAAAAGGGCCAGCCCGACCACCAGCCGTCGCGCACATCGATGATGTAGTAGAGCAGGGCCAGCAGCAGAAGGGCCACGCTGACGGTCACAAACACAAACGAAAGCGACCAGAGGTTCTTGTTCACGGGTATTACGCCACCCTCCCGGGAGAAGCCGCACAGAGCACCACCGACGACACCCAGGAGCAGGGAGAGGAGCAGCCAGCGCCTAAGGCGGGTCTGCCAGGTGGTATGGACGAGGAGAGTGAGACCGGCAAAGGCGCCCAACAGTACCTGGACAATGCTGAGGAGGCAGCCTGCAAGTACAGACTTAAAGAATTCTGTAGATATTCTGAAGATATTCGAGACTCACCAAAGACTCCCTCCGGATCGAAGGCACTGGAGTCGTACACATACTTGGCTGTGGGATGCTGGTAGATATGTGCATTGCCCAGGACCTGCAGGTCCACATAGCCAGCTGCGCCGCCAATGCAGTTCGGATGCGCAGCCAGGTCGTGCTTTCCGCCGGGCCCCAAATAGCCGCGCGGACAGCCGGGCACAGGCAGGCCGAAGGTGAGGCCCAGATAAGCGGCGATCAGGGCCAGGAGCACGGCCAGCTCCCCGCTGAACAGACAGACATCGTATATGGCCCGATGCCAGGCGCGCTGTGGCTGGACCTGTTCCCGGCGGCTGCAGAGGGTGTGCAGGATGCCGACAACAAGGAAGGCAATCCCGAAACGCTGCAGCACCCCCATGAGACGCAGTTGCTCCAGTGAGGGGCCGCTCATCGAGTTGAGGCAGAGGCCGATGGCGAACAATTTGATGGAGCGCCAGAGGATGCGCAGACAGATGCGGGCCTTGCTGTTGCCGCGCGAGAGCTGTGCCTTGACCGAGAGAGGTATACAGACGCCCATGATCCACAGGAAGGAGGGGAAGACCAGGTCGGCGAGATGCAGGCCGTTCCAGGCGGCGTGCTCGATCCACGCATAGCCGCCGCCCCCGCTATTCACGAATATCATCAGAACAATGGACAGTCTGTGGAAGCGAAAACCGGGTGATTAATGGTAGTGCTGCTGGTACTGCTCCCGGCAGTTACCCGCGGAACGTGTCCAGACTTCGCAGTCGCTTACGCTGCGTGGCCTTCGTAGCAGCCGCCCCAATGCTGTCCGCCGCGGCAGCAGCCTCATCGTAGCGGTAGCAACGCCAGGCGCAGCTTCCTAGCTTCAGAAGGATTAGCACGGCGGCCACCAGCACGAACACGGAAAGGAACGCTGCAAAGAGATAGCTTCGCTTCAGTTTCAAAATCAGGGGGCGGGGGGCAGGGGGCAGGGGGCATGGGGCAAGAGGCATGGGAGCACTAACCGTAGTTGATGGGCACGCCCGGCTTGTCCACGGCAAAGTCGCAGGTGCCGTTGGGCAGGAGCGTCAGATTGTAGACCCCGAACTCCTGCAGATCGGTGCGGCGCAGCCAGCAGAGGGCAGAGCTATGGGAGTGATAGGGAAATTTGATTAAATTTGAAGAGTAGAATATTCTCTGATAGCTGCCAATCGCGTCAAGTGCCACAAGCATTCGTTTAATTAAGTAATTTCGATTAAACGCCCACCGGGGAGTGGCACAAGCTACTTAGCTGCTTACCGGTGGGGCGGTGGGGTAACGTAATACTTGTGGCTAACGGAGAAGCAAACATATGCTAACCAAAAGAACAAACATGTACTTATGTGCATATGTATGTGTGTACGTATACTCACACATTCTCGTGGGCATAGCGACCCTGATCGTGTTGAAAGATTTTGAAATTCAAAGCGTACTCCGTGCTCAGTTGTAACGGCTCCAACTGCTGTCCGCTGCCAGCAGCTGGCAGAGCTTTCACTTTCGTGTAGGGGCACTGGTGGTGGGAAGGGGAGGGGTGATCGAGATGTTTTCGATTTCATTAATTGTCATCGATTCAGGGGAGAAACCGATCCAAATAACTCGCAAATTGGTGGATACTCAACCGTATAGCACTCGTCGGAAAGCGTATATAGATAGCTGGGCTCCCCGTACTCCGACCGCAGGTACATGTAGGCCTGGTCGACGGCGAGGGCGCGCATGTTTAGACCGCGCCACCTCGGATCAGTGTACTCCACCAGCAGCGACATAATTTCTGGGTCAAATCCGAGCCGTAGTCAATATGTTATCAATGCAAATTGCAGTGATAGCCACAGTGGGATGATGGTACGCAGTGGCCCGCTTGGCGTTACTGGCGACCGACTGAGCCTAACTAGTCAGAATTTATAGCTGGAGAGCGGCATGTTGGGTGCACAAATAAGAAAACAATTTCGAGTGCGCAATAAAAGTTAATTCGCAAGTGGATCAGAGCAACAACAACAACAGTAACCGTAAACGAAAGCCAGTGCTGGGCAATGCCCAAAACTCTAAAGAGTGGCCAGATGGGTGAAATCTCCTTCCCATAAATAGATTGAGCTGCCAGAATTTTACAAATTTCTTTGTTGGTGGATTGCGTTGTGGCCTCCACCGCTGTTAGGAGCTGCATTGGGCTTTTGATTTATTTAAATAACAATATGGTTTAATTTCTTGGTTAGTTTTGATCGATTGGTTGACTTTCAGACATTGTCCACTAGCCTTTTTAAATTGATAACAGAATTGGCGCGTCGGCTTTCCATTTGAGGGGGCGTATGCCTGATGTGGCAACGCCAACAGCTGTTCGCTCTGGGGACTCCGTTTCCAATAATTGTTGCTGCCGATGCAGGCTTGGCTTGCAATTGAGTCCACCAATAACGAAGGAGAGCAAGGAAGCAGGAAGAAGCGGAAAGCCATCCATCCGCCCCCCCATCAATGGCAATCAAACCTGAGACTCGCCTGTGCGCCGTCACCTTCTTTGCGAAACTGCATCCGGGCGATGTCTGCGGCAGTAATGGCTTGCCGCTCACCCCAAACTCGATAGCGATTCTGGGGCGTGCCCAGCGGCTGAAGGAGTTGCAGGATGAGCACCTGTGCCAGTATCTAGATGTTATTCGCGGCAAGCATGGTAACGTAACTGACCAATGGACCCAGGTTGTGAATATTCCCTATCTCACATAGAGTATCCTTTTAGAACGAACCATTGTCGTATCGGAGTACGTGGGCTGCTCCCTGGAAGAGCATGTGAAGCGACACCCCCCGCTCAGTCTCGCACAAATCTTGCGCATCTTTTACCAGGTGGCCTGCGGCATCAATGTCCTCAGCCAGCATCATCTGGTGGCCCACAACCTGGAGCCAAAGAACATTCTGATCGCACCGGACGGACGACTGAAGCTCTTCAACTACGGCCTCTATTTCATGACCAAGGGCGGTGCCTATGTGCCGTTTCCCGTGGGCAACATCCGCTACATGGCACCGGAACGACTGCTCGGCCTCAATGGGAACGTCAAGAGCGATGTGTGGGCCCTGGCCATGCTTGTGGCGGAGCTGGTGCTGGGGCTGCAGCTCTGGCCAAAGCTGAAAATCTCGAATGTAGTGAGGAAAGTACTCGCCTTCGCCAGGAGTAACAATGTGCTGGAGAAGATCGCCCGGGAGCATCAGTGCTTCGAGGTCTACCAGAACATGGATGCAGGGCTGCGGCAGCTGCTGGAGAAATGTCTCCACGCTAGTCCCGGCCAGCGACCACTGCCCAGGGAGCTGCTGGCCAATAAATGTTTCGCGGACATCCTGCAGGCAGAGCAGGAACAAGAGAAGGCCAAAGAAGATGAGTCGAAACAGCAGCTGGAGTCCCATTTACCGCCTCTCCCGCTGCTCCTGCGGTGTCCGCTGTCGCAAATCTATCACCTCTGGCAGCTGGCCGGTGGCGATGTCCAGGCGGAGCTCAAAAAGGAAGGCCTCATCCGCAGCGAGGCACCCATCCTGGGCCTGCCGCAGATCGTGCGTCTGAATGGAGCCAGCGTCTGTCCGACTCGCAGCCAGTCGCACCTGATGGACGATCGCGTGGTGCCGCTCAAGCTGCAGGCCCTGCTACAGCGTCTCAGCCAGCTGCCGGCCTGTGTATACTTCCCGCTTCTCCACTCGCCGCGCTTCACGTCCCAGCATCAACAGTTTGTCCTCGAGCTGCAGCAGCTGCCGCTGGTCATTAGAGAGCGCGACATCGAGTACCAGTTCCATCGCGTGCGTCTGTTCGCCCGCCTGCTGCAAGCCTATCCCTACACGGCCGAGCTGCTGCAGCGGGAGGCGGCCATCGATATTCCGCCGCTGCTGCGAGGTGCTGTCTGGGCTGCCCTGCTGGAGGTGGTGCCGAACAGCGGCTATGGGAAGATTGACAAGTTCACGCCAACGTCGACGGACAGGCAGATCGAGGTAGACATTCCGCGATGCCACCAGTACGACGAGCTCTTGTCCTCGCCCGACGGCCACCGGAAGTTGAGGCGACTGCTCAAGGCCTGGGTGACGGCCCATCCACAGTATGTCTACTGGCAGGGCCTGGACTCGCTTACGGCACCCTTTCTCTATCTGAACTTCAACAATGAGGGTGAGTTGGTCCTGCGCGGGTGGGACTACCACGTTGTGTGATCATACGTTTTGGCTCTGGCTTCTTGCAGAGTTGGCCTTTCTGAGCCTCTTCCGATTCATACCGAAGTACTTGCACTGGTTCTTCCTCAAGGATAACTCGGCCATCATCAAGGAGTATCTGAGCAAGTTCTCGCAGCTAACAGCCTTCCACGAGCCGCTCCTCGCCCAGCATTTATCCAGCATCAGTTTCATTCCTGAGCTCTTTGCCATTCCCTGGTTCCTGACCATGTTCTCTCGTGAGTTGCAACCGTGAGTTCCGGCCTATGGGACAGCCTTAACTGAATCGCCCTTGTAGATGTGTTTCCGCTGCACAAGATCCTGCACTTGTGGGACAAGCTGATGCTGGGCGACAGCTCGTATCCGCTGTTCATCGGCATCGCCATTCTGCGGCAACTGAGGAGTACACTGCTCGACTCGGGCTTCAACGAGTGCATACTGCTCTTCTCCGATCTGCCCGACATCGTGATGGAAACCTGTGTGATTGAGTCGCAGAAGATGTACGAGGCGACACCAAAGAGCATTACGCATCGCCAGCACGCCCTGCGCTCCCAGCCGCCCCAGTCTCTGGTTTGTGTTTGCGGTACCAGCAGAGTCTCCGAAAGGTCTCAGATATCTAATCAGTCTTGTTTCTTTCTCTTCATCTTCATCCGCAGGACATCGGCCTGACTGATGTGGAGCTGAAGCATCTGCAGCTGGAGCAGTGTCCTCGCATCAGTGCCAAAGATGTGCAGCATTTGCTGCTCCATTCCCCCGACGATTTGGCCCTCATCGATCTGCGGAGCGTGGTCGACTACGGACATGTGCATGTACCGCACAGCATCAACATACCGTTCGCGACGGTGCAGCTGGGCGAGCAGCGTCTGGAGGCGCTAAATGTCCCACATCTGGAGGCGCAGCTGCGGGGAAGGATTGTGGTCTGTGTGAGCGTCATTCATCAGAATGCAGTGGAGGTGAGCAGCCAACTGAAGGCACAAATACGTTTTTCTATCTATTCTGTTTTCATTTCCATATCACAGTTCTCGCACTTTCTGGTGGCCTGCGGCGTCCAACGCACTTGCATTCTACACAAGGGATTCAATGTCCTGCACTCCATCGAGCCGAATATACTCATCTCGAATTGATCGATCGAACGCCTATATGCATCGTCCTCTCATCGCTACACTTCCCGTTCGGCTAGCCTAAGCGCACGCACTGTACAATATTGATATTTTGTAAAATGCTACATATAGTCCTTTTCGTATGTTGATGTATTGTACCATATATGTATGTGTAGGTAATATTTATAACCTTTGAACACGGTATGTGTTTTATTGCTCACTCCCTGACTTCTATCGAATCACCATGATTCTCCGTGGAGCGGGTCCTTGGAGCAGTATCATTCTGCTGAAGGTTGTGGCTCATTTGATGTGGATCCGAATTGCCGAGATATTCCTGATATTTTTCGATGCCTCATGCGCTCTTTTGGAGCTTCATTTGAAGGAAAATGGGCAGATCCTCCAAAATGCATCAACACGTGTGCAAATGTTAACCAAACCGAAGCAGAACTCTGTACTTTGCCTGTACCGTGCCTGCGCGTCCCTATTTTCTTATTGTGTCATCTGCTGCTCATGGTCTCCGGACATCTCTAGAGGCTCACGTGCCTCAACATCAAGATACCTGATACTCAAAGGAAATGGCTATTTGATGCGGAAACGCTACCTCTAGATCTTATAATTATTTTATATATCCATAGAGTCGATTCCCCTACTTAGTATTGCTAATCTTCGGGGATGGTTTGACCAATTATTTGTTGTAATTTTTGTATTATTTATTAGTTCTTGATACCCTTCGACTACACAGGGTATCCCTAGCTCGAGTCATGCTATGCTTAACACTAGAAAAGTAAGAAACGGGTATAATCCAAACAAAAAGATTCAACAAAATGCAAACGAAGGGGGAAAAGGAGTGGGAATGTAGTAGAAGTTCGCTGGCGAAACTTAGGCACTGCGAACGCCGCGCAGCTCCTTGTCGGCCTTCTTCAGGGTGATGAAGTTATTGAGGCCCTTGACCCGCAGTCTAGACCAGATCATGAAGTTGCCCAGGCCCAGAATGGTGGCGGCATGTAGGGCCGCCGCCTCCGGATAAAGAACGGTGGCACAGCCGAGGCCCGAGGGCAGATTCAGGCTGGACCAGACATCGACCTGCATGTTGTCGGACTTGACGGGCGGGCAGTTGATCACCGGATAGTTGGTGCTGCCCGATACCACCGGGCCCAGTCCATTGGAACGTCCGGCTACGGCCACAAAGATAAGGTTGTTCATCACCGACTCGTACTCGCGGACGATGCGAAGCGTCTCTTCCGGTCCCTTGTGGGCTGAGCTGACGCGCAGCTCCACGTTGAGGCCCAGAGAGCGGCAGCTGGTGGCGATCTTCTCGCTGTGCGAGGTGTCCGAGGCGCTGCCCATGAGCACCACCACCAGGTGGTCCTTGCGCGGCACAATATCCGCCAGCTGCTCCGACACCCAGATAAAGTTGCGCTTAACCGTGTCGAGGTCACTGGACGTGACCGATGTGAGGTTGCGGTACACCTGCTTGTCGACCATCAGGCGCTTGTCGCCCGACGGCCAGAGGCGCCACGAATCTGAGTCTATAATGTCGGCCAGCACAATGTTGCCATCGGCATCGATGCCGAATTCCACCTTCATGTCGATCAGCGCACAGTTCTTTGTCTGCCAGGCCCGCTCCAGTATCTCGAAAACCAGCAGAGTCGTCCGGCGCATAATGTCCACCTCGTCCTGGCCTAGCGATTCAGAGGTAAGTTACGGCTGTGAACGGGTGGGTTCGATGCGATGGTTGCTTGAAGTGTGCTTACCAATTGGCAAGCCATTGAGCTCGAATTTGGCCGAGATTATCTGCTCCTCGCTCCACTGGGGATCGTGGTTGGCGTCATCCTTGAAGAAGGTCTCCTGTTTGGGTGGTGAGAATCTAGCGGATAAAATATATATAATAGTATATTCAGACTAAACAAACTGGCTAATCGATTAGAATGGGGCTAAACCATAGACTAAATGGATTAAACATTGGCAGTATTTCAAACTAATTCAAGAACTATGAGGCTTTGATACTGCATTTCATGCCATAACCATTTTGTAAGGCCTTTTTCTTTGCATTAAATTTGAAATCGAGATTTTCTGACGAAACATAAAAACGGATTGCACCATTCCGTAGGTTTTCGGCTTGCCTCCGATGACTTTTGCAATGTTATTCGAGATGAGGGGATGGATGGGAGATGCTTATCGGAACTGTCGTTGACCTCGCGAGCAGTGCAGTGCAGGGCAGTGCAGTGCATCGATTGCAGTTAAATTTGTTTACCGCAGCAGCGTGAAACGTCAACGTTGGTTGATATGCGGCGGGATGGGATCGAAGGCGCCGATAACCTCGGCATGAATGCCACTAACCTGTAGCCCTCCGGCACGCCGACATTGCGCTTGAGGAACGATCCAGTGGCCAGGCGTCGAGTTACCCACTCGATGGGTATCATCTCGCATTTGCGGGCAATAAAGGCCTTCGCCCCGCAATGCTTCACATAGGCAGTGCGTATACCTATTAAATTTTCGAATGTTCCACATAAGTTCTACAACACACCATACACAAAACAAAGCTGCGGTTGACGACTCACCAGCCTCGTTGAGCAGGCGAAAGACCTGGCCGTTGGTGGTGTTCGAGATCTCCGCCTTGCCGGCCAAATCATGCGCCTTGACACCATCGCCGGCAGTGATGCGATCCTTGCTCAGCAGCAGGCACAGTCCGGGATGCTCGGGCAGGTCGTACACCTGCTTGGTCTTCCCCTCGATTAGAACCTTGCCAAGCTTGTAGCCCTCAACTGCGGGACCGATGGATAGCGTTTGATAGGGATACATATGTATATTTACTTTCTTTTACTTACTGGATGTAGTTGTCATCGTTCTTGCTTCTAATTTTCTGATAAATACGAATTAAATTCAATTTGTTTCTGATGTTCCTTCTCTTTCACTATTTTCACGTGTTGCGCGCTTCGCTTTGTGCTTGATATTCGCGTGTGCTTCTCAATCTCTCTCTCTCTCTGTCTCTCTCTCTCTCGTTCTTGTTCTGCTCCGCTTTAGGTCTCAAAGCGAAATGGGCGCCGACAGAACTGTTTGGACGACTTTATAATAACAAAAAAAGAAACAACAAAAATTAAGAAAAATTGGTTATCGCTCGCATCCTACCCACACACTGTCACATTTCAGAGACAGTGTGCGTGTGTGTGTTTGTGCATGCGTGCAAGCGTAGGCATGGCAACGGGTTTTTAGATACCCTACAGTCGATAGACGCTTTTGGCTGCTTTGCTAATGACATTACCCTTTGCTAACTGACTAATTGAAAAAAACAGAGATAGACTTATGGGAAATGCATGCAGTGAGAGCGGGAGAAATATATGCGTCGCTTTCCGGCTGAGCTGGGAGTCGCGCTGCGGCAGATTCCTTGCACTTTTCAGACCCAATTTTGCTAGCTACCCAGCTTCCAAGCACGGTATTCCATATTCGAATCAGTTCAGTTTTCAGCACGCTACCCTCCAGATTGGCGGTCATTTGAGGCTAACGTACGTCGTTCCAGCCACTCCGCACAGATCAATCGGCGATAATGGGCGCGTCATCACTTCGTTAGCCTGTCATATGTAAGGTAAACAAAAATATTTTTGTTTCGCCTTTTGCCTTCATAAAAATAAACTTTTCCTTCGACACGGTTTCCGCAGGCCATATGTGATCGGGGACGTAATCAGGATTGTGGATCGGTTGCCAAGTGCAAGGGAAAAAATTAGCAATCGAGCAGAAATCTTGAAATTGTGCCAATATTTAAAACGAATAATCTTTTGGGCTTGCAGAAGGAAAAGGAGAAAGTCGCACTCCTATATAGTCTCATAGTAGGCTTTATCATAAAAACTTCCAGATTACAGGTAAATGTTTTGCTTTTGTGCAGAATTTTAAACTTCGCGCCGATTCCATGGGAATGGTCAGACCGTATATTTGACCATTTACGGTATATTTTGACGTTAAAATTTAATTGAAGGTATATTTACGGTATAACGGTATATAATGGTATATTCCAGGCCTCAATTCATTTTTATAAATATTTTATTTATTTTATATTTTATTTATATATTTAACAGCCTTTTTTTTAATGGACGAGTATCACTTCCTTTCTTTCCAATTGACAGAGATATTGCAATTGCATATGTTATCACAGAAATGTGGATCAGCTGGAACATAGACACGGAATGAGCAAAATTGTGAATACATACCCTATAGAAGGATATATACGGCAAAGAAGAAATGCATGAATAGGTTAAAAACCATTCATTCTGAGAAATGTCAAAGTATAATTGTAATATTAATTAATGGAAATGGGGTATACAAATGTTGGCAAGAAACAAGTGTTTAAGTGATGAACATTTCATGCTTACTTACGTTTCATTTCACGCTCACTTAAACCTTATTTAAGAAACAGAGTCCCCAAAATTAGCCTTGCTAAAATGAGAAGGAAATTGATTCATTTTCATTTTCATGCAGTATTATTTTACGCGGCTTAACTAAAGGTGCTACCCTATTTAAATAGGGGGTCTAAGTGGGTTTGGTTCATTGGTATATTTACGGTATATTTTGAAAATGAAACGGAATATTTCGGTATATTTTTGAGGGTCAGACCGTATCAATAAATCCGCGGCCACACTCAACTGCTCGCCAGCGTAGACACCACGTCCAGCTCACACACCTTGGATATTTGTACTCTTTCCATAGTATATTCTAGAATTTTCCAGTGTTACAAATGGCTGAATAACAATTTATTGTTTGTATTTATTGTATTGACAATATGAAGCGAACTGCGTTATTCGTTATTTTTTAAATGAGACCGTATATTTTGGTATTTATTTGAATCGGGTAGAATCTGTAATAACCGGTTCACAACACATACCCTGGGGGAAATGGATGTTATAGAGTTTTGAACATGTTTGTCATCCAAGGCAAAAACAATTTATTTTCAATATTATTTAATATTATTTTCAATATATCAACGATATTTTAAAGCTTATTGTCTTCTTGCAGAGACCAAGAATAGGTATCGGGATGGAGATCATATACTCATCACTCATCATATACATAAATATGTCTAAAAAATGTCAATTTGAGAAATGGTCTTTAATAGTTACGTTTTATCTTCATATCAATATTTATACTTTCATATAAAATTAACAAAATAGGGTATACAAAGGCCTATACTACGGCTTACACGCAATATGAGGCGAATAACGCAGTAAAAAGTGCAGAAAAATGTATGAAAACAAGCCCAAGATAGACAATCTTAGCCCTAGATAGCCCTAGATCTTAGCCCTTCTAAATTAACCGGCCCGCCTGTTTCGAACAAAAAGATACCCAGGGCCTGGCCGGGATCGCCGGATAGGAGCAAATTTCCGATTCCACGCTCAGGTCCGGTGCTTGCTGCTGCGGCAGCGCCATTTTGTTTCGCTGTTACGTTCGCTCCCCATCGTGCATTTTTCGTTATTTCGTTTTACACGTCGAATGTGAAAATTCACCACCATACAATATGGCTCTCTTCTCTCCCTCTCAGCACGAACACATTTTCGATTACTAACACAGATGCAGGGCGTGCTCTCTCTCACTCTCTGAGCACGGGCTCTCTGTTGCACACATGTCGTCGAGGCCATGCGCCAGAGCGAGACAAGCGTATGGACGAGGCGCGTGCTTGTCGGGGCTGCTCTTTCGTATTCCGCTGGCTATCTATGTGTGTGTGTATTCGCATTTTCAGTAAATTCGAAAAAAATTTTGTATATTTCATGGCGACAACGTCGGTCGTGCTGCTTTACTCACAAGAAACGCGCGCTTGTCGAAAAATCGTACGCGCGGTACGTACATATATCGGTGTAGAAATTACTCAAAAATGTTGGTAAAAATCGCTAAAAATTATATAAATTTGTGATTAATGTGCAGTGTGTGGTGCAAGGCATGCGATGCGGCCAAAAAATGATGAAAAATAATATGAAATTAGCGCCAAAAATGCATTTGAAAAATGTGAGACTTCAATGGACATGACGGAGTTTTTTTTCATTTCATTTGGGTTTTTTTTTTTTGGTGGTGGAACAAAAGCAAAATGAAGAAGCAGAGGAGGAAGATGAAGAAGAAGAGTGCTGTGTGTGTATGAGTGAGAGGCATACACACACGCAACACAGAGACGCGCGCGCCAAATGCAAAAAAAGTTTCACTGCTCTCTTTCTCTCTCTCGTCCCTCTTCTTATCCTTCATGAATTTAGTTGTTTTCTTTGCGGCAATTGAAACATACATATGTATATACATGCATATATTTATATATATATATATATGTATATCTATATAAATATTTATATGGATATGTATTATGATTCCTGAATTTTTTTTATTATTATTTCGCGCGCGTGTGTGTATGTGTGGTGTTCATAACGTGACGTTGTCGTATGGCGGTTACGTTGTGTCTTTGCTCCCTTGCTCTCTCTCTCTCTCTCTCCCGGTCCCTTGTGGGAAAAAGTGTGTGAAAAAGGAAATGTGATTCCCAAGTTTATTTTTGTGTTTGTTGTTTCGTTTATTTGCAGTTGCCTTTCATTGTAATATGTTTAAGGATTATTGGCTCATTTGTGTACATATATATTCGCAAATAAATGCAACCACAAATATATTAGTTACAAATAAAAGCTAATAACCGAATGAATCTTAAGTGAAGATAAATTGAAAAATCATTCATGGAAGACAACAAAACGGTACAACAATAACATAACAGCAGCGGCAGCGCAAAAGAAAGGATTAAACACATTAAAAGCACCGGACAAAAAACTAGTTATAGTAAAACGGCAAAAGCACCAGCCAGCAGGAGCATCGGGAGCAGCGGCCATATAAATAATTTGGATAAACACACATAAACAAAAGCAAGGACCCAGAAAGTGTAAAAAATGTAAGTTAAATCTACCAGCACGTGGGAGGCCCTTCCATGGGATCCCATCTTTTTGGATGTCCGTTTGTAAGAGAAAGATGGGGGAGGAAGAGAAAAAGAGCCAAAAGGTCCGCAGCCAGCAGCTGCATTCGCATTCCCAAGCAACATTTCCAACCCTCTTGCGTCTGGCCATCGACCATCGGCCATTGGCAGTGGGGAATCTCGCAAATCTTCTGTTACACTATACGTTATTCACGGATGGTTTATACGACTAGGAACATCCACACATTATATTCGCACACCGATCAAATGGAGCAGGTTATCCATCGGTTAAATAGGGACATTCTCCCTATCAGCTGTCCGAATGTTTAATTAGTACGAAACACCAACAGCATCGTTTGAACGATGACCAATTTCAAAATTCACGCCAAAAAAATTTAAAATTTAAATTTTTTTCCCCAACTTGAACCTAATGCAACGAAAAAGAACACGTCCAAATACAGAAGCTTCTGAGGAACAAAAAGAAACGTTCTAGAAGTGGAACTCGTCGAATAAAAGTCCAATACAAAGTAAAAAGTCCTTATCAATCGGTTTCTTTCATCGAAGGCGCTATGCAATCAACAAAAAGCATGCGTTTTGTGATAACCAAAAACTGATTGGATTTTCATAGATATAAAAATCAATGCAAATATTGAAATATTTCTAATATCGTCGGCCTTCAGCTCGAGGAATATTCCTTCTTTGGCATTAGTTTTCCCATTAACGCCGGGAAATTGGCTCGCAAGAGGAAATTCCTTAGCAATTCCGTTTACCACCTCCCCCTAATCGCCTCAAAATACCTTTTCCTCCCATGAGGTGCTTGTTACTCTTGCGCGCCCGCTTGATACTCTCTCTCTCGCTCTCTGGGTTAATGTCAGTTTGCCGGCTACTTTTGTCTTTGCGCTTGCTTTGCCTTTTGCTTACTGTTTGTTTATTGTTGTTTCTGCCATTTGCTTAGCACTACTTTCGCGCCTAAACAAATGCAAAAAAGTATTTGGTTTATTTACGTGCATCAGTAGCAACAGCAGAGCTTAAGTCAGCCACAAAGTACAACGTAAATAAAGCATCAATTGTAAGGTAAATAAAAGCAAAATGCGTAAATGCACTAGGGATTGTGACTTGTGGGGTAGGGAGGTTGAGAGAGAGGTCTCTGAGATGAGCGTCCCATAAATTTCATTGATGCTTTTTGGTGAATCCCACTGCTGACATCGCTGCCGGCGTCACTGTTGACTTCGTTGCTGTTTCGGCCCGCATGTAAACCGGCTTTAAATTCGTGCCACTATTAGCACGATTTATTAACCTAGAGGCATGCGGCAGAGCAAAGCACAGAGAGAGAGAGAGAAAGAGTAGTCGCTATCCGAATGATTTTGGGCATACTTGCAGATACACAAGCGGCAGCAGCAGCACCAGCACCAGCATTCGAAAAAGATTCCTCTCTCTCTATGTCGGCACTCTCTCGCTCTTCGTGCCTTCATTCTCTCTCTCTCTCTCTCTCTCTCTCTTTGGCTTGTGTCTCGTGTCTGTCGATATGCCGCCATATTTGCATTTGGCTACGTTTACGTAGGTTATGTTGTTATCTCGCTCTTGCACATGCCAATACCCCAAGCAGCTGCATCTTTTCGAATATGTGTTTGTGTGTGTAAGCATTTTATTTATTTAAATATTTAATTTTTGTATAGTTAGTTTTGTTTGAGTATAGTTCAAGTCCAATTCAAAAGAGTAGCCAAATGAATTTAGATATATTCTTAATGAATTTTGTAATTTTTTTTTAGCGGAAACGTTTGTTGTTGCCCTTTGTTTATCCGAGAGTAAGAAAGCTCTCTCTCTCGATACAAATTTAACTATTGGATTTACTCTTAGCCAGAAGGGAGGGCCCAATGTAGTATTATTGGAAAAATATTTCGATTTCAATTATCTATCAACCGACGGCTGGCTTTTTAATCTTTCCATTTTAGTCCCCCTAGTCCTAGTCCTACTTCCCATCCCTGTTGTGCCCCCAGTGCATGCCGTTGCTGTGCGCTGCGCTGCTTCTTCCCGCCTCCCTCTCTCCCTCTCAATCATACTCTACGTCATTGTGCTTTGCCTTGAATTTCTCATTACGAAGCACATAGCGTGCCATGATGATGCCAAGAGCCAGAGCCGAGCGCATGTTCAGGTTCGGCATCGGTGTTCGTGGTTGGTTCGGGACTCGATTCGGTTCTACGGAAATTCTGTTGAAAACTCAAAGTCGTCTACTGTACTACATAATTACAACCGCACACGTTCGCTCGCTTAACTCTCTCTCTCTCTTCCTCTCTGAGAGAGCAAGTATGTGTGAGTGTGTGAGTGAGTGACAGTTAATGTTTTGTTTTGTTGCGAGTGTTGAAGCGGAGAAGGGGAGACTGAAAGACAACCAGCCGCCCGCTATTGCCGTTTTTTCTGTTATTTGTAAGATGTTATTTTTTAGCTCTCTCTTAAAGGAATAATGGAGAATAATGTTTATGGTCTTCCCGTTTGTGTTATCTTCCCCACTATCTATTTGATGTAATTTACTCCATCTGCATTTTGTTGCCTTTCCTACGTCTTATTTTGCGTCACACAAAAAGTCACACGAAATCTCGCACACAATTGAGCACGCGCTCGCTCTGTGGCACACACATGGACATGTATGCCGTACACTTGGCAACTAACAAAAACAACAGCTAGTCGTGTGGCGGCGGCTACAGTGGGCCAAATGTGAAATTTGAACTGGACGCCCAAATAATGTCGTATAACCGATGGGAATGGAGTTGTGACACAGACAGACAGCTGATACGAGTGTGATAGGCGTTAAATGGGAATGGGAATGGAGAGAGAGCTTATGCCGGCCGGCACAAACCATACCGACATACGCACATGTGTAAATAAATTTACTCGTATGAATGAATGAACCTAAATAAATGAGGCTTTGATCTACATACATAAATGTATGTATGTATTCAAGCATTCGATTTTAAAGTGTGCAATTTGAATGCTATTTGTACCACTGTCAAGCGGCAATGGAATATCGGCAAAAATTGTGAGCGCGAGCGTGCTCGAATTGTGTGTGTGGGACTAGTGCACTAGTATGAGTGTTTAGTTGTCAGCTTAGGACCTCGCTTGCGTTCCTCCTCTCACCATAAAACAGTGGGCGAGGGGTGCTAAAAAAACTACTTAAAAATTACCTTCATACTTGCTATTCCGGCATTAGTGTGCGTGTGCAGCGACAAACAAAGCGAGTTTTTTTTGTGCATGAATCATGCTTTGATGGACAAAACGACAGAAAATTACAAAAATGTGAGAGCGGTGTGGTGTGTTGCATAGTGTGGTGGATTTCGAAAATACAACACACGCCACACAGCACGTACACCGTACTATGTGTGTGTGTGTGTGTTTGTATGCATGTGGCGGTGTGTGTTGCGTGTATGCTTTGTTTGCCTCATAATATTTTTCAATAGTTGATTTTCCTTTCATGTAGTAAGAATTTAATGTTGGTTTTTAAACTTAATTTTGTCAAAAACTGTCTAACCGCCATTTGTCGTCTGCCTTTTGCCCCTTGGAGATTTGATAACGCACACGAGATAAGTGGAAGCGGGACGACTCTATGTGTGGCAGCGTGTGAGTATGTTGTGTTGTCGGTTCTCTTTCGCTCTGAGTATTTTCGAAATTCGAATCGAGAGAGCGGCATTGTTGGTAACGGAGGCGGTAGTGGTTCTCTTGGCCTTCTCTATTCTCGCTGTTGCTGTGAGTGGCAAAACGGCGGCAAAGTAACTACAACACACACGGTGGAAGAAGCAAAAACATGGAAATGTTTAAGCGTAAAACGCCTGACGAGCGGCGTCGTCAAAACAGAATGGAAATCAAAACTTAAGCCAAATCTAAACCCACATATAAAATCAATATACACTATGTTACGGGATCGACAATGTGGAAGTGCACGGAAACAGATTGTATGTGTTTTATGCCGTGTGTTGTTCGTGTGTTTTCCATGAAGTGGGTGGCCGTGCCAGTGCCCATGCCCTCCCTTTTTATTGGCCCCTTCTGTTATTCTGTTTCTGTTTTATACTCTCCGTGTTGTGCTTTCCGTTATCTGTCCTCTTTGCCCCTTCCTGCTCGGCCCATCCTCTCTTTTGGCCGTTCTTTTATGCCGTGTGCAGCCACACAGTTTTTTTTAACAAGTTTTTTTTTGTTTATAAACTATTTGTGCGTGCTACCACCTTTGTTTATGTAACCCTCGGATCAGTGTTGGGCAATGGGGCCGAGCCTCCCCAACCCAGCGTTGCAAAGCACTGTGTTGCCGGCAAAAAAAATTGACTTTTCTTTTGACACAAAATGTTGAATCTCCATTCCAGATTGAAGGTTTGCTGCTAGCTCAAAAAGGAAATAAAGACGACCCACCACAACTCTGTCCGCGAGGAACCGCAGGAGTAGCACTTGGATTAGGAATAGGAGTAGGAATAGAAACAATAATCGTCGTCAGGCCGTAAAATTTGAATAGCAATAAAGCCAGCAAGAAGAGTAGGAGGAGAAGCAGGAGCAGCAGCAAAAGGATATAAAACGTTGCGCTCCACATCGTCGTCCAAATGCCAGCTGGACCAGCCTTATTACGCCCGGCACAATAGAGCCGCCGGAACAGGAGCGCACGCAGTATCTGGATAATCTGGTAAGTGGAACATTGATTGACATTTTGAATGGGAATTGATTAATCCTCGAATTCGTTTGACAGTTGAGAAACATTGCTTAGCATGAAGCAACGGAGTACACAACAGCATTATCCATCAATCAGCGGATTATTCTTATTATTATCAAGGAGAAGCGCAGAAACAATCACATCAGCAGGAGAGGCACTGGAATCCACCGAAGCAGAAGCAATAGCAACGACTGAAGGAGTCGGTGCCGGACTTGGAGTCGGACTAGCCGAAGGCGGAACTGGTGGCCTTGAGAAATTCGCCAGAAGGAAGCAGAGGACTTGCCGAAAGTTAGCCACATAATAGGACTAGTCCACGAGCGGGCGATCGCCGCACCGGAGAGGAGACGGACGGAGACGGCCCCGGGCGTGTGTTTTTGTCGCGTGTGTGGTGTGTGTGTGTGTCGGCCGTCTCAGTCAAGCATAATCAGCATCAGCAACAGCAACAGCAGCACAACCAGCATCCACTTGGGGATCAGATACCTTAATAGCAACCGCACCAGGACCAGGGACAAAAGCAAAAGCAACAACCAGAAGCCTCATTATCAGCCAACAGGAGGAGCAGCAGTAGCAGCATCAGCAGCAACAGCAAGAGCACCACTACCACCACCACCGTCGTCATCAACAACAACAACAACATGTCGTCCAACGAACCACCACCTCGCTACGAGCCGCCTGTGGAGCCGGTCAATGGCATTGTGCAGCCACCGGTAGTGCCTCCAGTGGATCGACCCGGCCGCAATACAAATCAATTGCAATTTTTGATCAAAACCGTGATGAAGATGATATGGAAGCACCATTTTGCGTGGCCCTTCCAGCAGCCCGTCGACGCGAAAAAGCTCAACCTACCCGACTACCACAAGATCATCAAGCAGCCGATGGACATGGGCACGATCAAGAAGCGACTGGAGAACAATTATTACTGGTCGGCAAAGGAGACCATCCATGACTTCAACACGATGTTCAACAACTGCTATGTGTACAACAAGCCCGGCGAGGATGTGGTCGTGATGGCCCAGACGCTGGAGAAGGTATTCTTGCAGAAGATCGAGACGATGCCCAAGGAGGAGCTTGAACTGGAGCCGGCCACGGCCAAGGGTGGCAAGAAGAAGGCACGTGCCCCTGCCACGCCCAAGTCTGGATCGGGAGGAGGCGTTGGAGCGGGATCAAGCACGGGTGCGGCTGTGGCCAACAGCAATACTGGTAGCAGTAGCAGCGGATCCGTCAATAAGGTAGCACCATCGGCGCAACAGTTGCCCAGCATGGGGACCGGCTTGGCGGCACAGTCAGCGGGAGCCGGAGGTCATGGATCAGCGGCGGGGTCAGGGACAACATCTCGACCCGTATCAGCGATGGGCGGAACGGTTTCATCGACGGCCGGCGGCGGCGGTGCACCGTCCATACCACCGATTAGCACAATGCCACCGCACACAGTCCCCGGCAGCACCAACACAACGACGACGAACGCGACGATGGTCGACGCCATTATAGCCAGCCTTCGGAATACCAGCCAGGCCGCATATCCGGGCGCCACCCAGGCGGCGGTTAACAGCTCCTCCCTACTGGACGGCAGCAGCAGTGCGGCATCGGTTGCAGCAACAACAGCGGCGGCGGCGGCAGCAGCAGCGGCAGCAGCAGCAGCAGCGGCGGCGGCAGCATCATCTGGCGGAGGAGCGGGTGCTCCCGGAACAGTCAGTACGGCGGGCGGTGTGACAATACCATCCGTCAATACCACCACCAATGTGCACTCCTCCTACGTGAACAGCACGGCGGGCGTCGGAGTCGGTGTCGGTGTGGATGCGGTGATACCGCCCCAACAGCCGGCGAAAATGAAGAAGGGCGTCAAACGGAAGGCCGACACAACGACGCCGACGGCCAATGCATTTGAGTCGCCCTACGCCCAAATGGACTCGAAGTCGGCCAAGATAGCGACGCGAAGGGAATCGAATCGTCAGGTAAAGGGCAAAAAGGTAAGGGGTAATGGGCATTGCCACGTTGTGACGTTGTGCTCATCATTTTTGCTGCATCCCACAATCAATGCTCCCACGCATATATTTTGAGGTGATGCCTCTCCTCCCTCCTCCATTACACATGGCAGAGTCCACACACTTCCACAACCCCACACCACCACCGCCACTACCAGAACCACCACCACCAGCACCACCAGAGTGCCCAGAGTGGACACACGTGTTCAATTTCACCTTCAAAGTGCGCCATTCTAAGTGCTTGCATGTAGGTCTCTGTCCGAGGCTTCTGCCAAGAGCCAAGAGCCAATAGCCCCCAATCGATAGATGATATGGGGGCAAATCTTCCAAATTGTGATCACGTATGTGCCGCAGTCTTTTTAATTTTCACTTGCATGTTGACTGTACGTCTCATTATTCTTCAGTTTGTGCATAGATACATGGCCCACACATGTATATACCATCTCCACGAAACAGAAACAGAAACAGAAACATACTCACATATTTACCTACCACAAAGCACAGCCTCCGTAATTGTGTCCTTCAATCCGATCACGCCATATGGCAAGCCGCAAGCCACACGCCACAAGCGTCTACTTCTTCATTCATAGACTTGAGAAATGAATGGGTGAATGGGTGTCCGGGTGAATGGGAGAATGGTGAATGGTGAATGGAGAAATGAGGAACACACATGAAAAGTAGTAGGTGGAACAATACTATGATTATAGTACGATATGAACGTAGAACATAATGAATCAATCAACACACAACACGCTGCCTTGCCTCTTACTCTGATTTCATTTCACATTTGATGTATATATATATATATATATATCATTTACATGTAAGCAAACAAAAGTGCATATAAGTTAAGCTACAGTGCAGCCTGGCTAGAGTGAACACCACAGGTAACACAGGTAACAGGAACGACCTATTGAGTGACCTATAAATAATAAATAAGTTTTATCTGAGACTGTACTTTTGGTTATAAACCATATCTACGAGTATTAGAGTGAAAGTTCTTCGGGTTCGATTCGAAGTTTTCAAAGTTTTGGATGTTTTTTTTATGTTTTTAAGATTTCTATTAATGAATGTCTGAACTGAAAATATATTGGGATACAATTTGATATGCATAAACAGCTGTGACTTGTTTTTGAATCATATATATCATATATCCATTTTATGAACACAACTACAACTATCATATTTTAGTGCCCTCACAATTTTGGGGTATCCCATACCATGATTAAACGTAATCTGCCATCAAAAGTCTTGAGCCCTACCCTGCCCCCGATATTCGGTCTTTCGGCCCCCATCCCTTCCAGCCGGATGACGGGATTAGTTAGAGTTTTCTTGGGTCCTCCCTCTGGCTGCCAAAAAAAAGGTTCCACAAGTCACACACTGAAATGATAATACACTGATAGTTTGCGGGCCATTTTAAAGGGGCATTCGATTAGCTGGATGGGTGTTCACTCTCTCGGGGCCGCACTGTACTGCACTCATTTGTAAATAAGAACCACCAGTGTAGAACTAGGTCTTCTTCTAGTACGAGAAGACGGAAGACGTTTATGTTTGATGCTAATCCAATGCTTTTTGCTTGTTTCTTTTATGCTTTCTTTTCTTCCTTTTACTGATTTCTTTCGTTTATGTTGTTTTGCACTCTACTCGAACAACCAACAACCAACAACAAACAACAACAACAACAAAATGCATCATCATCAACATCCTACAACATCCTACGGGCATCCGAACCGCACTGAACCACAGGATCTTACATTCCAGGGCTCGGGTTATGCGATGTCACCATCGATGGGTGGCGTGCCTGGATTATTGGCCGGCGTCGCCGCCAGTGTTGCGGCGGCCAAGTCAAAGGAGAAGCTCTCGGACGCACTAAAGTCATGCAACGAGATCCTCAAGGAGCTGTTTAGCAAGAAGCACTCGGGCTATGCCTGGCCCTTCTACAAGCCGGTGGATGCGGAAATGCTCGGTCTGCACGACTACCACGACATCATCAAGAAGCCCATGGACCTGGGCACCGTCAAGCGGAAAATGGACAATCGGGAGTACAAGAGCGCGCCGGAGTTTGCGGCCGATGTGCGATTAATATTCACCAACTGCTACAAGTACAATCCGCCAGATCATGATGTTGTGGCCATGGGCCGGAAGCTGCAAGACGTCTTCGAGATGCGTTACGCGAACATACCCGACGAACCGGTTTCTAATGCGGCCCACCATCATGCTCACACGCACGGACATGGGCACGGCCATGGACACGGCCAGAGCCACGGTCACGGGCATGGGCATGGCCACGGTGGCTACTCGAGCGCTTCCCTCAAGCACGATGGCAGCGACTCGTCCAGCGAGGACTCCAGCGACACGGAGAACGAGTCCAACTCGGACGAGGAGCGCAGCGCCAAGCTGAAAATGCTCGAGTCCAAGCTGCTCGGTCTCCAGGAGGAGATCCGAAAGCTCTCCGAGGAGGCCTCCGCCAAGAAGAAGGCCAAGAAAAAACTCAAAGAGAAGAAGAAGAGCATCGGTGGGGGCTCTGGCGCCGGTTCGGCCTCTCATCACGGCCATGCCTCGGCTGGAGGTGACGCTGGCGGTCCGTCCGCCAGCCATGGCGGTGTCTCGGTCCCGGCCAGCGTCGTCGCCCTGTCGGCGGGTGGGGCAGCGGGACCCCTATCGGCCCTACTGAGCGGCTCACTGGTGGGGGCCAGCGGAGCGGGTGGCGGGGTGCCGAACGTCTCGGCACTTCATTCACACGCCTACGACATGACCCTTGCCATGAACCAACTGAAGGGCAATGCGGCAACGACCGGAGCAGGCTTTACGGCCGGCATACCGCCACCAGGACCAGCGCCAGGCGGCAAGGGGGCCAACATGGCCAGCGCCATGGCTGCGGCGGGAGCGGGACCTGGGGCTTCTGGTGGAACCGGCAGCAGTAAATCGAAGAGCAAGGGCCAGCGCGGCAAGGGAAGCTCGAGCAACGCGGGTGCGGGCGGAGCCTCCTCTGGAGTGACGGTCAATGCGGGCAGCGGAATCGGCGGTGCTGGCGCAGCGTCCAGCGCTGGCAGTGGCGGAGGCAGTGGGGCCACCGGCCCCAGCGGCAATTCGTCAAAGCGGGGCAAGGGTAGCAGTAGTGCCGGCGGCGGCGGCGGTGGCGGCGGCGGCAGTGGCAGCGGTGCCAATGCCACCAGTGCGACCGGTGCCGGAGCGCGCGGTAGCAGCAAGAAGAAGCCCAGCCAGGTGATGAACTTTGACTCCGAGGAGGAGGACACGGCCAAGCCCATGTCGTACGATGAGAAGCGACAACTATCACTGGACATCAACAAGTTGCCAGGTAGGAGTCACAATTCTTTATATTCTCGACCTTGCAGATCCAATCGATCCGCTAATGCTAGTGCTAGTGCATTCAACAACTAATCAATGATCGTTTTGCTTCGACAGGTGACAAGCTGGGTCGTGTGGTGCACATCATCCAGAACCGGGAGCCATCGCTGCGGGACTCCAATCCGGACGAGATAGAGATCGACTTTGAGACGCTGAAGCCGTCGACGCTGCGCGAGCTTGAAAGCTATGTGGCGTCGTGTTTGCGCAAAAAAACACGTAAGCCATGTTGTAAGTCTGGAACTAAACCGGGACCACAAAATCTAGAACAAGAGCAAGCACAAGAACAGCAAGGAGAAGAGGATGAATAAGAATATAACGAAGAAGATGTTCAAGAGCAAGAAGCCACAGTTCAAAGAGTATTAGTCAAAGGAATAGTAGAAGCAAAGCAAAATTAGTCAGAATTGCAAGTCTCTGCGCCCAAAACGGGAATACAGAAAAGCCCCAAAACTAGAAGCAGAACCAGAAGCAGCAGGACCAGCGCAATATGTCAAAGAACTAAAACCGAGAGAAAACTTAAAGCAACATTTATAAACTGAACGAATCGAATGTGAATTTATCATCATTGCACTTTCTAAATACAAATATAACGAGCAGAACTAGTCTAGTTTGAATAGTAGAGACTTGGTCGATGCTAATCGAGGTCGGAGAGGCTTGCCCCTTTAACCTCTGCGGTGTTGGTGCACTCAGCAGTAGTATTTGAACGATCTAGGCGACAGTACGGAAAGAAAGTTTGAAGATCTTTTGCTGTTTTGCTCCGCTCACTTTCCCTTGCCGAAATGGCACAATTCCAAAGTTGTTTTTTTCCAAATTTCCATTTCAAAACGAATTTTTTGTGAAAATTTTCAAAGAATTTTTTAAACGAAACGAGTGGTCATGTTTTAGTTAGCCAAACTCTCAAGAAAAACAAAAACAAATAAAAAAGTTATACTATGTACATTAAGTTTTCATTTAAATGCCCCCCCAATCCCACTCTCTCTCTCTCTCTCTCTCTCTCTCTCTCTGTCATTGTCTCTGTCTGTCTCCTGTATCCGTAGCTGTTACGATCTTTTTCTGAATTTTGTCTGTAGCTATGCATGAACCTCCTATCCTCCTACCTGTTTTGTAGCTTGAGAATGCTGTTTTTTTTTTTTTTTTTTTTTTTTTTTTTGTCTCTGAGAAGGATTTGTTATCCCGTAAACAACCAAGCATGCACCCACAGACCACATCAATCTATCTATCTCCCCTCCTGGCCCTTTACTGCTCTCATTGATCGCAATTGGATGTGCTCTACTAATACAAACACTCCGTCTCCGTATCTCCCAACCTATATAGATAAAAAGCCTTCCGGGAAATCGAAGGATGAGCAAATGGCGGAAAAGAAGCAGGAGCTGGAGAAGCGGCTGCAGGACGTCACCGGCCAGCTGGGGGCAAGCAAGAAAAACGCCAAGAAAGGTGAGTCGGAGACACAAAAACCCCCCTGTCTATCCACCCACCCCACCTACCTTACCTCACCCCACGGCCTCACGGCCCCACATTGCCAACAAATACTAATAACCAATTGAATATCATTTCCCGTAGATGATTCCACCTCGAACAAGGTGGAGGCTGTGCAGCCAGCGAATCCCGTGTCGTCGAGTTCCAGTTCCAGCGATTCATCGTCCTCGAGTTCGAGTGATAGCAGTTCGAGTGACTCGAGCGACAGTGAAGCAGGTTAGGACGCGTTTTGTTTGTTTGTTTTACTTTATAACGCCTTTTTTTTTGTTAGTTTATATAGACATATATATACATATGTATATGCATGTGTATATTTATATATATATATATATACACATAAATATATATATGTATAGAAAGGTTTTTAAGCAGCAAATAACAAAAATCGAACAGATCGACAACCGACCGACAGCATAAACTAAAAACGATAAAGACAGAGCAGAGCGCCAAGCAGCAGCAGTAGAAGAAGAACCAGCAATAGGAATAGCAATAGAAGTAATTGCAGTATGTAGAAGAGAGTCTGCAGATTGGGATGGATTCTGTAGGACATAGGTAACAAAATAGATCCCCCCCCAGCTCCCCCACTGAGGAAAACAAAAAACAACAACCTAATTTTAGGCTAGTAGACAGTGCAGTGTGCGTGCGTATTGAATTGTGTGAAAACAAAGAAGAGATGAAAACAACTCAAAAACGGTGTAATTTGAAAATGGGTTTTAAAATAGTGCAAGGATATGGGCGGGCATTAAGTGTGGGTGGGGCGTTTGTAAGTTGTAGTCATTTTTGTGGCTTAATTAATTGAATTTTGGATATAGATTTATCTAGTTATATACTTATATATATATGCCTATAATTATGTATATCTTGTAGTGGCACACACGCACGCACGCACGTACGCACGCATCAATATGAATAGGATAGGTGTTTTTAGTTGTTAGTTATAATTTTTTAAGGTTAGGTCAAAATAGGAGTGCCAGAAAGAAGAGAGCGAGAGAGCGAGAGAGCGGGAGAGCTGGAGAGAGTGTGCAGCTGTTTAATGCTTTGCTTAGTTCTGCTTCTTCTTCGTCATGGGTGGGCGTCTGGCAGGTGGAATGGGGTGCGCAAGGTGATAAATGGAGAGAGCCCGACTGACTGAGCATCCAGCTCCAACAAACAAACAAACACACACACACACACACACACAAACTCAACTCAATTTATTGAATTTAGCGCATTTTGTTAATGTTTTGGTGTGCTAAAACACATAAAAAAGAAGTGACAAAGAAAAACAAAAACAAAGAACTCAACTGGCAAATTTCCTACATGCAATATGCAGGGCCTCCCCCCCCCCCACTCCACCCCCACTCCACCCCTTAACAGAAAAACGGACTCTGGCAATACGTAAAAATGTGCTATATTATGTTAAAAGGAAGTTTGTATTCTAAAAAAAAGGGAGTTATTTTTTTATTGTTGTTGGAAATGCCCCAGAACCAAGTTCACGCGAAAGAGTGCAATACGCATTTAATTCTAAGGAAGCAAAAAAATGAAGGAAAAAATTCACAGATGAAGCAAAACAAGAATCCATTTTTAAATCAATTGGAGCTATTTTTTTTTTTTGTTTTTAAAGAAAACCAAAATACTTGTGTACTTTGCGGTACTCAGATACAGACCGATCCTTTACCTTCGCACACACATACACTGATTTATGCAGAATTGTTAAACAAGTTTGCTGAAAAATTAAATTTTTTTTTTTTAATATATATATATTTTTTTTAAATTGTAAAACTATGCATTTTGGTCCAAGTCTGTTTAGGGGGGGGGGGATGTCCCACCTTAATGCACGCACCGTGTGCCGAGACCCCTCTTTCAGCATGCCCCTGACAATCGCACACACCCAACCAGAGACAGATATACAGACATAAGGACATACGGACAGAGACAGAGACAGAGACAGAGACAGAGACAGAGATGGAGACAAAAAGAACACACCACTGCAAACCTTTCTATTACTGAATACATATATATATATACATATACATATATATATATATAAATACTAATTAGGTCTAGTTTAGCGTATATATATATACTTCATTATATATACAAATCCATACACACACAGAAACATATATATATATATATATATATATATATACATAAATATATATTTAAAAATATATATATGCATATAGATATTATATTTAAGCATTTCATAGGTATTAAACGAATTGTATTTTTAAATGAAAAACAAAAACAAGAATCAGAACAGAACACAAGAATAATGTGAATATACATATATCGTTTACAATTCGATGTATATGTATATATATATACGCATGTATATATATATATATATATATATATTGAATAAAACTAAAAAAAAAAACACAACAAATCTTACACACACAACTATCTAAAAAAAAAAACGAAAATGAGAAAAAAAACAGAACAGAAATCGCTTACAAAAAGCTCTTTACTTTAAGTCTTTTTTGAAAAAAAAAAAAAACGAAACAAAAGAAAAACAAACAAGTAAACCTTATTATTACCAATATTATGATTATGATTATTATTATTATTATTATTATTATGAGAATATGCTGAAAAAAATCGTGAAGCAATTGTGTATTGGGGGCAGCCAATTTCAAAAAGAAAGAAATGATTCCAACTCCAACCAACCAACCTATCAATCAATCAATCAATCAATCAATCAAACCAATCCAACAAATCAGAACCAACCAATCAATCAGCCGATTTAACAACAACTTTTCATCAAGTCCTATAAAGCCAATAGAGCAGCCCAACATGGACAGCCAAGATCAACGAATAAATCGAGCTATAAACGAATCATCCACATAAAGACACCACACCACCACCAACACCACCACCAACATCTCCATCTGCATCTCCATGAAATGAAATTCTTTTTATTGTCAATACAAAGTCGTCGTCCCGCCCATATCCGTTAACCTTTCAGTCTTATACAGACTTATCGATCGTAAAGCTGTATGATGGCGCTCACCTGAACACTCCTCAGCCACCGTCCTGGGCTCATTTGGACTCCATCTCCAATAGGTTCTCCATTGCTAAACCTTTCGATCTGTTAAATAGAGAATGATGCATGATAGCGTAGGCGTTGAAACATCCAGTTAAGGCAGTTCATGGATGAACAGGCTCTACAAAGGTGCCGTTTACTACGTGCATGCACATGAGATAGGGCTGTGCACACTACTGCTCTATGAGCATCTATTGTTAACCGTTCAAATTTTATCTAAGAAGCAGTAGATATTATTAGCCAACCTTGAATGTTGCATCTGCCATGTGCGTTTTTTTTTTGGAACTACTAAAGCAATAGAAAAGCCGTATTATTTCCATAAGGTTCATAGTTAATAAATATCATACAGCACAAATTAAAATGGAAATAGCACTAGATTCATCTGATAAGTCTGCTATATTACCACTAGTTTCGATCTGGCAGATCGGTAGGGATCTACCGGACCTTGTCGCACTCCATCTACTCCCTCCCACTCCATCCACGCGACTGAGCGGCACATTCTTCCATAAATTCATTCTTCCATCCACGACTCTCAGTGCTCAGTGCTCAGTGCTCAGTGCTCAGTGCTCGGGCAATGGGCTCTTTTTTTCTCTGTGCTCATTCCGCTCGCTCTTTCATATTTGTTTACATTAGTAGGCGCCACTCCAACAGATGCGAATTCCATCTCGAGTTTCGAGTTTCGAGCTTCTCGTCCACACATCCGTTTATCCATTCATCCATACAGCCACGCACATAACGAAACATGCATGCATACATATGTACATACACATTGCCATAGTGAGATCTGATTGGATCCGTTGTCCAGGGATTCTACTGAACATCATTAACAATTGTATGGTTTCATGTTTGAGTGTGTAGGCGCCTGGGAGTTAGAGTATTTACTCGTAGAATCCATTGAAACCACATTGAAACAGGATCCAAAACAGCAACAACGGCAGGAAAAACAACTCGTCAGGATAGGTGGTCCACGTACACCCTCCCCAATTCCCCCTCCCCATCACACACACACACAAACACAAACACTCACAAAATATGTGTAAAATATAATAATATTTGAATCAGAACTATAACTCCCTCCCCCTCTTATAATACCAAATGTTGAACAATTACCAATATAGTATGTTTAAAATAATGAAAGAAAACAAAAAAAAAACAAACAAAAAACCAAAAGCAAAAGCAAATGCAAAAAGCCAATATGCAACAAAAATATATTTGAAATTCTCTATACACTTGCAGACAATGTGTAAAAAACAAAGAAGGTATGAAAAGCTTCAAAGCGAAAGAGAACAAGAAACAAAAAGCAAAAAGAATCCAATAAAAAAAAAACGTACGTAACTGTAAACATATATCGGGACATCGAGAGAGAAGTGCAGGTGTTTATGACGTAGACAGACAGAGAGAGAAAAAGAGTTAGGGAGTTAGAAAGAGAGAGAGAGAGAGAGTGAGTTGTGTTGGGTGCGGTCCAGATAGTGGGACGAATTTCAGAGAACATAACCTATTCAAAAAAAAAAAAAACCCAAGAAGATAGACTCCATTCAGGGAATTATGATACCGCCACTTATAGAGGGCGGGACACGAGGTCTCTGGACTAGTTTCCACCCTGTAATCAATATTACTTATCGTTTTAAATATTTTGTGTATCGTGGAAACGAATGGAACTGAAATGAAAACTAACAAGTAGCACAATTCGCGATAAATTCATCGCATTTTCATCTACAATCGAGAATAACGTAAACACACTGTGATTTTTTAAATTTTTTTTTTATATTTTATACATATACGATACATGAGTTAAAAACTGTGCTCGTTACGTGTTGCGTATATTTGTGGCTTTTATTTCCCGCTCCCCATGTATGTGTATTTGTACAAAATATGAAGAAACGGCTCTTCCAACAGACAAGGCTTCCATGCCCCTCAAAGTCAGGAACAACCCACTATACCTCCCAGTTCCGATCCGATTCGATTCGATTCAAGAAGGCAGCTGATCAATAAACGATAAAAAAAACCGATAAACCAACACAGAAAAAAACATGCGAAACATGGGTACCAAAAGAAATGAAACGAAACCAAATGAAGATGATTATTTAGAGAATTTCGCGTGTCCAGGAAAGCCCGGTGTGGGGTGTCAGGCTCCCCCACCTTTCTGTCTCTCTCTCTCTCTCTCTCTCGCTCTCTCGCTCTCTTTCATTCTGTCACTGTCACTGTGGGACTTTTTAGGAACGGGGAATGTCAAGCGAATACGGAAACGAAATTGAACAGAACCAGAAAATAACTTCAAATAGAGTATTTTGCTCTATAGCTAAACTCCAACTAGATATAGAGATGTACATAGATATATGGAATACTGCTATATAGGATAATACTGATCAGAAGGTATCAAAATAAAAAAAAAAAAAAAAAATATATACAAAACAAAAAAATACAAAGAAATCAGAAAACAGAAAACAAACAAATGTTTTCCGAAAGCATTTGATTATTTCTTTTCCGGCTGTCGGCTTTCCCCTTTACACATTGTTTGCACGTTTTTTTCAAAAAAAAAAAAAAAAAAAAAAAAAAAAGGAAAAATAATAAATACAAATATATATATATACACAAAAGAAATGCATATAGAAGAGGAGAATGATGGATGATGATTATGAGAATGCAATGGAAATAAAGAAAACATTTTATAAAAAAAAAAAACAAAAAAAAATTGCATAAAAAAATCAATTTAAATATATAAATTTTTACTATTTAAAATAACTCAAATGAAAACGAATGATGGAAGACAAACAGCAACCAACAAACAACAGAAACAATAATAACAACTAACAACAAAAACACAATGAAAGCAAGACATAAAAAAAGGCAGACCGCAGTGAGAGAGAGAGAGAGAGAGAGAGAGAAAATAGAATCAGAAGGAAACCAAAGGGGCAGGAAGAGAACAACAGCTTTGAGGATCGGTTAAACGATTCCTTTTCCGATTCCACCGATATTTCTTTCACCAATGCATCTCACCGCCAGAAATCCGACGAAATATTTCACGTTCTATTAAATTAGCCGCCATTCCCGTTCTTAGTGTATTTTGTGAATTTTGTTTGGTTTTTATTAAGAGTCACCTCCTTAGGGAACCAAAAAACCAACTGGCCTTACGTGTGAAATGTGCATCAAGCATTCATACAATAGAGTGTATCCGACAGAATACGTATCGCTTCTTTGTTAATTTCCATACTTTTTCAAGCTTATCCTTTTAGTCTTTGAGATTTTGAACCTCCCTTGATGATTAAATTTCGGATTGAATTGTTTTCTTTCTTGGGAGTAGTAGAGTAGTGGGTGAAAGGTTAAAGAACAAACAAACAAAAAAAAACCAACCATGGAAAATTAAAAGAAATTTCATAATTTAAAGAATAATGGCAGGAAGGGGAAGTCGAAAATAAAATCAAATATAATATAAAATAATATAAATAGCAACAAATCTTAGGGAAAGGAAGAGAGATAGAGATTCTCCAGATACAAGACGTAACACAAAAAAAAGGGAAGGAACTTGACGTAACGCAACGCAACGCAACGCGACATAACGAAGACCACACATATTTAGCATTATAAAAACCACACACACACAAACACAGTCACCGAAGGACACTATACACACACACACACATGCATACACTTAAATATTTATAGTAAAGAATAATAATATTTATTATTAACAAATGGCAGCGCCAAAAACCAACAAAACCAACAACTAAACTAAAACTAAACAAAAAGCAATGAATACAACAACAAACAACAACACCAACAACAACAACAACAACAACAAAAACAAAAACAACAACAAAACTGAGAAAAGAAAATGTTTATTAAAAAAAGACAAAAAAAAATAACAAACGTGTGTTCTTCCTCATTCCAAAAGCATTTGGCATTTTGCTTGTGGTCTTTTAAAATATAAAATTAAATTATACTATAGCTTTTGAAACACCAAAAATTATTACAGTGCTACACAAAAGCAGAGAGATTACGGTACAGTACACACCCACCTAGCAGCTGGTTGGTACAGTACGCACACACACAGACACACACATGCCTAGACAGGAGATGGTTGGTTTGTTGTGATCGAATGGCTGCCCCCACCCCCACCGGCTGCCGTGGTGTGGTGGAGCGTGTGTGGTCTTTGTGGGGTTTGCAGTTCTTCTCATTTACAGTTTAGATAAAAGAGAAAGAGAGAGAAAGAGAGAGGGAGAGAGAGTGGAGGTAGGAGAAACAGAGCTATAATAAGAGGGAGGGCGCGTGCGCTCTCTCCGTATGAGAGAAGCGCGCGTACATCCCAAACCCATCCAATACGCCCCAGTCTCCACTCCCGGCACCGCCAACAACACAATTGTTTCATCGATCGGCATTGTAAGAGGTATTTTTAATACACATATTACTACTATATACAAAAAACATGTACCACATATTTATTATTCTATTTTACATGCACATTTTATCAACATGTGTACCACCATCCTGTATATTTCCGCTCAAGTATTAGCTTTTTTTTTTGTTGTTGTTTATTTTTGGTTTTTTTTTTTTTTGGTACTGCTTAATCGAGGCGTTGAGCATTTGCATTTGTGCCGCAAATCAACCGCAGCCTCGTTAAACCAGTGCCCAAACCAATTCGTCGCATTCATCACAGATCTCACTGAGCAGCACCGAGTCAACACTGATATTGCTGACGTTAGCCAACACCGGTCGACGTTTGCAAACACAACTGTTGCGCTAGGTGCGGTCCGGTGGGAGAGTGAGGGTGAGGGTGAGAACGGTGCTGGCTTTTGCTTGACTTTCTTTGCTTATTATTTCTCCTGCTGCCTTGTCCTGTCCTGCCTCACAGCGTCTATCCTCCTCTTAATCACTCTCTCTAATTTCTCTCCGCACCACAGGTGACGGCGACGAACGACCTCCGCGCAAAAAGAAGCCTCGCGACTCGAATGGCAGCAATGTAAGTATCTCCATTAAGTATACATATACTTATATATCCTTTGATCAGCATCAGTAGGTGAATCGGTCTAGCGATGTCCGTCTGTTGCCATTTAAATCAAATTAGTCCTTCAGTTTCGAAGTCAATCTCAATGAAATTTTGCACATTCTGCTGCTTTGACCGCCTTCATCAATAGACAGATCATTCGAAATCGGGCAAATGGACCACTCTGACTTATAGCTGAGACAATAACGAAATACAATACAAGAAATGTTTTTGGTTGGGTGCATTCAAGGGTAGCTTCTTTTCTTTACTGGGATTCCATATGACTCCCTATTCCCTATTGGGATTCCCTATTACCTCGACGAGCACACAGTGTTGCATGCGGCGTAACCTAACATAAACTTGCTTGTCTCCACTCTTATCGTCCTGTCTCTCTTCTCCTTGCCGCTGTTCGTTATCGTTTTGTGTCCGTCATCGCTCCACGACATGATCGCTCCACCGAAATACAGGTAAATAACCCCAGCTTTAGCGGTGTTCTGGGAGGAGTCCTGCCGAGTGGCGGCTTGACGCCGACGCTCCTTCACATGGGCCTGGACCACGTGCTGAACCCGAACTCACCCACATCACAAATGGGTAAATATCCGATGCCCGATCCGATCCGATTGTGTGTGCCTAACTAACCTTCGTGTGTGTTCTACCCTCCACTCTCCACCCTCTACCCTGTACCCTCACCCACCGCCCTCCATCGTGCTCCATTCAATTCTGTTTGCAGCCAATCTGTTGGGCAATCCGAATCCCTTGACGGCGGCTGCCATGCTGAACAATAACAACAAGACGACGTTGCAGGTCGGCGGCAGCTTCGGTGGCGCCTCCGCGGGCGGCAACAACAGTATGCTGCACGGCCCGGTTGGTGCAACGGCGCACCACAAGAACGGACAAAACGACCACCTAATGACTGGCAAAGTGCCGCCTGGCGGTGGAGCTGCCGGAGCCGCTTCCCTGCCGCCACACAGCTATGCCGGTAGCGTGCCCACCCAGGCCGCAAGTCTGACCGGAGGGGGCATACGGATAGCCAGTAATCTGCACAAGCATCCCAACCTGCCCGGCGGCGACCTGGTCGAGAATCACGCGGCGCTGACCGCTGCCTTGACGTCGACCGTCAACAGCAACAGCGGCACCGGCAGCGGAGCTGGAGTGGGCGTGGGCGCCGGCCTGAGCAACACCAGCAGTGGCACCGCCTCGGGCCACACACACAACACCAACACAATGGGTGGCCACGGCGATGGCTTGCCGAGTGCCTCGCTGTCATCGGGTCTGAAGCAAATCCCGCAGTTCGACGACCCCGTTGAGCAGTCGCTGGCCTCCCTGGAGTTCAGCGCGGCGGCGGCCTCCACGGGCAAGTCGGGCCTAACCGATAACTTTTTGATGGCCCAGCAGGGACACCTAATGCAGCAACCTGGTCAGCAGCAGCCGCCCTTTGGACACCACCAGCAGCAACAGCAACACCAGCAGCAACAGCAGCAGCAGCACCACATGGACTACATGACGGAGCTGCTGACAAAAGGGGCTGAGAATGTGCCCGGCATGAATGGAAATCTTCTGAACTTCAACCTTGACATGGCGGCTGCGGCGGCCTACCAGCAGAAGCAACACCACGGCCAGCACTCCCAGCAGCAGCAGCAACAACAACAACAGCAACAGCAGCAGCAACAACAACAGCAGCAGCAGTCGCACAACAATGGCTTCAATGTGGCGGACTTTGGCATGCCAGGATTCGATAATCTTACGGCAACAGCATTCCTTGACCTGGAGCACACACTCCAGCAGCAGCACATGCAGCTGCAACAGCAGCAGCAGCAGCAACAGCAGCACCACCATCACCAACAGCAGACCCTCCAGCAGCTCCAAGCCCACCAGCAACAGCAGCTGCAGCTGGCTAACAAAATGCTCCTCATACCCAAGCCAATCGAGTCGATGATGCCCAGTCCGCCGGACAAGCTGAAGGTAATGCTGAAAGTATCGCAATCGCCCTCCGAAATGAAGCTGAACTCAAGCCAGGCGGCGGCCGCCCAGAGCATGCTGGCTCAGTCATTCAAGGCGGCCGAGCAAAACCTGAAGAATGCCAGCTCATGGTCTTCGCTGGCATCGGCCAGCTCACCGCAGAACACTTCGAGCAGCTCGAGCAGCAGCAAGCCCAAGCCGGCGATGGATTCATTCCAGCAATTCCGCAATAAAGCCAAAGAACGCGACCGCCTCAAGCTGTTAGAGGCGGCCGAGAAGGAGAAAAAGCACCAGAAGGAGGCTGCCGAGAAGGAGCAGCAGCGAAAGCATCACAAGTCATCCTCGTCCTCATCCGCCTCACAGATTTTCCAGGCTGCCGCTGCCGGTGCAGCAGCCGTCGCAGCAGCAGCTGCCGCAGCGGCAGCGGCAGCCTCCACAGCAAACATCTCCACCGGAAATGCGCCTCAGTCTAGCGCAGGACAGATCAGCAGTGATCGTGAAAGGTCCAGCAGCGCTGTGGATGCCACCCGCATGAGCAGTGGTGGGGGAGGTAACAGCGGCCTCCTCCTACCCGGCAATGGCAACAACAGCAGCAACTCTGCCAACAGCAACGGACCCGGCAGTGCGGGCAGCGGCAGTGGGGGCCCCGTCAGTGGCCCGGCAAGTGGCGGCGGGCCCAACAGCGGCGGGCCCAACAGCGGCGGGTGCATCATCGGCCCGTTGGCGAATACAGGCAGCAACAGCAACAGCGGCGTTGCCAGCGGAGCCACAAGCAGCAACAGCAATAGCAGTGTTGGCGGAGTGGTCGGGAGCGGGGGGCCCGGCTCGAATAGCCAGGGCAGTAGCGGTGGGGGCGGGACCATGGGTAGCGGACTCCTAGAATACGGCCCACAGGTGGTGGTACTCAACCAGGCGGCGGCGAATGCCCAGGCCCAGAACGTATCGACTACAATGACAGCCCAGACCGTCCTGGCCTCCTCGCCCCTGGAGGCTATGGAGAGTGGCAGGTAAGTGCTCGTTGATGCCTTGTTGCTTGGCTATGACACAAAATAATCTCCTTGTGCCTGCAGGAAAAGCGTGCATGACACCCAGTCCCAGATATCTCGTGTCGAGGACATCAAGGCATCGCCGGGCCAGGGCCAGAGCTCGCCGGCACAGCAATCGCCGCAAGATCGGGCAGCGGCCAAGCGTGCGGAGCAGCGAAGGGCGGAGCAGGAGAGACGCAGACGTGAAGCGGTGAGTGGCTCCTAATAATTCACACTTCTTCCCCCAACTAAGCATTTTGTATCCTTTCCCACAGTTGGCTGGTCAAATCGACATGAACATGCAGAGTGATCTTATGGCAGCGTTTGAGGAGACGTTGTAGGACAAGGCCTTCGGAGGACAGCACCGGACATATACGCATCCCAGAACCAGCATCCTCATTGCTGCTCCGAGAATGCCGTCGTCGCTTTCAAAGCGGCGGGCGGCGAGGACGCCAAAGCCTGATCCAACACATACAACGATGGAGAGCAACACCAGCAACCCCAGCAACACCAGCAACACCAGCAACCCCAGCAACACCAGCACCACCAGCAACACCAGCAGCAAAGACCATAAGAAACATGTCAGCAGCAGCAGCAACCCAGACTTGAAACGCACTAGCAGCAGCAGTCTCGACCCCAAACACAGTAGCAGTAGCGTCAGCAGTCACCCCGACCACAACCGCAGCGGCAGCAACCCCGACCACAAACGCAGCGGCAGCAACACCGACCACAAACGCAGTAGCGCCAGCCACCACAAACGCAGCAGCAGAAACAACGACGACAAGCGCAGCACTAGCAACCAGGACCACAAACCCAGCAGTTGCAGCAGCAGTCAACAGGACAACAAACGCAGCAGTAGTAGCGGCGGCAATCCAGACCATAAACGCAGCAGTAGCGGCACCAGCCACGACCACCACAAGCATAGCAGCAGTAGCAACAGTCAACCCGACCACAAGCGCAGCAGCAGCAGCAGTCACCACAAGCGCAGCAGCAGCAGCAGTCACCACAAACGTAGCAGCAGCAGCAGTCACCACAAGCGCAGCAGCAGCAGCAGACATAACGACGAAAATTTAAAGAAGCAACAAAACAAGAAAGCAACATAAAAACAAGTAAGCAATGTTTTAAGGCGTAATCTTCATACGTACATTTAGTAAGTATCTATAGTGCATATACATATACAAAGGATCGGGATAGGAGCGCTGCCCGGTCCTGCATGTACAGCGACAGCGACAGCGACAGCAACAGCAACAGCAAGAAATAACAACAATAACTACAAGAAAAACACGCAACATCTGCAAGAACAGCAGATTTGAACATTAACCGAAACAAAAAGGCAAATTTCCTTTGGTTCATAAATTGTTTTGGGGTTCAATTGAATCGGCGATTATTCTATACATATATATATATATATACATTTATTTGTAATCTTTTCACTTGCGATTGTTTATTGCGATTATAATGATTAAAATAATTTAAGCGATGAGATGATGAGATGTTGATCGATCCGACTACCTTAATGAACACGATTCAAATCTTATTATGTTAAATATTATATTGATTGCTTAGGCAAACTTAGCCTGTAGATTTAACACATTACATTACGGATAAATCATCTTTTTTTTGTCTTAAGTATACACAAAACACATATGCTTAGAGTTGTTAACTAATTTAATGAAAGGAAATCAATCAATGTATGTATCTATCTATCCAAGCGTGAGAGGGAGGGAGGGGGGGATTGCACAGCCAGGTTCTTCAGTACGATTATGATCATAACCTTAATTCCGTAATAACCCCCCAACACCCGCGCACCCCTTATCTGTTTAAAGGCTTGACAGGCGTTCCCACACATATGCGACCAAGTCTATTTTTACACTTGTAATTTACACACAAACAAAAACACACACTCACACGTACTATAACCATACTATGGCTATTTTATAGTAGTTACATTGAGATAATGTATTGGCCAGACAGAGGAACCCCAGCTCTCAGCTCAATCAGAACCCGAACACGAACCAGAATCGGACCCCAAACCAGAACCCGAACCAGAACCCGAACCCGAACCCCTTCTAGAAATTATAAAATTGAAACAAATGTAGTTCTTAAGTAGCCAACGAAATTTTTCTATTGTGACGCGACTAAAAACCATTAAGAACTAGAAACAGCAACAATGCTTGCAAATAAAACTTACAGAAAACAATATTTCATTTTCTTTTTCATAATGTAAGATTATATAAAAGCAGGATGATCCCTCAAAGAAATTGCAGTGACAATTATTTATGTACATCGATATATATATGTATATATATATATATATATATATATATATATATATGTATCTGTTTAGTCCCTGCTGTCTTCCATAGATCTTCAACTAGCTGGCAAGTACAGATTCAGATTCAGATCTAGGGCCAGGTCCAGGTCCAGGTCCAGTCTCCATCTTTGCCTTTGTCTCCGTCTCTGTGTTCGTAATCGTCTCTTTAAATCCTTAAGCTAGAAACGTTTGTAGTCCCCTGACCACACACATCGGATGTACATATATACAATTCCATGTAGATCTGATCTGGAAGTTTGGGCTCCCAATACCAGGTAGAGCTCTCCCCCCACTCCTGTGAAGCAGTTTTGTAGCGAGTGCCAGGCAGGAGAGGGCCAGACCATACGGTATATATACATATGTATGATGTAGTAATATTACCGACTAAGATGACGACTTTATACTATCTTACTATTGTAATTGTAATTGTAATTGTATTTATATTTGCGTACGGTACATATTTAGCGAAAATTCAAATTGTAAACCTAGTAATAATGGATAGTAGTACGAAGGGTGGGTCTGTGCTTGAGAATGGGTTTATTTCGCTCTGTCTGCGAGTGTGCGAGCTCCCCCAGTGTGTCCGTATGGGTATATGTTCTTGTATATAGAGTCGTTGTGTAACTAATACTTACGGGTATGTGTATCCCCCGGCATCACATCCTTATGTTGTTAAACCCCGCAAGAAACGTCATTTGATTATTGTAAATTCGTTTTGAAAATCTAACGGGTATATCCCGCATTCTACAAGTACGAGTATATACATATATTAAAGTATATGGAGACATCGGATAAACATATGCAGAAGAGAAATATTTTTTTTTTTTCTATACTTAATTTTAGCATTTAATTCAAACAACAAAAAAAAAAAAAATAAAAAAAATCATAAAAAAAACGGGAGAATAAAAATTGATAAAATGAAAACTGTATAAAAAGAGAAATTGAGAGCAAAAAATATAAACCGAAAATGAACAACAAAATAAAAAAGTTTTTAATTTAGAGCAAAGCAAAGATGGATAAATTTTCATACAAAAAAACCTCATACAGCCGGACGGACACTCCAGTACGTACATATGTACATAAATATAAAGAGATATACATATATGTATAGCTCTCTGTTATAAGTATGTACATATGTCAAAAACACGGACAGCGAATCACTCGATTATTGCCCAATTGGCATTTTAGAAATTAATTGTTGGACTTTTGTGGATACATAGCCGAATAGAGTTAGAGATGAAAACAACGCATATACGAGATTTGCAGATAGGGATAGGAAGGATAGAGATAAGCGTACAGAGAGGCAATACAGATAGAGGTGGGGGCAAGAAGAGCATAACGAAAACACGCCACGAAAACTGGTAAACTAGTAACAAAGAAGAGAAAGCAAGGGAAAACCACATGGGGGCTGACAGCGAGCGAAAAATGTGGCAAAAGCGAGAGGGAACACAACTGTACCTACAGGTGACTCCTATCCTCCTCGCCAAACCCCTACCATGCCCTCACACGACCATTGATCCATTCATTACACACACACATCCATACACTTTTTAGTAAGTCTATTTTTAATGAACAAACCGAGAAACCAATTACCAAGTAACACATACTTTGCCTTTAATGCGTACACCCAATATCTAGTATTAATAACAAAAATTCAAAGAAAGAGCTCATAAAAACAACAAAAAAAACGAGCAGAATAATAACGAGGGAAAAACAACAGAAAATCAGCAAAATAAAAAAAAATCATAAAAAAACTATCCACCAAATAATGTGTTTTCTTATTGCACTCAAGTTAAAAAAAAGGAGAAAGGTGAAAATGGGCATATGGGCACTTCAGTCGAAGAACTGAGCAACTATTTGTGACAAATTAATCACCACACCCCCAAAATCAATGTTCCCCAGCACCTAGTCGACTCTCTCGATTGTACTGCCTGCTTTTCCCCATAGGGTTTTTTATATCTGTTCTCAACCAGCATAGTGGACTAAAGCGCCGGAGTTTGCGGACTTACTTACTACAAGTACATAATGACGTCGTGGGCAATTCGAGTGCTTCCATCGAGCACGAAGGCAGTGACTAGTCCAGCAAGGCCTCCAGCGACACGCAGATCGTGTCCAGCTCGGACTCCAAGCTAAAAAACGTACAGGCCAAGTTCAACACTACCTAATCCAAACAGCGATCCGGTCGACTCGGCCACCCAAAACGGTGTCTCCAGCCAGCTCGTCGCTCGCTTATACGCCAGCTATGACCGGAGCCTCTTGAGCGCGTGCCTTCATGGGCTTCAATATCAAGCTCGCAACAGTAGAATCCTTTCTATTGACATCAATCGAAATATTAAGCATCGTTTTATAGAAAAATGCAGCCCAACCTACAAAATGATAAAACCACACAAGTATAACGGTCGCAAAGGATCGTAATTAATTGCGAATGCGAGACGAAGAAACGAAGCGGATGTAAATTGTCAATGTACTTATTGGTGTTGTCTGCCATTTTCTCTGTACGTATCAATTACGTACCGGTGCACTAGTCTCTGCTCCAATTGTCGTTGCTGATTTCGTTCATCTCGTGCCTCTTGTGGCTGAAATTCCCGACATTGCGACATGCTCACACTCGCATTGTCGTTATCTTATTGGATTCGTTCGCCTGTTCTTTCTGCTCTCGATGGCAATGTTCACAGTAACAAAGTGCAAACATTTCACAGTCACAAAAACGTAATATCCACACACACACAAATATATTAAAACATACGGGATATTTGGACATTGCTCATACAAAAATCCTAAAGCTCTAATTAAAAAATGGTGGGTAGTGGCAGGAATGTGAAAAATACTTTACGACCTGTTCTCATGCGTTGTCCAACAAAAATTGCATACAAATCGGTAGAGCTTTTTATATATTAGTTATTGTATAAAAGGTAAAGCAATTAACAACTGAGGCGATGCTGGATGATATCATTGCCGGTCTTCTGTTCGCCGATTCCCAACGTATACGCAAGTGGACCGCCGCTTTGGGCAATGCGTTTGACAATCCGCAGGCCCTACCAGTGCTCTACCAGATCCTGATGTCGCCTCGAGAGACACAAGTCCGCCAGTTGGCAGTTGTCCCGATTTTAAAGCGGACCCTTTGGCGGATGAGAATCAGGAAGGAAAGTATTTAGCGAGCAGCCTGAAAGCATGCCATGCTTTTTAAACAAATTTGAGCTAGTTTTTTACTGCATAACTCTGCCATTGGTTATCCGATCTTGACGTGCCACGCCCCGTCGCCATCTATGAAGGGCTCTAGTATCAAAAATTATGTAAATGTATTCCTCACTCCGGCTTCATATTGGCAATCTGAGTCAAGGTTCTATTCCATCCAGTTCATCCACGAAAAAATACAGAAGGAGCGACCAAAATTCCAGCGTGTGATGCACCACAGGCACTATGAGATTGGATTGGATTACTCAACGCCGGCAGTCGTCCTCCTGCAGTTCTTCCGGGTGTCCTTATCCAGGTCAACTGGCTGGGTCGTTTCCCGTTTCCCAGCAATGGCGTCCCACATTTTGTATGGTTTATGTTTATTCATTAATAATTACACGGGTGAAATCCAGAACAGAACAGAGAATCTATGATAAACAAAATTCTAAAACGTATAAAAATGGGAATGTTTTTCGTTATTGGCGGCTTGCTCTGTCTCCGTATTGTTTGGAACATGGAACCAACCGCGCGATGTGGATTATGGTGACTTTGTTATTATTATTATTATTATTACTAGTTATATTTATTTATTAATGTGTCAAAATTTGATATGCCTTTCCGTTCGTAAACATCTTGCCATGCTTCCTTCCATTCCTTCTTCTTCTCTCTCTCTCTCTCTTTCCTATACTTATAGTTCTCTCTCTCTCTCTTTCCTATGCTTATGTTTCCGTCTCTCTTTCTGATCTATTGTTTCGTTGTGTTTTTGCATCTCTTAGGGTTAAGGCTTTGTTTTTTTAATAAAAATATATGTATATGTATAGTTATAGTTTAGCTTATTTCTTAAAAAATAGATATTCGAACAATGTTTACGGTTTTTGTAAAAAAAATCATACACACCCACACACGCACATTGATATTGACAAGAACGGAATCTGTCCTCCCATGGAGGGACACGAGAGAGAGCAATAAAATGCAGAGTACATATACAAAAAATATATATAATAATAATTTCAGATACGATCGATCAGAGGGCGGCATACATATGTAATATGTGCAGTATATGCAAACGATGGCCAGGCACAATTGGATCCGATCCGATTCGATTCTTTTTCTGTTCCTATAGTTGTGTGTGTGTGTGAAAGGCACGTTGCGTTTTCTGAGCATATCCGATTCAATTAATACGATATGCGGATCACCAGCGAAGGGAACCTCATTGAGCATGCTCGGAAATGGGAATTTGAATGGGAATGGTATGCCTAGCAGCAGCGGCTTGCTGTACGTAACCCTAGGTACATACAGACATATGGAGGGGACAAACGAACATTGGGTGTCGAAATATGGGGATGGCTTAGATGTCTTTACAAGATGTTTCGAGATGTTTCGAGCAGGAGTTAAAGTGATGAGGGTCTAAGTACAGCTGCCAAACTTAAAATTTGTAATACTAGAGCTTATGCCGAAGCAATCGAATAGATCGTTGGATCGTTGAATCGATGGATAGATGGATCGATGGCCACTGTCTGTGGGTTGTGGGTGCACTTTCGTTGAGCTGGGATGTCCACATCTATCTGTGGATTCCGTTCTATGAGTGGTGTCGCGCGTTCCGCATGAGTGGGACCAGCAGGGAGGGTGGCCCCGCCTGGCGCAGGAATGGATGGGCCAGCAGCTCGGCGGCGGTGGCCCGCTGTGCCGGATCGCGCACCAGCATCCGATCGAGAAACGATTGCAAGCGTGGCGAGACCTTGTGGGCGTTCTTCAGATTCGGTGGCTGCATGTCCCGGATGCGACGCATCGCCTGCAGCGGCGGTTCGTTGAAGAATGGTGGCTCGCCGTCTACCATTTCAATGACCATGATGCCCAGCGACCAGATGTCCACCTCGGGCCCATACGGCAAACGCGAAATCACCTCCGGAGACATCCAGTAGGGTGTGCCCACCAACGATTTGCGCTTGGGCAGCTCCTGCGATACCTGGGCGCAGAATCCAAAGTCCGATAGCTTCACCCGGCCGTCGGCGGCCAGAAGTATGGAATCCGACTTGATGTCCCGATGGATGACACCCTATTGAGAAAGAGAGAGATAGGGAAATGAGAAAATCAGATAAATGTGCTCCCTTTGTGGTTTTACCCACCATCCCTACCCCTGTCACTACCCCACCCCCACTTGAGGCGACCTTTCTCCCAGCCACTTATCGCATTACGAGCGGCCACTGTGGGCCTGAAGCCACGCTCTCGTGTGTACAAATGATTCGTTCTTTCGTTCCCGAGGAACTCATCGTAGACAAAGTGCTTGTAGACTTGGGGCAGGGCAGGCTTATTGCTCTTCTGCACTTACGATTTCACTTCTGCTTGCTGCGCCTAGTTTCGGGTGCTCATTCCACTGTGCGGACGGACAACAGCTTCGGTGACAACATTTAGAAATCGAAACCTAAGCGACGCGAAAGCGGAGGCCAAAGAAAGCGCCACAAATGGCAATGGCAGCAGCAACAGCAGAAGCAGCAGCAGCAGGGAAAAAGAATCGAATCGAATGGAAGGGAATGGAAGGGAAAGGAAAGGAAAGGCGCAGCAGCAATACAGTGAAGAAAGCCCCCAATTTCCGTGGACAGAGGCAGAGGCAGTGGCACTGGCACTGGCAGGGTGTAGCCGCAGACAATGGGGTCTTTCTGCATGCTGGTCACGCACCTGTGAGTGCAAATAGGCCAAAGCCTTCAAGCACTGCTTGCAGACAGTGGCAATCTGCTCCTCATCCATGCGCGAATGGGTGACAATGTCGGTGAGGGCACCGCCCTCCAGATACTCCATAACAACCCAGAGCTCGTCGTTGACCAGAAAGCTGGAGTATGTCTCTACGATATTCGGATGATGGTAGTCCCGCATGATGACCACCTCGTTGAAGAGAAGCTCTCGTCGCTGCTGCTTGCGCAGGTCCATTTTCTTCACGGCCACCTGGCGACCTGCAAAACAAACAAAATACCAAATCCGTTTGGTTGCAGGACAATTAGGAATAAGTGGAGCCGCCACACCCACCTGTGGACTTGTCGGTGGCTATGCAGACGGTGCCCGTCGAGCCCTCTCCGATCTTGTTGAAATGATCTAGATTCTCGCGCGGATCGCCAGCGGAGACGACCATTTGGAGGGCGGCACGAAATTGTTCGTGGGTCAGCCGCTGCTCCTGTTTGGGCTGCTGCTGCTGCACAGACGCCTGAGAAGCTGCCAGGGTGGCACTGCTGGCCCCGCCGCTCGAGCTGGATGCACGCGATGCCGACTTGACATGGTTGTGTGCATGCGGATGCGGATGCGTCTGGGCGTGGCTATGCAAGGGATTTTGATTCTGGTCGCCCACGCCCACGGACTTGGACTGGTGGGGCTGTGAAGCGGGGGGATACAGGGGGAAGCTGCTGCTGTTTCCGTTGTTCGTGTGGGAGTGGGTGGATCGCGTTCCGCTGGCCACCGAACCCACAGGCGATGTTTGTTGCGGGATGGCGCCCGGCGGTCCGACGCCTCCAATGGCGCGGTACTGCATATTCGCGCCCTGATCCGTTCGCACGGCCAGGGGACCTGTGGCCGCTCCATTGACGTGCGCGTTCTGACTGGAATAGAGCATTGGCTGGCCCAGGGGCTGCTGGGGCTTGAAGCCCGTCGCTGGCGTTGTCGTCGCCGCCTCCTCCTCGGGAACGGAGGGCGGCACATTAGCCACGCGACGCACACGCGGCGGACTCGAGCTGCGTAGCGAATTGGAGCGCGCCACATGCGAGGTCTTGGGGAGGACAATGCCGGACGTGGTCATTGGGTCCATTAAATGATGAGGCCCTCCAGCACCCAGCATCCCCATCGAACCAGGCACTCCGCCTGGAGTACCTGGGATCGGTCCACCGCCGGAACCCCCAACCGAGGCCATCATCATGGTGCTACTGCTATTTAGCGATGTGGTGTCCGCCTTATTATTGTTGTGGTGGGGCCGCACAATCGTTTTCAGGTCGAGGATTTCTGTGGGCGTAATCTCCGAGGGATCGACCAGGGGCAGAGGTCGATTGGTCGACTTGAGGATCTGATTATTGCCCACAATGGAGGCCCACTGGAGTGGGAGGCCGACATATTTGTTCTCCCGCTTATCGAATCCCGTGTGCACGCGATGCTCGAAATTGCTGGGCATCGAGATCAGGGGTTTCTTCTTCTTCTTGGTGAACATTTTGCAGGGAAATTCGCGCTTCTGCCTGCTGCTGCACGCCGTTTATTATTTTTTACTCTGCAGACCCACACAAAAAACGCAGCAAATTTTCACTTTTTATTGCCCGGCCACTTTCTTAATTATTACGATATTGCAGCCTTAACTCATACAGTAATCAATTGTAATCACAATTGTAATCAATTACAATACACAAACACGGACGCGGACACGCGGACACATTTTTTGCGGCTTGGAGACGCTCAAGTTACGAATAAAAAACACAAACAAACACAATTGGAGAAACAAAAAAAATAAATAGAAAAACACAAGAAGTGTGATCGCGGATTTATCGAACAAGTATACGGTCCGACCATCACAAATATACCGACTCATTTTAAAAATATACCGTAAATATACTGACGGTAACAACAATTTGCGTTTTGACATCGTAACAACACGCCAGTTACACATTTGCTACATGTTAACTACATTTTTATGTAACTAAAAAAAGCAACACCTGCAGGGGAAATGTATACGTTTCAAAAATTGTTGCCGAAATTTTTTGAGATTTTGATGGCAAACGATCAGAAATTCGATACTGAGTATTCGATGTGGTCTGGGACATGGCTCTAAGTGGCATTTCTACACGATTTCTACATTGGTGAATTGGACAAGAGGGTGTGAAAAAATACTGGAAAATACGATGAAAAGTATAATATTTGCAAGGTGTGTGAGCTAGACATGGTGGCAAAAATATCAGTGTAACCTAGGGCAGTGTGTCCCTCAGAAATATATTAAAATATTCCGATGAAAAACCGAACTTAGCCCACTTAAGCCGCCTCTATTTAAACAGTTAAACGACTTGAGGTAAATGGCTGAAAATTGTTGCATGCGAAGATATCGATAGGTGATACCCCATAGAAGCGGTGAGGAGGAAAGAAGTTTGAACAGAGTGGCAAGGCCAAAATTTAAGGGGAAAAGGTTAGCGAAGAGTGGCGCCACCTGGTCCTGAAGAGTGAGAGTTCCGCGCGCTGTCCGGAGCCGTTATGAGAGAGGATTTCCGATCTCATCCCATAACGGAGTCCCGAAGCCAAAGAAAGAGAGCCGCCAGCAGCCCGAATCAGGCCATTCCCTTGAATCTAGTTCCTTGAACCTAGTTCAAGGGCGATAGAAGAGAGCGATGGGGATCAGCGGCCCGGGAGCATCATACAGAGCAGCTAAGCAAAGAGGGGGTTCAGAGTAAAAATTTCCCGCAACGGAGGAGCATGCGCGCCAGTTGACGGAGAAAGTGCCGTGATTTTTTAGTTTTGAAAGAAAAAGTGAGTGGGATGAGGATGGAGTAGTGGCCAGCACCCGATAAAAAGATAAATAAATCTGTGATTCCAGGGGATCAAGATCAGTGAAACACCAGGAACTTTAGAGCTGACCAGCGGGACGGAAAGTAGACCCAAAAAGCGCAAGAGTGAGTCCGCTCCAAAGGGGCAGTAAAGAAACCCCCAATTTATTCTTTTTGTTGGCAAATCCATAGGGAATAGGTCACAGCTCCGACATCCTGGCTTGCTTTTTGCTGGTCTCGAGAAACTATCCTGGTCACCTAGTGCGGGTCCCTCGCCCATTTAGGGAGACAGAAAAAATCATCAAACGTGAAAATTATAAGAAAGAAAATGAATTGCTAATCGTTTCGTATGGGGGGAAGAGGAGCCACAGCAACGGGAGGGTAAGGCTGCTGAACATGGCATGGAGATCCAGAACGTTGTGATTCGGATCTCAGGTAGGGTGGGTCAGCTCAGCTCAGAGGTAAAAACATCGACACCTCGACCTGGTCCACGTCTGTGTTGAAGGAAGTTACTGTAATATTGTTTGTCGAGTAGAGTCCGTTTGCAGTTTTTTTTTTGTCGGCTACTTTTGTTTTTTCAATTTGTTCGAGATGACCAATTAGTTGGTATATTGTGCGACCTGAGGGCTTGGGAAGTACCCAGCCCTGGGATGACTGGCTAGCCGGCCTTGCCCTGAAGAAAACAAAGGTTCGTAACAAAATATTCTTGTACGTTGAGATGGAATGACTGCATCTTACAAGAGGCGAAACCAGCAGAAGGCTGTTACGCGCGGATCCCAGGCATCCTCCCGCCTAACCGACCGAGGGGCGCTGCCGCATGACTCGCGGCGTGAGGCGAACCGAACGCGGGCATGCAGAAAACCGTGCAGCTAAATTGGCGCGGCAGGATATCCAGGCGGGTGCTGGCCGATATTTAGGCGGAACAAAATCGGACTAAAAACTTCGTACAAACTAGGAAAGAACCAAGAAGAATTCCCCAGTATTGGCACTTATTGCCTGGGAATCGGTGGCCGGGGGCCTGGGCAGCGGCAATAGTAACGGTAACGTATTCAGCAAGGCTCCCAGCCACCTCTATAAATACAAACAAATACTGTGACAACTTTGAACAGCTTGATGTTTTTTGGGACTTAAGTAATATACTCTGAATATCCTTGAGACCGCGATTCATGATCAGATTGGCTATGCTACGAATTTCTTCACGCTCATCTCCGTCAGCGGGCGATCACTCGAGGTGAGCACCAACCCCACTTGATACAGATTGGCGATCTTAAAAATACAAAAAAAAGCATAATTGATTTTTCACAGGTTTTTGTGGGTATATTTTGTTGTTGCTTTTTTTTAATTATCATACCGCATATATTTACTTATTTACATTACGATACCGTTTCTTAAAACGAATTCTCTCCGATTTCCACAACTCAGTTTTTCCCGGGACTTACAAATGATCAATTAAAAATTATATTAAAATATTTTAATGTTTTCCATGTGAATATATTTATGTAGTTATGTATATATAAAACATGCGTATAATCATCATAACTTTATTCTTTTTTCTGCTCTCTATTATCGCCACTGTGCATCTGATCCTCTTCTTCTATTCTTTTCTCTATCTTTTTCTTATCGGTAGCTATAGGTTTTTTTCATTTACGTTTCTAAATAGTTTCTGTTTTCTGTATTTTGTTGGTGTACTGCTGTTGTGGCTCTTGCTTCTGTGTTTCGATCGCGAATTCCTTGGATAAATCTATAAATGAAGAACAAAAACTAACACAAACTAGTAATGCGGTCCTCATTATCATTATCATCTCCTTTTTCTCCCTTCTTTCCTCTACTTGTTCCGTATTCTTTCCTTTCCACTGCTTCCAAAAATATCTAAGCAGATGATGCTCTCTCTTGATTTTTAATATATATGTATATTATAATATAGTTTACTCTCATTCTTCTTCTTTGCGCTATTTACCTCCTCATTCTCATCTTCATCCCCGTTCTCTCTCTCTCTTTACATTTTCACAACATAATTATTACATAATTATCGGTTACTAATTATACTTATAAATATATATATATATATGTATCTCATGTATGCATCAAGAAACAATAGTTGCAAATAAAATGACTAAAAATACAATTAAATTGAAATTTACAATTCCGTCGCCTGCAATGTACTGGCATGTGTATGGGGTGGTTCTTGTTCTTTTTGGATTGATTCGAGGATTACCTACTGTACACTAATACACTGCCCGAAGACCACACTCTGACGACGAAGATGATGATCCTTCAATCCGGATCCCTTGTTTTCTATGTTTTTCATACGCTTTCGGCTTGCCTGCGCCCATCATTCAATCAATTAACAAAAAAAACTAGCATAAAAAAGGATCCATTACAAACTAGAGAATGGACACGAGAGCTGCTTGATGAGGACGCAGTATATGTGTGTGTGTGTCCATAAAACCAACAAATTAATATAACTTAAACAAATTTTGTGTGTGTGTTTAGAGAGAGGACTACGAAATATGGTTGCCGTTGCCGATGTTGCATTTGCATCGGGATCTGCATCTGCTTCCGGTGAACAGTTCCTTTACGTCCTTTACGGCTGCTGTGCTTCAGTCAGTGGTGCTATTGCTTCATTGTTGCTTCGGCGTCGCACCAGTTTGTAACGGCTGCGCAGGACATGGGGGGAGCTCTTGGCACCGACTCCCGCGACGGAACCTACTCCTGTTTCTGTTCCGTCGTTATCGTTGTAGCGCTGCCGGTGGCTGATTCTCTTGGTGCCACTTCCTCTGTGACTCCTGTTGCTCATGATGGCGGAGGTGGTGACTTTGCTGCGAGTTTGCCACCTGCTGTGCAACACTCCAAGCCGCTTCTGTCTGGTCAGCTTGGCGGCTGCCGTGTTGAACATGGTGGTTGTGGATTCTTCATCTGGTTCTGTGGCGGTCCCAGCCGTAGAGGCCGAGACGGTACCTGTGACGCTGCGTACAAAACGGTATTTAGAAACGTGGGGGATCTGCTGCTGATTACTATCATTGTGACGGCGACTCCGTCTGTGGCCACCAACGGATGATGCCCCTAGCGTTCTGTCACTGCTCTCGTTATCCGTTACCAGCTCCTCCTCGTCCTCATCCTCCTCCCGCGGCGTCTGCCCGATTTTCCGTGCATCACCGTCTTCTAGAGCCAATCCCATTCGTTGTGGTTGTGCCTGTGCATCTTCTTCATTCATGTGGCTGTTGCACTCGGTTCCCCCCCCTAAAGCGATGGCGAGGGCGGCGGCGGCGGCGGCCTCAGTAGATGTTGTTTCGGAGGCCTGCGATGCCACTTCTACCGTGGCGGCAAACGGCGCACGGGGGCGCGGATCTTGCGGCGCGCCATCTGTGAATTCTGGGCGGCGTTGCCAGCTGGCGGTGGATTGAAGCTGTGAATGGAACGGGATTCGTTAGTGCATGTGCGTCTATGTATGACTGAAATCGGAACTAGTTCCGGGTTTTGCAGCTGCGGAGCGAGTATGAATTTGAAATCTTGTGGCCTTTAAAAAAAGGAACAGAAAATGTGTGCAAACAAAAACCACACGGAAACGTAAAATATTAACGCACTGAAGGACTGTGACCGCAAAAACCGCGCGCACACACACACACAAAGAACATTTATGGAAACATTTAGTTGTATGCAGTGGTTGCTGGTGGGATTCCAAAACAGATCTTTAAATCCGTTTTGTTTTGTTATGTTTTTTTCTTTTCGTTTTGTTAACATACATACATACAGACATACATAACAAACACAACAACAAATATCTTTACAAATTAGCTGTGTAAATGCAATAATAACGGTGAACGGTGCATCAGTGTAGGTGTATAACTGTGTGGGTGTCTGTCTGTGTGTGTGTGTTTTTGTGTCTGTGATTCGGCCAATCATTTTGGAAAATTGCAATAGACAGAGAGAGAACCAATGATCCTCTCTCTCCTAATCGCTTTCCACTCACTATTCGTATCTCTAGCTCGCTCACGCAGCATTCGCAAGTGCGTACTCTTTCTCTCTCCTTTACTTACGCGAACATATTGGCTGGCGCCGGAGCACCGGCACTAAATTGGAACGGTGCGTTGGCATTTGGCGTTGACTGCAAGCAAACAAATAAAAAAAATACGTTTTCGGTTTGGTTTTTTCCTTTTTGGGTTTTTGTGGTAAATTTGTTGTCTTTGTTTAAAGCAAAAAATTATTTTTGTTGTTCATGATGAGTGAATGTACGAGGGGGAGTGGGTTGGGTTGAGATTGGGAGGGGGACGGGGAGGGGCGTAAATTACGTAGTGTATTTACAAATTGGTTTCTCAAATGAAAAGTGACAGCGGAATGAGAGTGTTCGTATATGTGTGGGTGTGTGTGTCGGTAGAGTTTATGAGTATGAGTGTAGAATGTTCGTCTGTTTGAGTGTTAAAAGTGTGTGTTTCTGTGTGTGGGGTTAGAGGTCACACATACAGTGCTGTCCAAAAAAAGTATAGAACCGGCATGCATATAAATCATATGTTTATCAGATTCCATAGCACACGTAGATGTATGCACATACATACATATGTATGTAGATCGAATATCGCGGCCCCGTACAGTTGTACAGTTACAGCGAGTTCTACCCTCACTACCCCCTACCGATACTGTGAAATGCACAGCAACAACACATAAGCAATTGATCGATAGCTACATACATACATATGTAAATGCAACGCTGCTTATGTTAAATGTTAAATGCCAATGCTACTGTTAATGTTAAATGCCAATGCTACTGTTAATGTTAAATGTCAATGCTACTGTTAATGTTAAGCTAGTGGAATGTGAAAGGGGGTCATGAAACAACTAAAACTAATACTTTTCTTCTATATATGTATACAAAACTAAATACTACATATGTATATAATACTGGTGTTTCAAGAGTGCAAATAGGTGATACAAAAATCGTTAACGACTTGGCTTTAGATAATTTTGTAGCCTGGATTGACCATCATTTTGGTTTACCTGCATCTGCATTTGCAGCGGCGTCGATGTGACCGCAAAATTGAACATTGACGAACCGCTTGCCCCAGGAGCACCGAGCCCGGGAGCTGCGCCAGGAGCAGCAGGAGCCGCAGAAGCGCCGAACTGGAAGACACGCTGCTACGATGCCGTGCCCACAAATGCCATTTTTTTTTTTTTTTTTTTTTTTTGGGTTGTTTTGATTTGATTTTTCAGGTCGTTTCAGTGGTGATTAGTAGGATGGATAGTTGATTGATTGATTGATTGATTGATTTGATTTTGTGCGCCCCATAGCCCCATAGAGGTTTTGCAGTATAGGGAGGTGGGGGGAGGTTTGGTTTTATAAAGTGTGTACATAGGAGTAATACATACATGGAGTACGTTTTTTTTGTTTTTTTTTTGTTATTATTTTTTGTTGTTAATTTTTCAAAAGAACACACACACACAACAGCGACAACAACATGAAGATTTTTTTTTGATATCGGTTGGTTTTTGTGTTGTTGAAAATAGAAAGGAGAAAGAAAAAAAGAGAAGAATAAATACAAATAAATAAATATAAATATAAACAATCAAAGAAATAAATATATACATACTGTAATCCTTAATTAAAAATAGGTTAACCGAAAGTAGGTCTATCGGCTATCATGCAAAGACAAATAAAAGGTGGCACATCGTTTCGGCCACCTATAAGCTCTAAAACATCTACGAAATATGTATAAATATGCGTACTGCCTACTGATATACATATATGTTATATAGACGTACAAATTGATGTTCTCTTTCAACAAGTTCTGGTAAAGGCTTATTGCCGTCAGTATATTTTGAAGTACGATTTCTCGTGTCAAAATTGTGGTCAGCGCAATGGCAATTGCTATGTCTATGGCTATGGCTATGGCTGGGTAGATGGATGGATGGATATGGATACTTACATCGCCCGATGCTAGAGAATTGGCAGTCGCCGAACCGGCGGAAAAGTTAAAGGCAGGCGTCGCTTGTGGTGTTGCTGTGCCAGCGGACACTGTAGCCGAGCCCGTAAAATTAAAGGCCGGCTTTGTGGGGATCGCACTGCCCGCGGTGCCGCTGCCGCCAAAGTTGAAGGGTCCAGATGTGGCCGCCTGCGCAGACAGAGATAGAAAGAGAGCGGAGAGCATCGATTTAGAGAGGATCGATCAGTTATCGAACGGAGCGCAGCACTGTCAAGTGCCGATTCCGATATACTTACCGACTGGGAAAGAGCCGAAGAGCCTCCAAAGTTAAATGATGGCTTTGCAGCTGCGGCATTGCTTGCGCCGCCGAAGCCTCCTCCTCCTCCTCCTCCGCCTCCTCCGTTGCTGCCGCCAAAGGCAGGCGCTATGGCATTACTGAACATAGCAGCCGGACCGGGCGCAGGCGCAGGCAAAGAATGGGGGGCCATCGAGTTACCCACAAAGCCGAAACCCGTGGTGGGGAGGGCTCCATTGCCGCCAAAAGCTGAAGTCGGTGCCGGAGTTGTTGTCGTGCTGGCGGCCGATGTACTGCCGAAGCCTGCTCCGAATCCACTGCCGAAAACAGAGCCGCCAGACACCACCGTCGGGAGGCTGGTGCTGTCGGTGGCGGTGGCCGGGACCTGGGCTGTGCTGCCATTACTGGGTATGAGGCTGGGACTAGGGCTAGCGCTGGCGCTGGGCCAGCCAAAGCTTACGGGCTTTGTCAGGGTGTTTGCGGGTATACCCGATGCCGCTCTCTTCTCTCCAAAGCTTAGCGGCTGTGCTGCTGATGTTACTGCTGCTCCAAAGATGGAGCCCGTCGCATTTGTAGTCGGGGCTGCCGTCGATGTCGGAGTTTGGCCAAAGAAGAAGGTGTTGCTGTTGCTGCTGGGGGCAGCTTTTGTCGTGGAGCTAGCTGGAGATGGACCGCCAAAGCTGAACAAACCTGGCGCTGCAGCGGCAGAAACCGATGCTGGAGCCGGTGTTGCAGCAAACGATGTGCTAGATGTTGCGGCTGGTCCTCCCGGATTGGTTGTGGTCCCAGCCCCAAAGAAGACCACAGGTGCCGTCGTCACCGTCGGCTGTTGGCTAGTGCTGCTGCTTACACTGCTGGTCGTTGCGGAGGGGGCAGCGCTGAAGATAAACATGGGCTTCGTATTGGAGGAGCTGATCGCAAGGGTGGCGCTCGCGTTGCTGCCCGAAGTGTGCGTCGAACTGGACACTGCCGATGATGACGAAGGTAATGACGGGGTTCCAAAGCTGAACACTTGACTCTTGACAGTGGTAGCGGCGGCAGTTGCGGTAGTTGCGGTAGCTGCGGCGGTTGCGGTTGCGCTTGCGGTAGCGGTAGCTGTAGCCGTGTCGCTGCTGGAGGACAGTTGTGTCGATGTGGTGGTGGGGGCTCTGAATGAAAATTGGCTAACGGGGGTCGCTGTTGCTGCTGCTCCGGCAGCTCCTGTCGCTGCTGTTTCGATTCCTGTGGTGGATGTGGCCTTTGTGGCAGTCGGAATTGCCCGTAGATCGATTGACTTTGGCTCCTCCTGGGTGGGGAGGGCTCCGAACTTGAATCCTCCTGTCGAAGCGTTGTTGCTGTCTGCCACATCCTTGCTCTGGCCAAAGCCAAAGGAGAACTGAGGAGCAGCGTTCGATGTTGGAGCCGGCAGGGCTGGCTGGACTGGTGCTGCTTCCTTTGCTTTTGCCACAAACCCGAACGTGAACGTGGGCACAGGGTGAGTGGCATTGGATGAGGGTTTGCAGTCGTCGCTTCTCGGCCTCAGTTGCTCGCAGCAGCAGCACTTGGAGAGCGAATGGTCGTTCATGGCCATGCACGTCTCGCACTCCCAACTGACTTCCTTCTGGGCAGCCGCCAGCTGCTGGAAACTGGCACCCTGTTTGACTGCCTGCTGCTGCTGCTGCTGCTCTGGGGTGAAGCCAAACTTGAAGCTGGTAGTGTTGCTGTTGCTGGTGCTCGAAGAGACGTTGGTTGGAGTATTGCTTGTGGAGGAGCTCGAGCTGGACTCGCTGCTGGCATTGGGATTGCGCGACTGGCAGGCGACGCACTCGACGGCACTCGTCTGATTCATCACCAGACATGTCTGGCACTCCCATGTGTTGGCCTTGGGCCTGAAAGCCTGCCCAAAGCCGGAACTCGAACTGGATGTGGAGAAACCCGATCCCGATCCGGAGCCAGAGCCGGAACCGCACCCCGGGCTGTTTGTAATTGAGAAACAGTCGGTGGTGGTTTTGGTGGCTGCTGTGGTAGCTCCCTGGCGCGGCGTCTCACAGGCCACGCACTTGCTATCCTCACTCTTGTTGGTTATCATGCATGTGTCGCACTCCCAGGCACTCGAAGACTTCTTGAAACGATCTCCGAACCCGCTGGCAGCCGACAATGGTACTGCAGATGTAGGTGGAGCTGCAGTCTTGGAAGGCTTTGGCGTCTCGCAGGCTGCGCACCTAACCAGCTCCGACTTATTTCTGATCATGCACACATCGCACTCCCATTCAGTGGCTGATTTCATAAACTGCTGGCTAAAGCCTCCTACCACACTCTGCTGGCTGCTGCTTGGATTATGTGCGGATGCAGCGGTGGTGGGACCGTTCATGAATGGCAGCGACTGCTTCTGTTGTTGCATCTCAAATGAAGCTGGTGCTGGAAAGGAGAAATGGCGCGTGTTCCTCGATTCCTGTGCAGTTTCTCCTTCTCCCAGTATGGGTACGGGTATGGGTTCAACAAAGCTGAATCTACGTCCTGATACGTTGCTAGGCTGCCAGGCTGCTGAACTGCCACTGCCACTGCCACTGGCATTAGCTGGAGCTCTTGCTGTTTCTGTTGCTGCAGAATTAACATTGGCACCCACAAAATTAACCGCAGGCCTGGGGACTGCAGTTTGGGTTCTGGCACTCATCTGGAGATCCGTTGTCGGGTTGACCGTCACCGATGGCACCGTCGGTGGCGGCGGTGGCTTGATGACCAAATCAAATGTCGGTGTATTTGCCATGGCCGGGAAATTGATCATCGGCAAGTCGAGGGGTTCGGGAGCCAGTTCGTTATCTTCGCGCGGCTTGCGAGACGACGTGTGACTCAGTCGGGAACGCATCTTGTTCGTGTGACTATTATTATTGGTGTGACGGGCTGGCAGAGCTGCCAGGGCCATGGTGGTGGCCGATGATGGCTTTGGCTTGTAATTCAAAAGCAATTCCTTCGAGCTTTTGGTGACACGGTGCAGGCGACGTCGTTCGAGTACCTGTTGCATTGGCGGGGAATAGGAAATGCTAGTTTGCAGCTTTTGCAGCTGTTGTTGCTGCTGCTGCTGCTGCTCCTTCAGTGTGTTTCCGAGCCGCTTGACATCAAACAGAGGCGAGGAGTACGTCTCCAGTAGGCTCAGGATGCGACGTGTGGAGGTCGAGAGGGACATGCTGTCCACGACCGATGTGTTTGGTGTCTCTTTTTGCTTTCTGGGGCCCATAGCAATTTTATTTATGCGGTATCCGGTATGGGTTGGCGCCTGATGGGCGGCCGGTGAACGGTCGCCCGAGTTCATGGCCACCGATGACGAGGAGCCGCCACTCTGGCCAAATATGCGATTGTGCGCCGAATTGCCGCCGAATGTGGTCTGGCCCTTGTAGAAGGGCGAGCTTAATGTTGAGCCGGAGCCCCAGGCCGAGGCGGAAGCACTGCGTGTCAACAGCCGGCTGTCGCTCAGGGCCGAGGAGCTGCCATAGATGTAGGCATTGAAGCGCCGCCGCTTGTTCAGCGAATTCAGCGAACACGTAGAATTGTGGTGCGTCGGTTGGGCCGAGCCGCGTGTAAATATTGACTTTGCGCTCTGCAAATTCCCATAGAACCATTGGTCACTGTTGTTGTTGCTGTTGTTGTTGTTGTGATGGTAGGGATAGGAATCGGAGGCCTCCACTGCCTCGGCATATTCATTCAGTTCGCTCTCCAAATCTGCTCCTGATCCTGCTTCCGCTCCTGCTGCTGCTGTGGCTGTGGCGGTGCCTCTCTTCGATTTGATAATGTTGTTGTTGTTGTTGTTGCTGCTGCTGATATTATTATTGGATTTGCAGATATTCAGTAGATGCTCAATCCTCTCATTATCTGACTGTGCCACATCGAGGGATGCTTCGGGGACCGTGTCAGTCTGCCCCAGCAGAAGGGGTCTCTTGTGGTAGGCCAATGGCACGGCGGAGAAACTGCTGCTGGTTTGCCCGAAGCTGAAGCTACGACCACGTGGATGCTCTATGGCTGGGATGTTCAGCGATCGACGTATACTGCAACGAGGACGAGGACAGCGGAGAATAGTAAAATCTATAGTTAGTAACGACAGGAACTGGGTCAGGGCTAGAGGGTTAGGGCAGGGGCTCACCTGACTGGCAGATCTCCTGTGGTGGCCTCGGCGGCCGACTCGTTGCCCGCAAAGAAGTTGTAGCCCGGCTCACGCTGCTGATGCTGGTGATAGAGGTTCATGTAGGTGCGGCGATGTGGAGGCACGCCGCCCTTGTTCGAACCACGACTATGGCTGCGGCTGCCCAATGCCTGAGAATTGCCTGAGGTGTATAGTTGACCGGCGGAAGCGGCAGCGGCAGCAGCGGGCGTGGAGGAAACCAGTGGCAATGGCAGTCGCCGCATGCTTGGTAAATGGACGCTTGTCTCCAGCTGCAATAAAATGTGAGATTTGAGATTAGGAATAGCAATTAGGAAGAGGAGAGTATAGCTTGATTTCACTCACTTCCAACTGTCGACGCTTAGGCGGGGGAGAGGCTGACGCTTGTGCGTGATCATCGTCACCATCGTCCTCGTCTTCCTCTTCGTCACCATCTGGCACCTCGTCGTCATCGTCATCAAAATCATCATCGGCGGCAATCGCATTGCGCCGTTTGCGCAAGGCGAACACATTGTATTCGCTGCGGCGTGTCTGCTCATCCTCGCCAACCAAATCATGCTCGGCTATGTTGTCGGCCAGGGCCACCTCCTCGTAGTCCAGACCTCGTGCAGCGGCGCCATCATCCACATCGGGTAGCAGGCCCCCAGCGGGTGAATCCTCGCCGTCGGGTTCGGCCAGTTCTATACGACGGCGTCCTCGTTTCCTTTTCGTTAGAGACGTTGTTCCTGTTCCATTCTGTTGTTGTTGCTGCTCCTCTTGGGCCTCCCGGGTGGTGGCCTTAGAAGTTGGTGAGAACCATGAAGATGACAGGATATTTGAAACGCCCAGCTTCACCCTTCCCATGAGAGACTGGAATTAGAGAACAAAATGCAGCATTTCCAGTATTTCGCGCGAATTTCGACCTCCGACTCGACTGTAAAACTGTAACTGTACTTACTTTGCGGGAGACGCGGGGTGAGCCGGCAGCAGAATCATCTTCGGCCCCCTCCTCGGGCTCGCGTACTTCCCTGAGCGGCGTTAGCGGATGTGTGCTCGATCCTGATCTCGTGCTGAATTTCGTGGTTTGGTGTCGTTGCAGTGTTTTTTTTGTTTGGCTATTTTGGTGTGGACTATCCTCAAACTCAGACATTTTATTGGATTTTAATCCGGCGAAGAAACGGCACGGCACACAAAATGAAAACTAACCAAAAAGAAACGAACACGCGCACACACACACGCACACACAAACGCGCAAAACAACAATAAAAAAAGAAACGGAACACACTGTTGCAATCCTGGGTAAGTGTGTGAGTGTCGTCAGTGTCAGTTCAATGTATGTGTGTTACGCACGCCGTGTCGCTGTGTTGGTTCTTCCACACACGCGGCGATTTTTTTTTACATTTATTTTCTTTCGATCTTTTTTCTGTGTCTTTGCACTTTGGCGCCAGAAAGTGCAGCAGATCTGAATGTATTTATTTATTTATCTATTACACGGGAAATATGCATTTTATATTCCTCTGCAAGCACAAGAGACGCGGTAAAATAGAAATCACATCGGGATGATAAATTGTAAAGAAAACTGTGTACACACATGCATGCATGTAGTAAATTGCTCGTTTTTTGTAATCATATGAGGATTATGTTTTTACGGATTCTATTTTGCCTGTGAACCAAATATGGGCAAAACGAGCGGGGGTGACCGTTTTTATCGCTTCCTTTTTTCGTCTTCGTTTCTTTTCTTTTGCAATTCTTCTTTTATACGCCACTCACACACACACGAGCGCGCGAGGTACCCAGCAATGGCATTCGCACTCATTTGTTTCAAAAATGCTTGAGTTGAACAGCCAGAGACGCAACGAATGGCCTGCAATTCTCAAATCATTTTAGCTGCACGCATTGCCGAAAATGCAAGGATTTGTGTCGCAAAACATAATAGTGAGTAATTTTTACAAAAGAAATGAACACTTCACAAAAAAAGCACGATTTGAGAAAAACGCGTGTAGCTAATAGGACGAGTAATAGCAGCTCATGCAAAAGCAACGAGTCAAACCGCGACGAGTGTGGGATTGCGACGCGCTAGTGTATTTTATTGGTCCAATGCGTTGCATATCGGGCCGCTAACTGAACCATAATTAAAATATTTTGGAATCGATGTTTATTATGCTATGTTTATTATTGTTTTTCATGATGGTGTTAGACGGTTTGTTTCCCATGGGGCTGGCTTTTGCAATTAGTCAGATATAGCTTTATAGCATTAAACTTTACTTCATTTGCTGCGAAGAGAGGGATAGCATACGAGACAAAACGCAAACAAAATGTTCGTAGCCATCTTCAGACACGTTTCCCGACTCTGAGTCGAAGAACTAAGGCACTATTTCTGACAAATTTAGTATGCATTTTCAATTACGCTGTCTCCAAAGTCTAATATCATATGGCCATTATTAGAAAAACTCGCCCAACATCGCACATAAATATCGAAATGGATATATTCTGCGAGAACAAAATAATTGTTTTTCTTGATGGTGTTAGACGGTTTGTTTCCCATGGGGCTGGCTTTTCCAATTAGTCAGATATAGCTTTATAGCATTAAACTTTACTTCATTTGCTGCGAAGAGAGGGATAGCATACGAGACAAAACGCAAACAAAATGTTCGTAGCCATGTTCAGACACGTTTCCCGACTCTGAGTCGAAGAACTAAGGCACTATTTCTGACAAATTTAGTATGCATTTTCCATTACGCTGTCTCCAAAGTCTAATATCATATGGCCATTATTAGAAAAACTCGCCCAACATCGCACATAAATATCGAAATTGATATATTCTGCGAGAACAAATAGCCATCGATATATAATATAGCTCATTTTCTGCGTTCAGTACATCTTTAAGCCCTGGTTTTACGTAAGCCCTGTTTACGGTATTTTTAATACTTTTCGGTATTTTTTGAGGTCAATTTCATCAATCTAATAAATTTCATTTTCAAAGGTATATTTAAGAAGAAAGGGTATAGAAATCCGATAAAAGCAAGTATTTAAAACAAACTAGTGAAGTAGAAAAAAGATTCATTAATCGGATAAAATTATGTGGGCAGGCTTGAGGTTTCTATTTAGCTAGTAATATTGGACGGATTATCAAAAAATAGTATTTATTGGTAATAGGCGGTAGACGACAGTGAGCTCCATTCCATGCACCGAATTTGCGGCAACACTAATTTTCATACCCTAGGGAAAAGGATATTATAGAATTCAGAATATGTTTGTCATCCCAGGCTCCAAAGAATGCAAAAACAACTTAGCGTCTGTTTTAAATATCACAACGATATTTTGCAGTTTATTGTATTGTTACAGAGACCAAGAATAGGTATCAGGATCGAGATATATATATGCAAGATACCATTAATATTGATGAATATGACTAAAACATATCAATTTGAAAAAAAATTCTTTATGAATAACGTTTTATCTTCATATCACATTAACGAAATAGGGTATACAAAGGCTATACACGCATCATGTCTTCAAATACCAGTAACATTGCGACAGTTTTTTTTTTGTTGATCTATTTTGTTTAAGCCAAAATATAACAAAAGCAAGAGTTTTAAATAAACCAGTCAAGTGGAAAATAGATTCATTAATTGTATAAAATTATGTGGGCATGGTATATTTTGAAAATGAGACGGTATATTGTGGTATATTTATGAGGGTCGGACGGTACGCGGTCACACTGCTCTAAACACTAACACTAGTTCGGACACAATTTTTATTTATTGGCAATTATTTTAGATCCAAGAATAGGACATAAATCGAAAGAGTGCAGTCCTCAAACGCAGTGCAGCGTGCAGTGGGGAGCGTTCCGAATCCGATTTCAGTTACGAGACGAGTGTGTGTCCCAAACCTACAGTCGGCACCATGAGCGTGTTGGCGTATCCACGTACAAACGATGAGGAGATTTTTCGTCACTGCACAAAGGATTGTGGCGTCGTGACGGCCACCGAGGACTTCCAGTATTTCGCATTGCGCTGTATCTTCTGCAGCGAAAAGTTCCTCTACTTTGATTCATTCATTAGCCACATGCAAACGGTGCATCTGGGCACCGAGGGGCACGTTCCCCCATCCAGCCTCGCCCTCAGCTTTGGCGAGCCCATGTCCCTGTCGATGGACGAGGATGCCCTGCACGAGGGAATCCATCATAGAAATGGGCACCACTTTGACGAGATCGAAGACTTGACCGATGCGGACACCGCTCTGCTCGAGCCACAAATGGTCATCAAACAGGAGCTACCCGAACCGCCATGTAGCGACGACGACGACGACGACGACGCGGATCCCGACCACGATGAGGATGTGCTCCGTTTGCCGGCAGACGAAGACGATTCTGAGGCCATTGACGACGAAGAGGCCATCCTACCCGAAAGCGATGTGCCCGCAATTATTCCAAGACCGCGCCCCCGTATGAAGGTGACCAAGCCGCGTGTGGATGTCAAAAACGAACCCATCACCGCCGACGGTGATTCGTCGATGGATGATTATGCCGACCATGATCGGAGCTACATGGGGGACAATGAGAATGACAATTCGGGCGAATATTTGGACTACAGCGGCGGCAGCAGCAGCTTCAATACAGCGGCCAATCACATCTTCCCCGGCAACGAATCAACCGATTTTCTCAGCTATGACGAGATGGTCGAGGAGTCCCTCTTGGGGGTAGGTTGCATGCACCGTACATTTCCCCTCAGATTTGATTCTACTTAGAATTTCATTACACACCCAATAATTAGAGGGACCGTGAGCTTACGATGCACATCAAGGATCGCAAGATGATCCAATTCCTCATACAATCATATCAGCGCAATCCGTTCCTGTGGGACCACAGCGATGCCCAGTTCCGGGATCGTGTAAAGCGTGCCCGCTTCCTCGATTGGATTGTCCTGGAGTTTCAGAGCCGCTTCAACATCTCTCTGGCCAAGGATGCCATCACCAGGAAGTGGGACAATCTGCGCACCGTTTACAAGCGCGAATGCAATCGGATGGCCCTCGAGAAGACGAACATCAGTACGCTGTGGTACTTTAAGGAGCTGCATTTCCTCAACGAGGTCTACAGCTACAATTCCAAAATGTCCGATGCTGTCGTCAAGGTAAGTGTTGACCCCCCCTTCCATTGAAAACTTGAGCCATTTGAGCCACCAATTTATGTAAACATCCTCTTGGCTATAAACAATAATAATGAATAATAAATCGCCCCCGTTTGTGTGTTGGGTCCCTCTGTGCTTCTGTTTCCCTGTGTGCTTCTATATGCTTTAGGAAACCTCATACCGGCGCCGATTCTCAGCCATTTGGAACGACACATCGACAGCAAAGTTGCTGAGCATGGTGAAGCGATATCAGTGCTTCTATAACCGCTTTGATCCGGACTACCGCAGCAAGGAGCGTCGAGGCGAGGGCCTGCACCAGATGGCCATGGAGCTGCAGCAGCTGATTGATGTGTCCACCATCCAGATCTCGAAGCGCATCTCGCAGCTCCGCTTTGACTATTCCAAGCAGAAGCTGGAGCGCCTTAATTGCGATCGTGCGGGGCGCAAGTTCATACCGAATTACATCTACTACGATCAAATGAACTTCATGGACGACGACATACCGCCGTTCAAGTGCCAGCATTGTGCAGAGATTGTGCAGACGCTGCGCGAACTCGACCTGCACATGCTCACCCACCAGCCGAGCCTCGGCGGCGGCTACTATTGCAATGTGTGTAACATTCAGTTTAACAGCGCTGAGGAGTTCGATAGCCACAAGCAGCTGCATCTGGGCGCCGGCACCGAGGGCAAATTCAACTGCGAACTATGCACGGCCAGCTTCCGGGAGAAGTCCAACTACGATGAGCATTTGCGGCGCCACAACGAGGAGCTGTTCCTGCCAACGCTGGCGCTCAATCTCAATCACAGCATACTGGAGTCCTCGGGCCCCGCCGATTCTGGTTCTGGTTCGGGTTCTGGTTCGGGCGATGCTCATAAGCGCCGCCGCCGCCGAAGCGGTGTCCAATCGTCTGACGAAAATGCCGATGAGCAGGACGATCAGCAGGACGGACCAGCAGACGGAGAGCTGAAGCCTTTTGGGTGCGGTGTGTGCCAACGGAGCTTCGCGACGCCCGGCCACCTGAATGCCCACCGCATTGTGCATCAGGATGAGCGTGAGCGCTCCTACAAGTGCGACTATCCGCAGTGCAACAAGTCATTTATGGCCCGCAACAGCCTGTTCGAGCATCTGAAGTTGCACTACAGCAACGAGGAGTTCAAGTGCGACATCTGCGGCAAGACCTTCAAGTCCACAAAGAATCTGCAGAATCACAAACAGATCCACGACAAGGTCAAGCGTTATGTCTGCCAGATATGCGGCTCTGCATTCGCCCAGGCCGCCGGCCTCTATCTCCACAAGCGACGACACAATCGGCCCAATGGCGCTGTTGGTGCTGTTGGCCGATCGGGTCGTAGCAGCCTGTGAGAGGGACGAGAGCGGGATCGTGATCGGGATCGGGATCGGATCAAAACCAAGGCTGGATCTGTCCGCAATCGTGGACGGGGTCGAGGAAGCGCCAGTGGTCGTCATGTCAAATAGATTGTTAAGAAATTTCAACGTCCTTCAATTTGCCTAACAACTAACAAGGCAGCTAGCTAGCTTTTTCTTATTTAACTTTTACTACATGTATTTTACACTTATTTAATATTAGTTTAATTAGGCATTTAGTTTGTTCATCTGAGCGCTGGTACCTGCGGTACTTAAACGAAAAGTATTCCCACCACCACCACCACCACCACCACCACCAGCACCAGCACCAGCACTAGCACAACAGCCAACAAATCTAGTAGATTAAATCCAATCCTACCTATAGTTAAGTTTAAAGTCGTACACTTCTTCCCTCCATCATCATCATCATCACATCCGACAGATCAAGCAGACACTATTGTACTTATGTCCATGTTGGGGAGCCATACAACTCCTTGGCAGATTCTAATTAATTATTATATACACATTCCTATGCTCCCATCCCCTTGATCCTCTCCCCCCTCCCCCAGGAAATCGCAGAATGTGTGCGCGCGCGTCTAAACATTCCAGAACAAAGTATTTTATAACAAGTATTCTATGTATCGTAACTAAGTACGTATTATGTATAACGAACGATGGATCCATCCACAGCAGAGGTTGGACCCTCAGGCTAACAATTACCAGCAATATTTAATTTTATAAGTTCTACAAAAGCAACACACAACAACAAACAACAAAACACCATGTACAGAATGTGTAAGGAGCCATAAGGCATCAGAAAATTACCCAAAAAGATAGAGCCCCAGATGGAGAGCCGATAGATGGTGTAGGTGCAGATTCAAATTCGATTTTACATCTCTAGAAATATACTTAAAAATTTTTTTTTTATTATTTTTTTTTTAAATCTGTTTTTTAGTTTGTTTTTAATTTGTTGACGGATCTAAAACTCTGTAGCGATTACAGTCGAACTTTCTTAAACTCAAAACCCAATCACTAACCCCTCCCCCCCAATCTGCCACTAGAGAAATTATTATTTTAGAAAATAGATCTAAGATATCAGCCGTTCCCAGGAAATGAATCATTATTTATACTTCATTCGACTCAAAGAAAGATTTCCATTTTAATAATAATCTAAGAATAATGAACAATTTTATCACCACACACTAAGCGAGTATTTAATGCAAAAATGATTGCAAATTTTCCAAGAATCGTACTAGAATAATGGAACTTGGTCTTCAAAAAACTAAGGCCGGGAACATATACATTTAGTTGAATGCAGTTTTTGGGCTTGGAGAAAATTCTATGCAAACCCCGTACAAAACATTCGATGCTATTACTAATACGAATACATTTAAATGCTGGCTGAAAAACTTAGATGTATATCATTTTAAAGACAGAGAAGGGTTAGGTCATTGGTTAGATAGATGGATCCTAAACCATTTATATTAAAGCCCATGAGTTTTCGAACCAGTAATAAATGCCTTATGGCCGCCTGATATCTTCACTGTACAACCAACGACTGACTGAATCCTGAATACAGTGCGAAGGGAAGTTCGAAGGTTGAATCCCGATTCGTTCTATAATTGCAGCTGTATTTTGTAACTGTAACTGTAACTCCAAACATAACTATGTAAATATGTAATTTGCGATGATGCACACGACCTGCTGACTGATTATAGCAGCTATATAGGCATTAATCCTAAGCAATCAGATCCAGAGACACATACATCCATAGATATAATGAAAAGTACACGCGAATCCAGATAATGGCCGTTGTCCCCTAAACCAGACTTCAACCAACTGATAGGCTGATCGTTTTATCTCCCCATAAGCATATGCATAAGTCAAATCTCTGTCTTTCAGTCAAGTTTAGTGTAATACAGTCATTAGCAGGAGCAAGATCCTCTTCATTTAGTGCAATTCACAGACTTTTGATCCCAATTCCTCTGATTCATGCGCATTTGCATTTTGGCGTGTCAGAAGCAGACCGCAGCGTAACTGATAGGGAGGGGAGTCGGTTCTTTTAAAACACTTAACCACGGTTGCCACACGAACAGAAGAACAATGCGCCAACATAAAATGTTTTAAATCGCCAAAAATATCTATAGTAATTTCAATTTCAAACCAGTTTTGCGATCTAGTCTCTTAGTTTCTACTTCAAAGCCATCTCAACTTTCTTTTCACTGCATGAAAATAATTTTATTCGGTGTCCTATCCAATATTTCCTCAGAGTCGGCCTCCCTTCTTCTTTCTGGTTTTTCTTTTTTGTGCTAATGCCAAGATAAATTGTGAAATATTTAAAAGCAAAAAGTAGTTAAGGATACAAGTCCCGTGGGAGATAGTTTACAAGTGAGTTGGGGATCACAAGAGCAAAAGGTGTAACAAAAGTGCGCTTCCAGAAGAACCAGAGATCATACAAACAAAACCCTACTTAAATCCTAGATCTGGCTGAAAAGGGATGGAATGAATAACATGAATAGAATATACTATATTATCCATTAGGTTTAAGAAGCGAAGCAACGCCTTCTAATTATGTAAATGTAAATCAAGAATAACAAACAAATGAAATTACATTTTTATTTATCCTAATAATATCGAATCGAATGAGATTTTAGTGCGAAACATACATTGTACAAGCTTATATTCGAAGCATTCTCGAATAAAATAGGTTTAAATCAGTAAAAAAAAAAAACAAAAAACCCACGCACATTAATTGTTTTATTTACGCTGCTATGGAAGCTAACCCTCAGAAAGAAAGGCAGTCCCGGTTTCTTAGACCGCACCGCGATAGCGTCTTATCTGCTGCTGGTCATGGTTGTTGTCGCACGTCTGGGTACGCTAAAAGCTACTACGATTCCTAAATGAGTGTCAAAGGATAGCCCTACCATATTCTTACACACCCCACCACACACACCCCGGATCCCTTGGGATTTTCTTCCGTACTGCGTCACCGTTATCGCTAATTAGAGACTTAAGTTTGGCCAAACTTGGGCCAAGACGTAGAAACGATCACTCCGGTGGGGCGTGGGCCAGCCCATTTCACCATTTTCGGGGAAGCAGTGTGTCAATTTGTTGTATTCTGTCTGTGATATTTAGCACCCCGAGGCCTCGGGCTGTGTTTCGATCGATTCGATCAATTAGCAACAAGCAAGCCCCTCTCCGTTGCCGGGCGGTTCGGTTCCACGAACTGGATCTCTCTCTGGATCTCTTATGACAATCTATGGCTGTCCAAGAGAGCTTTCACTGTACGCGCTGACATTTCAAAAATTTCGGGTAAACACATTAATCAGCGAACGGACGGACGTATCCACAATTATACACATAACATATACATAAACAGATTAGATTAGGAATAGTGGAAAAACAGATTTAAATTTGATTTCGATACGGGCTTCTCTTTTTTTAATCTTGCATTAATCATCAACAATTCGAGTGCAAGTTTTTTTGTACATATATTTAGCTGGTGGCTATCTCTCATATAATCGATATAAAAACAAACAAGTTTATAACAGAATAAATGTTGTTTCAGTTTAGTTCGAGCGCAGGCTTAAACGCAAACAAAACTGGATGATTTGATCGGTCGCTGACTAGATTCCTAAATAAGCTCGCCGCGCTCATTCACCTTGATGATGCGCACGCGAGCATGGCGCTCGGAGAGTAGCTGATCGATATTCTTGCCGGTGCTTGTGCTGTTAGTGCCCTCGATGTTGGTGAACAGTCCCAGGTTGTCCTTAATCAGGTGATCGACCGCACAGCCGTCGCACTGTAGAATAACAACGCCGCTGTAGTAGGCCTCCTCGCTAATGGTCTTCGTGTTGCGTGTGTTGCACAGCTTGCAGCGGTAGACCAGCTCCATGCGACGCTGCATGCGGCTGAACCGTTTCAGCGTGGTGGGTGATAGTGAGCCACTTTGCTGGCTAACCGCCGAAGACCGGCCAATGTCGAACGGCTTGGCCGTAAACTGACAGGCGTCGAGTATGGAGCGCGGTATGGACAGCGGCGATGGGCGGGCATCTTTCAGCGCTTTGTCCGCATCGGCAAGAGGCAGGCTGGGGTCCACAACCGCCGGCTGATTTGTGGCATTGAGGATCGCGTTCTGTCCATTTTGGCGCAAGTAGTTCAATGTACGCGATGTGAAGATGTTGCGCAATGCGTTCATTTTACATCAGTCTGTGCATAATAACGATGAAGTGATGGTTTATATTTAGTGACTAGACGTTATTCGGTATTAAGGGTGACTCTAACGCACGTGCTGACCGCTTAATTCAAAGTTTAATTAATCTAAAAGTTTGTTTTTTTTTTTTACCAACTGCGTCAGTGTGACCGCGGAGTTATCGAAAAAGTATACGGTCCGACCCTCAGAAATATACTGACGAACCGAAGTTCTGCTATACATATTCCCGTTTTTGATATTCCGTGGAATATTACTAACTATATAGAACATTTAGCCTTGCCACATAATTTTTCCGATAAATGAATCTATTTTCTAATTGAATAGATTTTTTAAACACTTGTTTTTATTGCATTTTCCGTAAAAAGAGGATTTAGCGAAAATGGTCAAACAAATGAAACGTGATAAAACGTAAGAGAAAAATCGTTCCAATTGCTTAATTTCTTTATTCCGTTGAATAATGCTGCCTAACTAAAACCTTTAGCTTTGCCCATATAATTTCAGGCCATTAATGAATAAATTTTCTACAAGATTGGCTAGTTTTTAGTACTCCCATTTATTGTATTTTGACTGCAGCAAGGCTTAAACAAAAAATGTCAACAAAAAACAGTGGTACCCATTCTTGTATTCTGTAAGAAGACCAAAACCTTCAAATATCGTTGAAATACCTTTAAAACAGAGACTGAATAGGTTTTGCCTATATTGGTGCATTAAATGACAAACATTCTCTCAGTTCTATAATATCCATTTCCCAGGTTATGCAAAATGCCGAAAATGTATCATATTCCTCAATTTTGATCTTCCGTCGAATATTCCCAGCTATATAAATCTCTCAGTTTTGGCTAGATAATTTTATATGATTGATGAATCAATTTTGATCAAGATTAACTACTTTTAATTACTTTCATGTTTTTTGTTTTGACAAAAACACGGTTTCAACATTGGTGCATTGAACAAGAGAGTGCGTACATACCGCGTCTTACAATATACTGGAAAATACTAGACAATACTATGAAAAGTATAAAAAAAATAATAAATAATAATATAATAATTATAATAATAACTATTCAATAAAAATCAAAAATAATAATTATAATAATAATTATTCAATAAAAATGGCTAGTTCTGACTGATTTCCTGTCGCTCTCGCACGCACTCTTTTTCATTTAATGTAGCCATTCTTACTGTGTATCGGGTATAAATGTAGAGTTGCGGTCGCAGAAGCAACTCACAACGTTCCCCCTCGTTTTTTGTTGGATTAATAGATAGTTGTAGTTCTTTGGACAGGCTAAATATGTATATTTTGTGGGATATATCATCAAGGTAACAATTTTTCTGTTGTTTAACTTCGTTAGATCCGATATAGCGACCGTTGATTATACTTCTCGATGCGCAGTGTATCGTTCTCGTTATTTTGGCGCGATAAACGGAACTTATCGGCGTTTGATTTCGAAAATAACAATATTATGCCGAATATGATTTTTTATCATCAACTATTAGCTTGTGAGCTCGGTTGCAGTTGGGAGTTGCTTGCCCAACCAAAATGCATATCTAGATGTCCCAGAAACTACTTTTCAAGAGAATTGATCTACGAACCGAACCTCCTTAGATTTCCGAAAGCCCTTGCTATCAAAGATAGCCGAAGGGAGAGGATGGTAAACGTATTATGATAGCCGCAGAGCCGCATGACCTTAGCTTGTATATGCCTTTCCCGTATTAGGGCAGCCTCATTCCATTCTTATCAGACTGCCCAGTCACGGTACCGATAAAGAGTTATGAAATTCCCCTGCATCTGCCCTCAATCTAAACGATGTTGAATGAACTTTCCAAATTTCATATTGGTTTAAAATCAGCAAAAGCACACACACAACACAATAAAGGATTGGTTTGATACATATAATTTAACATCTACTCATTTACCAATAAGTGCTTAAGCCTTTGCTTGGGGAGAAGGAAATATAAGCAAACGCTTCATCGGGAATTTGGAACGCCAATGGAGTACTGCCTGAACACTGACTAGATGTTAGAGGTGCCATGTGCATGTTGAGAAATATGCGAGTCAAGTCTTCTCAACATGGATACGTGGGGCATGAGGCTGATGCTCGCGATGGTGATGACGATGACGATGAGTTGGTGGAACAGCATCCAGATCCAGTAATCCGTCATGGCGGTTAGGGTTAGTCTATGATGGATTGGATCCATCTAATCACAAGAACCATCTAGCCAGCCATCCCGCCATCGCTCGTTTACCTTGCTGCAATCAAAGAGTGGCTTCCCGAGCTTGTCGTTCACCCTATTGTGGAACATGCACAGCCATGAAGACAGTTCCTTTTGGGAGTTTACATTGATGGGGTTCACAGTAAGGCTGAAAGAGAAACGCACGACTTAGAGTGGGAGGCAACACGTTATTTGAAGCGGACTTACTCAGTGCGGAAATCCTTAGCACAAAACTCGCACGGATAGAGTCGTGAGAGGACTTCAAAGAAGGATTTCATGTCACGCTTCTCGTTGTCAGTCGGATTATCAGAGTAAAATGCCGCCATCGTGTGAAGCAGTCCCCAGGTAGAGATGCCGAGGCTTACTTTGTCCAGCGGACAATCCTCACGTGGCAGCTCGGCCGCGTTTACTGTCAACTTCTCTGCCGCTGCCATGTGCTTGTCCTAAAAGATACTCGCCGGTTAACCTGGATGCCAAGGGCAAATGATTTGGGCAGAGCCCAACATTAGTTACCTTCGAGTTCTGCACATTTGAGATGATGCGTTGTTGCTTGGACCATGACTTAAAGTCGTTGCAGGTGCGACAATTAGAGTCCGGCTTCCCCTGTCTGTGCGAGGCAAAACCATGCTCGGGCTGCTGACGTCGGAATGAAGAAGGGTCCGTCTCGGACATTATTGAATGGGGATCTCGTAGAAGACGTAAGATGCTTCGCTGTAATTGTCGCACGTACCGCCGGGCTTCAAATAGATCTTGCTTGGTATATTCGGCTTGTAAGTAGTGGCGATCACGTTGAATAAATAATGATGAAGTCGTCAGCAGGCCTGAAATCTTGAAACTTCGCTGAACTATTGTGAAAGTCATAAAATTCAGTCGCATGGTTGCCACCCTCTTTCAAAATGGCACATTTTGTCGAAACAGTTTTGTTTATGCTGCAAAAATAATTTATTTATGCGATTTGCAGCAATGACAAATCGTGTGGTGTGGATTGCTTGGTAGGTGTTCTAGTCTCTTATCATTTTTGTTGTTAACGAAGTTTTGATTCTGGTAGGGTAGCCCCAAACTACAGCTGTGATCGATTGCAACAGCTGCAAATCGATAGACACTGGGCGCGCAAATTGGATCATTTGAAGTAGGCAAGGCGCGAGGCGCACAGCTACAACATAATGCCCAAAAACAGTACTCACTTGCAGAGTCGAGATGCGCTGATGAGTTGCGGTCCACAGGCAGTACCAGAATCGGGCGTAAAGCTGTGATATTTCGATAACTGCAAATTTCCAACATAGACAATAATATAATTTTAGAAATGTGTCTACCAGACCCGTGTGACATAAATCGAAAAAACTTGTGTGTGTTATTAATCAAAAGGCACACTTTCAGTTTATTATTATTAATACGATACAATGTAAAAATTCATTTAGTAACAACTACGGCATTGTAAAGACAAGTTAACAACAACTGGCCGGGGAGGGGAGAAGTAGCTGAGCAGCTGACAATGGTTAGGCAATACACATAAATAATTACTCGTGTAAACATTAAAAAAAATTATAATAAAATGTATGTAAATGTATAGTAAAAGTGGTGGTGTGGGGTAAATGACTTAGGCTTAGGCGTAGTCCCTGAACATGGTGAACAGACTGTAGAGGACGCGCAATGTGGACTTTAGGTCCATGTTGACAATGTCCTCTGGCCGGGCCTTCGGCTTGGGCAGGCCCACGTCCTGCATCAGGTCAAAGGCGAACGCTACATTATTGACCATTTGGTCTGGATCCTGGGGCGTCAAATGAAACTCGTGCAGCGGCACAAAAAATCCACCCAGCAGGCCCATCAGTAGGCAGAGATAGACGCCATCACGAAAGTCCGTGTTCAAGTCGGTTATCTCAAAGTTAAGCTTCGCCAGGTGCTTGTTGACAAACGTAATCAGGGACTTCTTCACCACGGCCAGCTTGTCCGGCGCACAGTCGATTAGGGTGTCGAAGGCATCCTTCTCACACCGCATGCCCAGATCATCGTACTCGGATGTGATTTGCTCCTGGAATTTCTGAGCATTCAGCACGCCCGCATTCTTCTCAGCAATCACCACGGTAACAAACACGTTCTCCGGCAGGCGTACTGGCGCTCGGAAGTGACGCACTAGGGCGACCAACAAATGTAGAATGGCCACAATGTTTTTCGAGTGCACGCTGGCCACTGACCACTTGGGTATTTTCTGATGAAAGCCGAGTGTCTGTGGAAGGGAGAGCAATTAATGACCTCTTTAAACTGCTGCAGGATGCAGAATGGAAAGCTACACACATGGTTAACGGCCTTCAGGACTATGTTGAGCTTCTCGTGCTGGCCCTGCTCTGACTGTGTGACTTCGGGTACATCCAGCTTCTTGCCCGTCAGCTTTTCCCAGAGTTTGTGCAGCACCTGGCCATCGTACATGTCCTCTTCCAGCTGCTGGACTATTATGCGCTGCTCGGCCAGCTCATCGTTGATCCAGTCCACCAGAATTCTCTGCAGTTTCACCACCTCTGGATCGTTGATCGACTGGGGATCGATGACAGCGCGCTGCTCGTGCTCGCCTGCAGGGGCAAGGATCCAAGAGAACAATTAGGACGGACTCGTATAGACCCTCTATTTAGCAGATTTACTTACGCAGAGCATAGTCCTCGGGTGGTATGTCATATTGGTTGGGCGATCCCGGCGAGTCGATCGCGTATTTGCCCTCCTCTTGGATTTTCTTCACTACGTGGGCGAGAAGGAAATTAGGGGAACTATTAGTAAGGCAGGCAATGAATGATGACGACACAATAACCACCCTTTGATGAAGCAGTATGTGCCCCCCAATCTCAGACACACACATACAAGAACATAGAGATCACAATTTGTTTGTATGCGTCACAAATGACGCAATGTTCTCAATCGCTGGGACCCAGCACAGGCACAGTCACAGGCACATCTGGTCCTATAAACGCTCCCTAGATGTTATGGAGGGCGTTTTCCGGGTACTTTTTGACTGCACTCTGCTAATTTGATGCGTAACAGAACATTTGATTGGGTCTACACAATCTTAGATGCTATATGAAATACATTTTAAGGTGTTTTTAGCAAAGTATTCTCTCACCTTCGCGGGTGCCGCGTTTGCGTCCCAATGTACTAAATTTGTCCCAGAAGCTGTCTTCCTTTTCGCCCTTTTTGATTGCTGTGGGCGTGTGCGGGGATTTTGGACGACTGAGAGTAGACATGGCGACAAACTAAACAAAACAAAAAACAAACGACTTCTAGGCAAGGCACTTTTATGTTATTGTTTCCAATAATTTCTCTCTGGGTTGCCACCTTTCCAGACACTTTCCTCTGTCGCTGCCCAACACTGACGATGGTGCATAAATTGCATAAAGTTCATAAATTCTTTTGAATTTTATATTTTTACAGTGGTTACTTAGAACCTACTCTAAGTCTATGGGTCGAAAGATGTATTTTATATAGAATTGGGCAGCTGACAGGCCCGGACGGCCACCAACTGCAGCAAGACGAATATCGGCGAGAAGACTTCGCTGTATTCCAGCGCCGTATTCCTGCCCGACAGCTTGAGACACAACAGATACTTGAAGATGGCAATCAGCACTAGGAAGTAAGTGCTCCACATGAAGCGATGCAGCGCCTTTCGCTTGTTGTCAGAGTCCAGATACATGCGGATGCCTACAATGACGCAGAAGTACGCATTGCAGATGTCGATAAAGAACAAAGGACTGAAGACGGTGAACCAGTCTTTCATCAGCTCTGGGAATACCTCATTCAAGGTGCCGGATATCTTAAAGGCTAACGTTATGGTAAACACCAGCAGGCCGCACAGGTTGACCAGGATCTCGAACTCAGTCAGGCCTAGCCAGCGTACTAACTCCGATAGTTTGAACATCCTTACTTTTGCGACCTGGTCGTCTGCTTCTTGGCCTTAGCCTTCTGTGGTTGCTGCTGTTGCTGCTGCTGGTGGGGCTTTGGCGGCTCGCGTTGGCTGACCTTTGGTAGAGCAGGCTGAGCTGGAAGCTGGGGCACATCAATATTAAAAAGACTGTTGCTGAAGATCTTGATGTGCAGAGCAGAGTTGTTTCGCTGCCGAAAGGTTATATCGTCCTCATCACAGAGCGGATGCAGTTCGTCCACCAACTGTATGGTGGAGGTGTTGATAGTGTAGCCCAAGGCACCCTCCGAGTTCTTGATAAGACGCAGGGCTAAGTTAAGGCCGCGAGTGATCGAGTATCCCATGCAATGCAAGAATATCTCCTTAACGCCCGAATTGAGCAGTTCCTCGCATCGCCTCTGCTGTGCCTGCAACCGTGTGAATTTAATAACTACTACTGACTACCTATTATTTGTTAAACGCAATCCAATACACACCTTGAAGTCTGTTTTGCTGGTAATGTAGATGTTGCAGCGGTCGTTGTCAGCACGAGGCGGTAGCTTGCGAACCACTCTGTGATTGGCACTGTCGCTCTGGTTTCGCCTTGAGTGGCTGTTTCTATTGTTGGTTCTTGGCTTGGCCCCGAGCTCAGGCGCATTACTTTCCATCATCAGAGTAGATTAACTATATCCCATTACATTTACTGTGTGGTGTGTTTTTACTTGGGTACGTAGACTCCAGACAGTCGAGTAGACACACTTTTTCCAAGATCTGGCAACCCGGCCCTAGTTGTCACTTTGACAGTTGTCGATTTTTTTACTGCCGTCGTTTTGCATCTCTATTCTATCGTCAGGGGTTCGTCGCCAGTTGAAAATTTTTCGTCCAACATTCGGAACAACAAAGGTATGTTTTTCGACCCAGAAACGCAATACTAATTGCGTCTGCAAGCAAATTGTAAGCCTCGGTATTGATCCAATCGCATTGAAAGCAACCCAAAATACCCACGAGCAATCTTGTGGCGAACCGAACTCATACTGAAGCACACATACACACACACGAACTTACGCATTAACATCTCTCCGCTGTTGAGGCTTTGGCAGCAGGAAAAAAGTGCAAATTACATAACTCGTTTATTTGTATATACAAAAAGTAGTTTGAGGTACAAAATTCTACATCATCTGCATAAGTAAGTTACTAAGTAAGCGAGCCATCTATGTTTTACATTGAGTTACATAAGTCTTAAGAGTGGCGACCGAATGAAAAAAAGAAAAGAATCGAATTGAATCTAATCGATTCGAAAATACCACCCAATCGCAAGTCGATGTGCCCCCCGAAAGCCTAAGTATATTCCTAACCACAAATGTAGAAAAGAAAGACAAACCTCCTTGCACAACGTTTTGGTTCAAGTAACGTTTTGTATTCATGCGTTCAAGTCATTTTTCCATGCAGGCCGAATATCCGATACGATTTCAGAGTATCACAATCCATGAGTTCAGAGTAAAACAAGCACAAATACACACAAGCAAGGCAGCCAGCCAGCAGCAAGCAGGCAGGCAGGCAAACCATCAAACGACTCAGAACTACGGATATTACAGCCTGGATAATAGTACAGCTGACAGGAGCGAAAGCGGAGAGACATCGCTCCAACGGAGACGTCATCTGATCTGATCTGGTCCGGTCCGGCAATCATCTCTAAGTGGACAAACGCAAACAAGTAAATTTTACCATTTCTCATTTTAATCAAGTCAATCAAAAAGAAAAAGAAAAATAACAAGAAATCAACAATCGAAGACTCGCTCTCGAGTCTACTAAATCCAAGTATCCAAATTGCATAAGAATCCCCATATGCGGGTATATCTTGTGAGGTGGTCACCAGTCAGTATATTCTTGTTGCCTCACCTGGCGGGGGGCTGGCAGCTCCAGCTCCAGCTCCAGCCAGGTCGGAGGAAACCAGAAACTGCTTGCCGACCCACAATGAACGATTAGCTCGATTTTGAACCACAACCTACAGATATACAGAAAAGAAAACAGTTACAAGTACAGATATTGTGTATGCATAGGTATTCCGTAAAAGCGAAAACTGCAACTGCTTGATTTAACGCGGCACAGTTTCGAATTGCAGATAAACCCGACATGTCGGCGGCTCGCTTGCCCTACTATCAGCAGGATCATCCGCCGGACCAGCAGCGGCGCGGTGGACGCGGCCAGCGGGGCTATTCCGACCGCTACGCCTCCGGCTCTCATAGACGGGAGCGTAGCCGCTCCATAGAACGCCGTCGTTACAGTCGCAGCCGCTCTCGCTCCCGCAGTCGTTCCATAGAGCGTTCGGGCCAACGGCGACGACGTGACGAGCGGAACGACGAGCGGCGTCAACAGCAGCCAACGCGTTACCACCGCGAAAGGGACTCCAGGGAGCGTTCACGGGAGCGAGACCGTGACCGTGACCGTGACCGCGATTACTCCAGACGCTCCGGCCATTATCGTCGTTCAGACTCGCCTGTATCCGGCGGCGGAGGCGGTGGCGGCTGCCCCAGCTCCAGTTCCAGTCAGCGACGCTATCGCCAATCATCTGGAGGCGGATCAGATCCGAATGCCGCACAGAATCCACACAATGAGGCCCAGCCAGCAAACAGATCCAATGCCATGTCCGCCGTGGGCGCCTATTACAACCTTGACACGGAGGAGCCATTCGACAAGGAGCGCATTCATCGCGAAATGGAGGAGAAACTGCGTGAAGCCCTCGCCAGAGAGGGAAAAGTTTATCCGCCACGTAAGCCTGAGCCGCCGTCGCATCCTGTCTTTGCCAATGATGGCTCGTTCATGGAGCTGTTCAAGAAAATGCAGCAGGAGAAAAGGCAGCAGCTGCAGATCGGCCAGGACTATCAATTGGAGAATAGTGCGCTCGCATCTGGCAGCACGGACCTACAAACACCGACAGAGGCTCATCCAGGCATACCTTGCCTGCCCGCCATTGCAGTGGGAGCTGCAAACAGTGCGACAGCACCCTATATTGCCGCTGCGGCAGCCGGAAAATCTGCTCCTCCGCCACCCATGGTGGGACGTCGGCGCGGCGGCAAGGTCCTGAAAACCGGGATGGTTGCCAAATTGAAGACACAAAATGAGCAGGATGTGGATCCGAAGGACTTCTGGTCGCTATATTTAGCCGAGGTCAACAAATATAAGAGCAATGCATGCGATACGGACAATGGCAAGCGTCCATTGGTCAAGTAGGGCATGGAAAAATGAACTTGAACGCATAAGAAACTCCCTATGGAGACCCTCCCTTCAGGAGCGATCCTCCCGTTTGGTTTGCTTTATGCCCCGCCACACACCAGTCACCAGACACACTCGACACAATCCGATCTGGGCATCACGCGCCCTCAAGCTCACAATAAAATTACATATGTACATTATGCAAATGATGGTAGATCCGATCCGCAGAGAATTGTAGTTTTCTGAACAAGAGATTTTTGTGAACTGTAAATTACGAGAAATTTTTGGGTTTTTTTTTTTATATATTATAGTGCATATGTATTGTATGTAACTTTTTCACACGTTTAGGGACGAAGCCGTAGCCGCTGCCTCATTATAAGAATACTAATGAATGATTAATCATAGAATAGCTTCTAAGGCCGTAGCATAGTGGACTTATACGTATTGTATATGTATCTCTTTCTATATTATATACTTGCAAACATATACATATATATATATATATATATATATTCGTACATATATTAGCATATTATTAGTGCATAGTATAGCGCACATTCAGCATCGACAAAAACATAAGGAACTAACCTATATGATTCTTTATAATCTATCTCTTTCTCTCCGTCTCCGTTCATGCACCAAAAACTCGACTCTGAATCGAACCCTGATCCTTATTTCATTATCCATTATCTACTATCTACTATCCACTATCCATTATATTTTATGTTATTATAACGATCCACATCTCAACCGACTATCAACCGCTATATGTTATCTATCTCTCTATATCTTTCCCTCTCTATGTCCCCGTTTACCTTGGTTTACAATTTGCTTGGTTTTTTTTGTTGCTTTCTGTTCTGTGGTTTTCTTTTCCTTTTTATTTTTTTTCTCAACTAAAGTCTATATGCAATTTTTCATGTCTAAAAACAAAAATAGCGACAAGTCACAAGACAGCAGCAACATGTCGGCCTATAAGCTGGAGACCGCCCCGTTTGATCCACGTTTCCCCAACCAGAACGTGACCCGTTACTGCTACCAGTCGTACATCGACTTCCATCGTTGCCAGAAGAAGCGCGGCGAGGACTTTGCACCCTGCAACTATTTCCAGAAGGTCTACAAGACGATGTGTCCCAATGCCTGGGTGGAGAAGTGGGACGATCAGCGCGAGAGCGGCACATTCCCTGGCCGCATCTAAGCCGCGGTCCTGGTCCCACAATCCCAGAAAGCAGAAGCAGAGGATGAACACCAACCCTACACGCAAAACAGACACAGAACAGTGCACACGACACGAACAAACAACCCAACCAGAGCAGAGGGTTGTCTCCAACGTCCCAGGATCTAGCAATTGCAACAATAATGTCACACCAAACTGTTTATGATTTTATTTCCCGGCGGTGAAAAGCATTGACAAAATACAAATACACAATTGTTCAATTCTGTGAATACCGATTCGAATGTTTATTGTTTTCTTTTTCGCTGTTCTTCAGCGCACACCTACAGACCCACAGATCGCTACATACATGGGCCACGCAATTGTTAACCCTGTTAATGTGTAATTAACCAATAAAAAAAACATTCGAAACGATGGATTAAGCAAGTGGCGCAGCATTGTTAAATGATCTATCTTCTTGAGACCGTTGCGTGTTTCTAGCAGAGCTAGCTAGATACATATATGGTAAGTAGGACCCATGGATAGCGTGGTCAGATAGTACGGAGGCACACGAACACGACTCTGTCGACTACGTTGTAGATAATGGAGATTCGGATCTGTTTCCGTTGCGACACCTAAAACAGCGAATTACTTTCTTAAAATCCCGCTGTAAAAAATACTTATTAAAATATTTATTACTACGGATTGGTAGGCCAAGCCTCTAATGCACTTCTTGGGCTCTTTGCCTACAAATCACTGGTCGAACGATGTCTCACTTGACATCATAAGCCCGTCTGAAGGCTCTCACCTCCTGCAAAATCTATTCAAAATCTATTGTCCTGAAGGGTTCAAAAGGAATCGCTTCTTTTTGTATAATTATAAATAATTGTTAAATATTCATTTGGCCAACATTAAGAAGTACTCTGGCTGTTTGGAATGCTCTCAATGGAAACTAAATGGGTCTCCGAGGATTCGAGGGACTCCACTAACTACACGCAAACACTTCGTAAAAGCGGCAGCTTCTTTCAAGAGAATCCTTTATAGGAATTCCCATGAAGAAGAAGAATTCCCGCCAAGAGTAGATAACCATTGGGAAACCGCTTCGTGTTCAGTCCCTTTGGCATTCCAGTCAAAGCCTGAGAGATGAATGAAGAATGAAGTATGGTTATATGAAAATAAGATCGACCCTTTTTTTGGAATACCATTGAAAGCCAAGTGTGTCTTTTTACTGAAAATAGCAGGCCTTGAGATCGCTTGACTTTTGGCTGTTTTCTAGACCCTGGATTTTACACCGAAAATATTCAGTACACCACTGCCAGTAGTGGAGAAAACATTAACTTTTTTTCGGGAAATAATTTTCATTAAAAGTGAAACAAAATTAAAGTGAAAAAAAAAAAAAAAACAAAAAAAAAATGTTTAGTGCGCGGAAACTAAAAACAAATTCTGAATCCAATTTAATACAAATTAATCTAAAATTATTTAACTAATTTAATAATTGTTCAGTTGAGTTAAATAACTAACTAAATTGTGTTTCGTTTATTTTAAGTGACACATTTGTTGAAGCGGTTACACAATTCGAATGTTATTTGAGCGGTTTTTAAATTAAACATCAACTGTTTTCATTGAACGTTCAGCCACGCCCGCCATTAGCCATTTATTTTCAAGAAAACATTAAAAAATGAATCTCAAAAATAAGATGTTTAGTTTCTACTGCCGCCATAGGCCCTCAAAGAGCCACATGGCTATTGCCACCGCCTTGTAAGTGAAAAGTAGAACTCAAAGTAATACAAAGGATTGTATAGCCTATAATATATAATCTATAATTTTGCAAAATTTTTGAATATTTTCCTACAGTATTCCTTCGGCCGGATATTTCGGACTGGCTAGCCTGTTGGCTTTGGTTTACTACACCGATTGGAAGGCAATTGCCGGTTATATTCCACTCTACAACACGAAATTCCCCAAACCCGAGGGAAAGGATGCAAAGTAAAAAAGGAATATTCCACATTTACTTATACACAACAAAAGTGAGTGCAAAACGATGTATTCATAAAGAAATATTTGCATAAATTATCGCATTTCAGCTGTCATGGACGACCGTTTTAGTTCGTGACTAGAAACAAATCACAATTACTCAAGTTTGTTTCCAACTTCCAATCAAATTACCTTGATGTTTATTTGGTGCCAGCACAAGCACCAGCCACAAAACACAAAGACACACAACAAAACCGAAGAGCAAAATGTTTTGTTGCCATCTCCAACGGCATAACCTCCCGAGCAGGGATCTAGCAATTGCAAAGACAATTTCACACACCAAAATCGCCACACACTTAAGTTCACAAATGTTCAATTCTACTCGACACTTATTCAAATGTTTATTTTTACCTTAAAAGAACACAACGTTAGAGCAAAATGTTTTGTTGCCATCTCCAACGGCATAACCTCCCGAGCAGGGATCTAGCAATTGCAAAGAAAATTTCACACACCAAAATCGCCACACACTTAAGTTCACAAATGTTCAATTCTACTCGACACTTATTCAAATGTTTATTTTTACCTTAAAAGAACACAACGTTAGAGCAAAATGTTTTGTTGCCATCTCCAACGGCATAACCTCCCGAGCAGGGATCTAGCAATTGCAAAGAAAATTTCACACCAAAATCGCCACACACTCAAGTTCACAAATGTTCAATTCTACTCAATACCTATTCAAATGTTTATTTTTACCTTAAAAGAACACAACGTTAGAGCAAAATGTTTTGTTGCCATCTCCAACGGCATAACCTCCCGAGCAGGGATCTAGCAATTGCAAAGAAAATTTCACACACCAAAATCGCCACACACTTAAGTTCACAAATGTTCAATTCTACTCGACACTTATTCAAATGTTTATTTTTACCTTAAAAAAACACAACCTTAGAGCAAAAAGTTTTTTGCCATCTCCAACGGCATAACCTCCTGAGCAGGGATCTAGCAATTGCAAAGAAAATTTCACACACCAAAATCGCCACACACACAAGTTCACAAATGTTCAATTCTACTCGACACTTATTCAAATGTTTATTTTTACCTTAAAAAAACACAACCTTAGAGCAAAAAGTTTTTTGCCATCTCCAACGGCATAACCTCCCGAGCAGGGATCTAGCAATTGCAAAGACAATTTCACACACCAAAATCGCCACACACACAAGTTCACAAATGTTCAATTCTACTCGACACTTATTCAAATGTTTATTTTTACCTTAAAAGAACACAACCTTAGAGCAAAAAGTTTTTTGCCATCTCCAACGGCATAACCTCCTGAGCAGGGATCTAGCAATTGCAAAGAAAATTTCACACACCAAAATCGCCACACACACAAGTTCACAAATGTTCAATTCTACTCAATACCTATTCAAATGTTTATTTTTACATTAAATGTTTAATTATGTTAATACAACTACAGAACCACAGAGTTACAGACACTGTTAATGTATAATCTCAGCCAATAAAAAAAACATTGGAAATGATGCCATTGTGATTTCGTTTGATTTTATTCCGAGGAGCAAATGATCGATCTGATACCATTGCGTTTATAGCATTCAGGGTTTCACGGACTGCCTCTAAATGGGGTCACTCAGACGACTAAGACAACAACTAAGGCGCAACTTCATTTATATTTGATCCAATATACAGCCTCCTGTGTTCGAAACTTTTGGCTATCGATATTATTTCAATATATGGTAAGCACAATCTTGTTATTTTATAGTCTTTGGTCATTGACTGCGTACAAAGTCGTCGCAGAGAACCCACGGAAATTCAACTTAGATATTACATTTTTATATCAATATACCATATAGTCTGCAATTATTATTCCGTGTATTCGGTTTCTTTTATATTCATAAATTGTGGGGGCCATAGATTTTTTCCCTTTGTTAGGCGCCCTTTAGGGCAGGACGAAGTTTTGAAATTGAAAACACTCGTGACAGTGTGATTTGTGGATTTGTTAGTCGAGTCGTTATGGCCATGTCTGTCTTTTCGTCCGTCTTGTTTGACGCCTTGTTCCCGCTCTTGGGTCGCTTTTGGAAAAGTCTACTGATCGTCCAAAAATACCTGTCCGGCGACAGGGTATTGGCATCCACGACAGACAGACCACCTGTTCCTTGCGCCCATGCAAGAGGAGCTGAAAATGGAGACGAAAATGTTCCAGTATTTATGCTCAGGATTATTCCAACATTTTTAGTTTATAAATGTAAATTTTCTAGCAAATAAGAAGCATATCCATTCAGTTTGGCCTGCATGATGTATTTATTGTAATTCGTATTCTTTTTAAATATTATAAAGTGTTTGGGAGTACAGGACGCCATTCCAAGCTTTGATTTCACTTCGTCAGATTTACTAGATAGTTTGAGAGATTTTAAGATCATAAAGAATAGAAATCGAATGAAATTATTCTCTACAAAAGTGTCCATCTTAAGGTAAACTTATGTCTAGTACTCGGAATCGGATTCGGATTCGGATTGGCGATTTCAAAGTGAAATCGAAAACCAGAATAGCCCTGAACATTATGGAGTGCTCGATGGCCCTTTGCATTAGCCTCCGAATTATTATTGTGTGTGTTTCTTAGCGTATAAATACAATATATTCAATTCTTTGAAGATTTCTTTTCCACTACTTTAGTATGCAGCTGCTAGTACTCTTATACACTACATGAAAATTAATGTACGAACCCCTGTCTGACAAGAGTTCTCTTAAATGCTGAGCCACAAAAGCGACTTCTGTGTGTTCAATACCCCAGTGTATCCGCCAGTATCATCCGATCGATCAGACAGTGCTGTTGCTGTTTTTGTTGCTGTTAAACATTAAAATCAGGAGACCTCTGAAATGTAATAGTAACGTAGGAGCCGGGAACAATGCTGGATGATTAAAGTCCTAGGTACAATATCAAGGAGTTAGTTGTAACAAATCAACAAATTGCGGACGGCAGCAATTCCTAGAAACTAAAATCTGATCAACACAACGGGAAACAAATGATTGGCGTTCTTTGAGCCGACTCGATATAGAAGTACATATCTGCCTGGCAATGTCTGATGTCTTCGAAGGCTTTCTGTGTTGTATTTTCATTATATATCACTAAATTTCATATACTTCAACTTGCGCTGATTGCCTGAATCTATTGGAATTGTTTTTAATTTGTACCGCAGTTTGAAAGGATCTTAGATCATAATAATATATTATTCATCTTATGGCTAGTGCTAAGACGGCTGAACGAGCGGTTCGTTACTGGGTTCAGTAGCTGGGTTCTCAACGGGGAAGCAACGGTTCGACGGTTTCCTTGCCCTGATTAAACCTCGTTTTCCCCCTTCATACAATGTACGATAATATCTGTACGAGTACTCGTATATCGACACATCGAGTGTAATCAGTTAAATGTCTTAACCTTGGCTTATTCAATTGCTAAAGCTACATGCATATACATATATACGTATCTAACTCTATGTGGATATATGTTCAGCTGTACTGGTTTAAAATCCAAATTCAGCTGCCTAGACAGGTCAGTGTACTCGTATATAGTGTATTGGTAGTACAAGGACATGTGCTTAAGCCTAGTACATCTTTCCCTTCACTTCACTGTTTGTTTTTATTGTACTTAATAGGTATTTTATTATATTTATAAATTGTATTTTGTTTGGTTTTTGGTTGTGCCTGGCTTCACTTGTTTTAAGGATACTTCAGTTGGGGATATACCATATATTCCTGTTATCTATATAAGGAGTTTTAAACGTGTTCTTAGGACTATTTGATAGTTAAAATGGAACGAAATGCCACTGAAACGATTCACGAAATCGCCTCAATCTTGATATAAATATTTCCAACTGTCCAACTCGTAACTTGGTTTATCGTATCGTATAAATATAACACAGATATTAACTGATTAGTAAATTGCGATATTTGAAGAAGGAGAAGCGTAACTAGTATTTTTAGTTAAGTTAGTTTTAGTTCCAGGAATACGATATACCTATGACTCATCGAGAATCACTCATCACTCGCGGAAGTCAACTTATTGTAGTCATTAAACTTTACCGAATTACATGCCATTTATACTCGGATGTTCTGTTGTAACATTTGATTAAGTGGGGAGAACAAATGCCTTTTTTTGCTCATCACCATCACTACGCACCATCTGGATGCGTATGGATTTTGGTGATCAGATGTCTTAAATGCTAGCTGTGCACGAATAAGTAGAGTAAGTTTAGGTTATGGGTTCTCCCTTTGAATGCAATGCAATCCAAACTCTGTTCTGATCTGTGTATGTCAGTGTTTTCCACTCAAAAATCCTTAATATCCAAACACTAGATCCATGAATATTCCACGTGCATTCATGGATACTCGTATTTAGTGCTACAACATAAGCCTCTCTCACAACTCCATCTCGGCTTGTGCTCTGCTTCCATTGTGCCTCCGTTCTTGTCCGTTCCGTGTAAGGCATTTTGTGCCCAATTTATAGCTTCAACATGTAACCGTACTTCTGTGTCCTACTCTCCAACTCCTCCAGCTGCTCAGCTAGAGCAAATTCCTTCCTCACTCGCTCGATTCGATCTGTCCCCCGACCCGTGTCCGTGTCCAAGCCTTTCCAGAGTACCACAGCCCGTAGTCCCCCCCTACGGGTATAGTTACATGTAGCTATTGCTTGTTTGTTATCCAATGTCACGGACAATTTCGATCTTGTCGCACAGCTCCGAGTCCGGATCGTGGATGGTGGTAAAGTGGGTGCGGTCACTCCTGAATGTGTTCCGCTCGTTCGAGCTGGTCTTGATTGACCTCTCCGAGGGCGTCTCTGTGCCACTTAGTTGGATACGCTTCTGCAGGGCCGACACAAAGTTCTGCCAATTAGAGCCATGAACCAATTAGATATTCTTTTAAGCTGTGCTAGTGGTGCTATCACCCTCACCTGTGATATGATGTCGCCACGTGCCGTTCGCACCTGGTACAGGTAGCGGAACTTGCGCTGTCTGGCCTCCTCGCGGGTCTCGCGAGTGCGCGACTGTGATCGTCTTACGGGTGCATGGGCGTGGCCAGGTCCGGCTTGCTGCTGGCTGTGCGGCAAGTGCGTAGCATGGGGATGGTTGGGATGGTTATGGTGCCGCATGTAGACACGCTTGCGATGGTCCACCCGCCAGGCGGTTATGAAGCACTGCACCATGATGCTGAGCACAATGGTCACGGGCCAGGCGGCTATCAGGAGGCCCCCATAGCACGGAGGCGGTAATGGATGCGGCCTCATGTTGAGTATCTGCAACGCCGGGCACGATTTAGTTGGAGCTGTGCAGACAGGGGAAAGCTTACATACCCAATTGAACGTCTCCAGGCCGTGCATGAAGAAGTCGATGGCTCCGATGATCATGGCCGTGCCCACAATGCTGGAGGTGAGTATGGTCACGTATTTGACACAGCACAGGGTGAGAACCGAGCAGATTACGGCGCCACCCACCACAGCCACGTATATTTCACGGTACTAAACGGAACCGGAGTAAGGAAAATGAGAAGGATGAGCGATGGTGGATAATTACGCGCTCCACTTACCCCAAATTCGTTGTCCGGCATTGTGGCCACACAAACGGCCATCGCGGCACCGGAGAGCAGGGCTCCGGCGAAAGCACTGATCAGCACCGAAGCGACCGGATATGTGGAACCGAGTACGGCGCCCAGCAGTCCGGCCACAATGGCCAAAGCCGAGTCCGCCGGCTTGCCCAGGAATGTGATCTGAAAGTCCTGCAGTATGAATATGCCATTGGCGCCCACCATTAGTCCGCTGAGGAAGCCCACGGCCCGAAGGCAGCGGTAGCCGAGCAGGGCGTACACGATGCCGAATACGGCGAAAATGGCCCATAGTATGGCGGCCAGGGTATCCGGTGCGGTTGGGGTGCATGTCTGGTTCTCCAAGATGCCCTAATTACAATGCAAAAGGCAGAGAGAAATAGAGAGAGGGAGAGCGGTGAAAAGAACTGGCCAGTTCTGTACGTTGCTGTAATTCGATCAAGGACACGTGACACACATCGCCAGTGTCGGCACCACTTACATATGTATGTATGTACGCGTCTGACTCATGCATGCAAAAGGTATGATAATATTAAGGTAATGCATTCAAAAAAAGTGCACTCTTTTTTTTCACGTATGTATTGCCGGTTTAAGCTGTGTGCGTGTGTGTGAAATTAAGCCAGCGGATCCGAGTTGTCTTACTTTATTATGACTGTTATACCCTGTGCATGAATGTATGTATTTATGTATTTATGTTTATGCGGACCACATTACCGCTTATGCAAAATGACTGTCAACACTGGAATACCATCAAAGCATAACGGTAACGCTCTCGTTACTCATCGCGATATCTCGTGAGGCATAAACGCAGCCTCTCGTTTTGCATAGCTAACACTTGTACTCTTTACAGTTAACACTTTGCATATTGCGCGACTTAACCTATAAAAAAATACACAACGCATGCTTACGTACCTTTATCAGAAATGGCCAGTCCAGGGGACTGCCCATGGCATCATCATTGCCATAGTCGTGGCCATCGTAGACCACATCCGCCCCCACCCTCATTCCGGCGGCAAATGCGTTTTGGTTGGTTTGTTTTTTTTTTAAGAAATGCAAAACTGCTTGGACGCTGGACGTCGAGTACGGTAGCTGTGTAGAGTCCAGGCCAGCTATTTGTTGTTCACTCGGCCACGCATTCCAGCACTGAACCGTACATTGTACCACCACGCATCAGCCTCGCATCCCTCTCTCCTGCCACAACACTCCGCTTTGTGTGTCAAGCCTCTGCAACAAGCCTCAAAATAGGGCGGAGCACTCTCTTACCGTCCTCGCATCTCGAATCTCAATCGAATGACGACATCTTTGTTGCTCTCAACTTGTAACTGTTTGTCCGTGGCGACAGATCAACGTTTGTTTTACCATTAAATTTTATAATAGAAATGTTGCAATTTCATTATTTTGTGTACACATATTTGGAGCGGAGACGACGGCTGGTGGCTGGTGGTGCTGCGGTGTGGACTTGTGCTGCTACAATCGGGGCCAAGACGAACTCGCTTGTGGTACAACAAAACACACTCCTGCGGCAACGGGGCGCATCAACAGAACAGCGACGCGAAACAGGGACGGATAGAGCGCGGCTAAGGCGGGAGCACAGTCGGTTAGAGCAGGAACGATAGACGACGATTTGCGTAAACAAAACAACCCTTAAACAGCTGAAAGCCACTCGAAAAGCTTTAAGCTGAGGACGACCGACCCAAAGCTCCGTGCAGCAAGCAGCTTATATCAATATCGTAGGACGGACTCCGATTGGCATCCGCTTCAGACTTATCAATCAATTACCATTCATCTCCCCTGCCTCGACATGAAACAAAACAGGGTATTAAAGTTTCGATTATTTAGTGTTATACATATGTCATACATTTTTACTAGGACACATACATATACTTAGATGCATGCATTGGGTTTGTTGTGGGGGTTATTGTAGATTTTGGAATGCGGCTAAATGACGCTCCGGCATCGATTGGATTGGGTTTCTACGGAGCATGCAACGTTTCATAACAATTAACATTTCTTCTTCTCGCGTCTTTCATTAGGATTAGTATTACATATATCAATTTGTTATATATAGGTGCGTGAACAATTCGGAACTCCCAATACACACAATGCAATAATAGTAGTAGCTATAATATAATACGTAGACTACAATTTGCTTGTGTTATCTAGTGTAACACCTCCAGAAAACATTAAGAAACGGTTCTGTGGCTCATGGATATCTTGTTTCGATTGCTTTGAGTTTAAGGCGAGCGGATGATGGCCTCGTAGGCGGCGAAAATGATGTTAGCCACCTCCACAGAGCGCGACTTGAGGCTGAGCGTGGCATCGGGATTGCCCGGCTGCAGCTTCAGCTCCAGCAGCACCCAGATATTGTTCGTCAGCCTCAGCGACTGGTAGAGCATGTCTTGGCCCTCGACATTGCGTTTGGCAATGGTGAAGATGTTGTTGGTGGTCATCTTGGAGGCGATGCCGTCGGTGGTGCCGATGACGCCGCTCAGGCTGTACTGCAGCTCGTTGGCGGCCGGTATCTCCTTCCAGGTGTTGAGGAAGACCCGCTTGTCCAGCTGCCCGTCCTCAGCGAACAGCACATTGCCGTGCACCAGGCAGGCAAAGTAGAAGATGTCAATGTTGTTCTTCACCGCCACCTGAAGGTTGTTCAGCGGCTCCATGCGCTGGATGGGTCCGTTGGTGCCCAGGGCGAGGCTCACCTCGGCGCTCTGGTTGGGTGGCAAGGGTACCGCTTGCAGAGGGGAGGCTGGCGACAGGCCAAAGCTGTTCTTGTTCAGCTGGATGGCAAAGTTCGTCATCGGCTGCATGGCTTTGTTGGTGAGCGTCATGTCCATGAAGACTTCACCGTTGCGGCGGGAGAAAGTGCCCTGGATCTCCAGGCCCTTGCCCTTCTCAGCTGGCAGCCACGTGACTTTCGGGATTTGAACGCCCACAGAAAGGGAGGTGCCAGCCAGGCCAAAGATGTCGCCAAGCAGGCTGGAGGCGCCGCCCGGGGCTGGTTCAGCTGGTGGGCCACCCAGCAGTATGTCCAAGCCACCGCCTAGTAGATCCACATTGCTTGTAGCGGTTGGCGCGGCGGGCATGGCGGGGGCATTGATGTCCATAGACAGCAGATCCCCAATCAGCGATTCCTGGTTGGGTATGACCATGGCCTCCGATCCGGCTCCCGGCTCTTGCTGATCTCCTGCCCCGCTGCTTACGCCGGCTCCAGCCGTGCGGTTTGGCAGAGATTTACGTACGCCAGCTCCTCGTCCCTCCACAAAGGCCGTTGGTGGCTTGTGGTACACGCTGGCCAGCGAGCTGATATGACAGATGAGCTCGTCTAGCAGCGTCGGCTCCAGCAGATCCGTTTCCTCCGAGATGAGAGGCTTGTCCGCCAGCACAACTTCCTTGGCGGCGGCCGGGTCTGTGGAGAGCAGACGCCAGTAGATGAATCCACGGTCGCGCAAATCGGGATTGTCCGAATCCTGGGTGGCCAGCGAGAGGACGTGCTGCACCAGCTCTTGGGTATCCGATGGACGCTTAAGGAAGAGCTTCACCACAGCCGTGAGCAACTGCAACTGCACTTGGGCATTCTCATCCTGAAAACAACCAAAACAAAGATTCAATTTAGGCATAGTTTTGCAAAGGGGAATAGGCTGTGCGTGAGTTTTACCTGGAAGCCCTCGAGGAAGCTGTCGAGCAGCTCGTCTGCGTTATCAATGCGCTCGGCATACTCGCCGATGATCCAAACCATCGAGGCACGTGCCTCCGGCTCATCCAGGGTGTCCAGATTCTCGCACAAGGTGCTGATAATGCTCTCGTACTTATTGGGATACTTGCGGAAGATGTCTTTGATGACGACAATTGCCTCCTGCACCACATAGTTGACCTTCGTTTGGATGAGATCGAGCAGGGTAGAGACACAGCGCTCTGCCGATGGCTCCACCTTGATGGCACAACGACCGATGGCGCGCACCGCCTTGCGCACAAAATCGACATCCACCTCGGTGGCGTACTCCTTCAGTTCGCTGAGCACCTGGGCAATGTTGCTCTGGTTGGCCAGACGAATCATAATGTCCAATTTCTCCAGCTTCACGTAGATGGGATCGTTGTACTTCACAAAGAACACCTTCATTTCGTGCTTGAGGATGTCGGGACGCTTCTGGACAATAAGGTTGATGTTGCGCAGGGCCACGTATTGGACCTCTGGCTCCGAGGAAAGCAGCGTCACCAGGGGCGGGGCCAGCTTCTTGGTGAGCGTGGCACAGAAGTCACTGTCGCTGGACAGCATCTCGAGAAGCTTCATCAGAACCTTGACGGCACTGAGAACCACGGCAGCGTTGGCATGGGCCAAACGAGGCGTGATTCGCTCACAGATCGACTGCGCCTCGCGCTCGTCTTTGGGGCTGTAATTGGCCAGGGAGTCCAGGATGAACACCTGACCCCACTCTGTGCACTCATTGAGGGCCGTCAGCAGCTTGTTGATGGTCACTGAGTTCATCTCTACCAGCGGCTGTCCCGACTGGCTGGCCTCGTTGATTTCGCTGAGGGCAGCCACCGCATTGGCCACGACCATCGGATTGGAGTCGGACAGCAGGTCCTTTAGCTGGTCGAGGAAGCCCTGGTCCTCTACCATGGTGGCCGATATGTCGTACAGCTTAGCCACGCACACTGCCGCCGTTTTGCGCACATAGGGATCCTCATCCTTCAGACACTTACGCAGCGGCTCGCACAGATACTCGGTTATCTTGTCCACCCGTATGCAGCCCATCGTGCGCACGGCCAGGGCACGGATCAGCGGATTGGAGTCCTCGCAGTCCTTCACAAACGTATTCACTGCCATGATGGCCATGTCTGGCTGCGACTTGGCGTAGTTCATCAGATACAAGTAGACCAGCTTCTTAAGCTCCAGATTATCGGTTTGCATGCAGTTAACGACATCGGGAAAGAGGGCGGACACATCCTTGCCGACGGTCATGCTGGCAATCACCTTCTTCACTGCCTCCTTCTTCTTCTCCTTCTTGTCATTGTTCAGCTCGGACTTGAGCTCGAAGATTTCGCCCTTTTTGGTAGTTGTGAAATACTTGGAATCGGTCATCTTGTCAGCTCTGCTCTACGAACTAGGTAGATCTTTCTGCGGGATATAAAGAGGAAATCGTGCGTTAAACTAAATAAGAGAGCTACTAACAAAATAGGGTATTATTGATTGCGGCGGCATTTCTAGGGGCGTAGCAGGCGCACATACACATACCAGCACACCCACAGACAGATACAGAGCTTGAACACGTCTCAAATCAAAGCTGATTTTCAAATTCAACATAAACCCTATTTAACACGTCACGTCCACATAGACCTGTATATTCCTCTATCTACTACAATATTTTCTGAGTTAACACCGTACATTACCTGTAAAACTAGCTTTTTTCGGGCTAAAAAATGTATTGTTTGCTTTTTTTCTTTGCTCGGCAGTGTGACCGCGGATTGGTCGAAAAAATGTACGGTCTGACTCTCAGATATATATCGTATGTGCTGCAAGGAATGATGAGACTCATCGCTGCGAAGGCGCCTCACCAAAGCAAAAAAACTGTACAACCTTCTGGAGATTGATCGGGAAATGCTTGAAGTCCAGAAATTACTGGATGGTCACCAGGAAACAAAATTAATATTACAAATTCAAATTCGGAAATATTGAGCAGTCTATCGATAGTGAGCCACAAATAAATAGTCGTCTATCGATGGTTTTTCAGCTATATTGTTTACATCATTTTTGGTTTCGCGATTTGAATATTATTGGGTTTCCATTCCATCGTAATTTGAAAGACAAAAACAGCATGTCGTTGGCCACTGTACACTCGGCGTGCCAGCGGATGCCACTTCTGCTGAGGACACCAATGTGCCACCTTAGCTCCTCCGCGACTGTTGCCTCCCAACGAACAGATCCCCAGCTGTTGAGCCCCGACGACTATGCGGCCCTTCTGTCGACAGAGCAGCAAGAGCGATGCATGAAGAAGATGCGCAATCTGCCGGCCTTTCCCCGACCAAAATCCTTGACACCCAATATGCGCGAAAAGCTGTCGGCCTCCGTGCTCATAGCTCTTTGCCAGGAACGGGGCACGTAAGTGGCGGCACAGACGTGTGTATGTACTCGGCCGGAAGAGGTGGCTCCAACTACGTTTGCCGTTCTCTTACTCCTTTCAGCGACGAGATCTCGCTGCTTTATACTCGCCGTTCCCGGCACTTGCGTAGTCACAGCTTCCAGATCTCCTTTCCGGGCGGTAAGCGGGACGAGAGCGACGCGAGCTATGTGGACTGTGCCCTGCGCGAGACTGAAGAGGAAATTGGGCTCTCTCGCGATCGCATTCAGGTGTGGGGGGAGGCAAAGCCCCTATATTTGCCCCGAACCTCTGCCATTGTGCCTGTGGTCGGCGTTGTGCCCGACTTTCACATGTCGGAGCTGCGTCTGAACTGGGAAGAGGTGGAGGAAGTATTCAGCATACCGCTGAACGCATTGATGGCACCCAAGGCAGCGCGGCACACGCAATTTCGTAGCGGCTACAGTGGCCCCGTCTTCGTGGTTGATCACTACCGCATCTGGGGCATCACTGGCTACCTGACCCACGTCTTCCTGCACTGTCTGCTGCCCCCGAGCCTGCTGCCCGAGTCCCTCAAGACGAATATCAAATTTGTGCGTCCCTTCAAAATTCCACCAAAACCAGGGCATCATCATCATTCGGACCCATCAATGGCTAGCTAGTTGGGAACGGAACCCGGCCTAGGGCTTCCACTCAATTGAAATTGAGTTGGGTGAACCCCCAAATGGGTTGCACACTGGTGACTGTTTCGATTAAATCAATCATCCGCCAAAAAGCTCGTGTTCTCTTCTGTTTCTTGTTATGTACAGACTTGTTTGTAAAATTTAATAAAACTGTTGTTGACTTTTACATTATAATTGAAATTGCCCTGACTCTATTTCAACACTGGCTGCAATAACACTCGAACGTCCAATAACCAAGACCCTTGGCAGCTTCTCATCCACTTGGCTGAGAAATTTGTACTGGAATTCCGACCTTATTCACGTGCTGAACACTAGACAAAATCAAAACGTTAGCTCTCTGTATGCTCAATCCGTTCCTGATGCGGCTGGGACGCCGGTGGACGTGCAGGTACCGCTCAGAGGAAGGCCCTCTCCTTTGGACAGCAGCAACAGAGTATTGATGGAGCGGATCTACTTGGGGACTGCGGCTTCTGCAGTCTCCAGGGTGGATTATTGAGTAAAATTGATTACATAAAAATAACACCATTTTGATTTTGTCTTTTTGTGTTTCGTTTTTTTTTTTTTTTATTTTTAATTTTCTCTTAAATACAAAAAATACTCTTCATTTCCTCTTTTCATTTGCCTTTTGTTTTTTTTTTATGTTATAAAATATTAAAATACAAGTTAAAAGCGAACAAAATGGCAACGGGCGCCAGGGAGCAAGAAACAAACAAAAAAATAATAATCAAAAAATCATAATTTAGGCGGAAAAAAATGCACATTTTTTTTTCCATTACACACACAAAAAAAAATTAAAATTGAAAAGCTCCTTGCTGAATACAAAGTTTAAAGTAAAATCAAATAATAAAAAAAATATTTGTAAATATATGGGCCAAGACCGGGTGGGGGTGGTAGTGGTTGTGGCCTATACAATGCCATTGGATAAGCCATTAATTGCGTATCGAGCTATCGTATAATATATGTATATGTATGGATATTTGCATGTCAAACACAAATATGGAGTTCATTAATTAATTAAACAAAAATACACCGCCGCAGACGGCTGGGTGGTGTTTGAATCAAGCATAGCTGAAGAAAGGCAACGCGGCTGCTAAAGAACACTTGTTATGCTTTTGCTATTTACTCTCTATACACGAGTATTGGTGTATAGGTGTGTTGTATATATATGTATGTATAGTATAGTATATGCGTGGATAGTATGTATATCATGGTTGTAGTATACAATAATTTATAAGTCCTGGTTGTCGCTACATTCGGGTGCACGGTTGCACATCGGGGGTTTAGTTGTAAAGTTGTCAAAAATATGAATTATTTGTTTTGTATACATATGATGTATATTTGGGGGCTGCTACTGCTACTGCTGCTGCGCTGCGCTGCGTGTGCTGCTTTTTATAGGAAATTTACTCCGATATATCAATTGGAATGGATGTGGTAAACGTGGGCGTCTCCAGCTCCTCGTGCTTCTTCATTTTGAGACTCTGCGCGAAGGCGAGCGAGAATCAGTAAACATAAATAAATCATAAATAGAGCAAACCCACCTGTTGCAGCTTATAGTGATTGATAATGTCCTGGTCGGCCGGGCACGATTGTGTAAAGGCATCCAGCTGATACATGTGGTACATGTAACGCCACAGCGCTGTCAAGTGCGTCTGTGCGGAAGAAGGAGGGGAGATCATTAGGACTACTTAGTGTTTCGTTTCGCTTGGGTTTCGTTGCACTTACTGGTATCTCAAAGTCCACAAAGTATTTGCCAGCCACACGGATGTGCTGGAGACGGGGCATCAGCTCACAGTCGAAGCAGCACATGGTGTCGCCCGTAAGGAAGCGTGTATTGCGATTGGCCAAATGGTCGTTGATCTTCTTGAGGTGCGACAAGAGGGCATTGTTCTTGGCATCGTCCTTCTTCACCAGCATCAGCTTCAACTTCACATACAGGTTCTCGATCAGAGTGGCCACCTCCTTGTCCTGCACGAACAGATTGTAGCCGCCGGGTATATTCTTCATAATGTGACGCTCGATCTTCTCGTTCTCCAGTATGGCTAGGCCGTTGTCAATCAGGATGGGCGGATGCGTCGCCTCGAAATTGGTGCGGAAATCTGGCGGCGGCTTCTGCATGTCCACTGTGGTCACCTTCAGGCTGATTGTCTTTAGCTCGGCCAGCAGATAAAGGTCCATGAAGTACTCCTGACAGAACAGGCAGGCACCCTTGCGGCGTCCATCGATGGTGGAGGCCTGTGCAAAATGAGAAAATGCGAAAACACACAACAATTAACAATTAGTTAATGTGGTTCAAATGTTTTTCGTGGCAATCAGCTGTCTGCCTAATGGGAATTTAGCTTGCATAATGATGGGGTCGGTCGGTGGCTTCGCGTGCCGCCAATTACCGATAAATAAATCAAATAAAGTTTCCAGCCCAAATGAAACAACATAATTTCAGTCATGTGACATCATCACATCATGATCAGAGCTCTCACGCTGGCAGAATGAGTAATTGGAGGCGGCTCTTCTTCGCCTTCGACTTTGCTTTCGTCCGAATCGGGCAGGAAGTGGAGGTGGGCCCGAGCCTACAGCCAGAGCCTTGTTCTTGATGCACTGCCAAGGCCAGCAGCGGCCACACATGTACATCAAATGACGACGATGACATCATCATCACATCAGATGGCAATGTGCGCGCGAGAGGTTTTACTTGATGATTTCCACTGCCTTTCCCGTTGTTGCTGTTGCTGTTGCCCGTTGCCTTTGCCGTTTACTGTCGACAGCCGGCTTAACTTCAATGGCAATCAATGTGTGCGTTAGATAAGCATTCAGCATTCCTGTTTGCCTTTTACACAGCAGTTGATTGGAGAACAATACCCCCGCCACAACGGAGCAAACGAAAAGCTGGAGGCCCCGCCTACATGGCTATTGAATCCTCTCCAGCATCCGATTAAAAGAAAGCCCGCTATCGATAATTGGGAACGCGTTAGGCTCGCTCCGACAAATACTTTACGCCTGAATTCCCAAACAATTAAATTTTAATTCCTGATATCTAGTTAATTAGCGTTTGCCCTGTGAGTTAATGGCTTAATAGGCCTCAGCCCACATGGCCCCCCAGACCCACAGCATAATCAACCGAAACAGCAAAACAATGGCGCTGTGGGAGCGCAGCAAGAAGTGGTTTTTTCATATCAATTTCGCTTTGGTGCTTAAACGGTGCTTATTTTTCATTATTGCTTCTTATTTATTTTTTTTTGTTATATGTACACCAACAAAGCAGAGTAGAGCATGTTATTAACTGTGATTGCTGGATGCGATACACACGCGTCCCCATCCATCGGGAATGTACCGAATGACCCGGATTACATGCGGGGCATTTATTTGCTGTATCTTATTTTTAGCCTCATTTGCCGTTTGCTGTGGCTTTGGCTTTGGCTTTGCTTTTCTCCATCAGTGTTCGCAATATGAATTGCAAAAATCGCAAATTGTACAATAAATGTGTGGCAACGCCAAAGGTCAGTCAGTCAGTCAGCCAGTCAGTCAGACAATCGGGCAATCTTGCGGGGTGCTGCTGCCTCTGCTGCAATTTGACGCTTTCAAAATAGAAATGACGAGAGAGAAGAGACGGCACGGCACGGCAGCAGAAAAACAACACCAAAAGTAGTTAGCAAATGTCAAGTGCCATTCACATGCACACACATGCACATCCACATCCACACATGCTATGTATGTACATATATGGCACTTCTGGCTAATAAAATCCACACACATACACAATCGTACCTCTTGCCAATAAAAACTGTAGATTTTTGAACAAATTTTTCGTTGGGAATACATAATTTATGAATGTGTGTGTGTGTGCTGCCAATCATATATGTACATATGTATGCGTAGGTTCCACATACAGTTGAGGTCCAAATAGTAGTAAAGGTGCTGCAACCATCTCAGCAGGAAGAGCTTACATTCCACTAGCTAAGAAATACTTTATTCTAGAATTGGTTTTCAAACATTTTCCGTAATAGGAATAGGGGGCAAACCCAATGAGAGAGATGAGATTTATACCCGATACCATAGGGCTCCAGGATATTTTCTCAAGAATTGCCACATATTAGTGCTCACGATATGGTCTAAGGTCTAGTTGCTCGCCACTCTATTCCGACATTAAAATGTATCATCCCGACTGTCGATTGGGACATTCCAAATCAGCAAGGAAGGGTTTCTGTCTTTTTCTCTTGTCTATCGAGCACATTCCCATTATATTGGTTGCCGGCAGTTATTCCGTTTCTTTCAATTGTAAATTTGTGGAGCGATAAGATAAAGACCAAAGCAAAAAAAAAATAAAAATAAAAAACTAAAGTAAAGTCAAATAAAATACAAATACAAACAGCAACAACAAATCATAAATAAAAACGAAATTAAATAGTTGTTGGCGGCATCGGGCATCGAGCACCGGGCACCCCGTCTGCCTCTGCGTGGCGTTATTTTTGGAACCGGTTCGCCGACAGCTGCAGAACGCAATCATTCCGTTTTCAGATGATGACGATCCTCATGGGGATGGAAGTGCGAATGGGAGTGGGGACTGGGACTGAGGGGGGTATCATACATACATACATATGTCAGCCTTGAGGAGAGCTTCTTCACATGCCACAGCGGGCGATTGTACCGATTTCACCGATTCTTTTTGGGCCACATACAAGCACATGTGGCAGATATGTATGTATGTACATATATTTGATATCTTATCAAGCACGGGCGGAAGCCTCCGTGATGAAGTAATGGCCAAAAAAAAAATACAAACAAAATATAATCAACACTAAGTGACGAGCCCAGGGGTGAACGGGGAACGGGGGTGGTGGGTGCATGGCTGATATTTGGTTGGGTGTGCTACAAACGTGAGCTTCACACTTGCATACTCCACCTTCCGCCCACAAATTGGTAATGGGCTAATCGGTCTCACCACCCTCCCCACCCGCTTCCCTCTGGCCGGTAATCAATTTGGAGAATGTATTTCAGAACATTCCAGAAACGCAAGGCGTTCAAGTAATTGATTTAAACCAAATAATTCACGAGGCAACAGACCACAGAAAATATTGATTTGGCGGGACCGCAACGTTTACTCCCTCGTATATGGATCGTTTGATTAGTTTAATCTATATCAAATTAGCCTACAATTAAGTTTCACTTAAACGAAATCGAACACAGCTCTCCCTCCATCTTTGGAGACATACATATGTAGTAGACATTGCAATAGAGAGATACCCTCCCGCAAGGGTATAACAATAACAGTCGTTTGTCAATGAAATCCACACGCCATCCACAATTGCAAAAAGAAACAGATCATCTGTCAATGGGTGGCGGGGAAGCGGAACTTATGAAGGCGGAATGAGGAGAAGCAGAATCTGTGAGGGTGGAAGTCGAAGTGGCGGAGAAGCAGAAGCAACAACAGTTAAGGCGAGGGCGGAGTAGGAGGAGACGATGTAAACATTTGCGTGTTTTCTGCATGCATATGCATGTGTGTGTGGGTGTGTGTGTACATTTACTGACAGCACGTGGAGGCGTGAGGAAGACAACAAATCAGTTGGTTCAACTGTCATCTCAGCATGCACACACCCACACACCCGCACACATATTCGATTGGGCACCACATACAGTTGTGGCCAAAATTCTAGGCCAGTTCTAGTACGTTTAGCCTCAAATTAGCAACAGCTCATTCATGGAGATTTATTTTGTTATTATATCTTTGCAAATAAACATATGTATGAAATCTGCTTTACTTAATAGATTTCTACATACATACATATGTAGTTTGTGTTGACCTCCGCTGTATATGGGATGTGTGTTGCAGCTTCAGTTTCTCTCTTCGCTTTAAGTGGCAACAAAGAAGCGCATTTTCCTCAACATGGACAATTGTTGGCGTTGTAAAAGGGCCCCTCAACGAAAAAGGCCTTAAATTAGTTTAAGTGGATCGTGAAAACATACTCTCGCACATACACACACACCATGTATGAAAGGATCGTTTCAAATCGGAATCGTTTAGGAAAGGGAAATTCATACATACATATGTTTGTACGTATGTATTTATTTTTCTTTTGTTTTGATTCGATGCCAATTTGGGGCATCTCTTGAGATCTCGCGTGGGCGATGACTCCACTCCGACTTCTGCACGAGGAGGCTTTGCCTTTGCCTTTGGCTTTGGCGCGAACAGGAGGGAGGCGGAAAAGTGCACACGAGAAAAACCTGTTTAGCGTTCAATGATTGTTTTGTTAGCTGCTTTCCCTGCTCACCGCACCGCGCTTTGTCCCTCTGTGGAAACAACAAAACCATTTGTGTTTGTTTGTTGCCTGCACGCGCGGAACAGAGAGGCATGCCACCATCTACCATCAACCCATCTACTCAGCTCAGCTCAGCTCAGCTCAGCTCCGACTTCCACTGCTTTCCTTCCCGCTCTGAAATTGAACTTTCACTTTTATTTTTTGCTGTAAATGGAAATGGCTTTTCCATGTGCCAATGCGCTTTTCGTGTTGGTTATGTCAAAGATGCTTCTCGGCTGCTGGCTGGAAAAGTGCTGGTCCTCCCCTCTAGTCCACAGTCAACAGGTGCGCGCCTCATATCCACTTTCTCTGGCAACAGGAAAAGGGAGTGGGCTATTGCTCATTGCATTGGGATTGCGATTGGTATTGGTATTGGGGCAGGAAATGTGACTGCGACTGTGCCTGGAACTAGGGCTGGGTTTCGGACCTGGCGGAGAATTAGTCATGCACTATAAGACTTTCCGAGAGGTGCGGCCCCGTGGCGTGGGATGGCCTGATGGATGGTTCTTTTTGGTTGGTTGGCAGAGGCAGAAGAGGGCTTACCAATAGAATCAACAATCCAAAGTGTGTTCCGAAAACAATCACAAATTACTTTGGCAAATAACGCGGGCCCATGGGCCATGATGCGACGGCAAGGCATGCATGACGTATGCCCCCAAGAAATTTAGAAATCAGTCAAAGATAAAAGGAAGCCAAGCGGTGGAGACTTGTGTCAGCATTTTGTTAAGCAATTGGCGCGAATGGGAAGTATGATTAAGAGTTTTTGAAGAAGGAGATAAGAATAGAACCGCACATAAATACGTTACGATCCACACTTACACGCATACACAAATACACAGGCCAGACCATGGTGTATGTGTGTGTGCTGATGATAGGGAGAGAAGGAAACCGGTTTTGGCGATGCTTAGAAACCACAAAAAACAACACATAAAAGGGGGGGCGTGCAAGAGATGGCCGATGATAAAGGGGGAGAAGCTCTGGCTCTGGCTCTGGGCTCTGACCAAAAGGCAAATAAAACCCAAAAGAAGAAATGAAATGGGACATAATGAATATACAATTCTGTTTCATGTGACACACACACGCTCACTCGGCAGAAGAGCAGAGGGGGAAACATAAGTAGCAGAAACAGCATTTCCAAGGTGTATTTATTCAACGTGACGCATTGCCAAAGAGAACTCGTACAATAGTTTACCCATTTTGCTTTATATTGTATTAGCAGCGTCCCACAAGGAGTGCGAGACATAGTTGGGCAAACAAAAAATAAACATACTTGGTGGGGGGACGAGCGGGGACTTCATCACCTCATTCAAATACAATACTCCTTGATACACCGTTCTTTTTGTCTTTGTGCTTTTTGCATTTGTGCTGGCGTAGACGCGACGCCGACGCTGCTGCTGCCGCTGACAGCGCTGCATTTTCACTTTGTGGCATGGAAATTAAAAGCCAACCCAGCTAAACACATACACATGAGTGCATGCATGTATGCAAATATGACCAAAGGAAAACCCACCTTGATGATCAGTTCTATCTCGGGAACATCGAATTTGCTGCTGCCGTTTGTCGTCTCCTGCTGCGACTGCGTCTCGACGTCGGCGGCGGACATGGTTGGCTCCTTATTCTTCTCTTTTGCAGCGTTTTGTGGAAAGGTTTATCCGCGTGACGGGGTGCGTACGTGTGTGTGTTTTTCCTTTTCGCTCTTGTTGTGCTAATTTTTATATTTGCTAATATCTGTACACAGACACAAAATCACACAATCACAGAATACACAGTCACCGCAGCAAAATATAAAATATATAATTGCTGAAAGTTTATCTCGCACTCGGTGTATGTTTTGTGTCGAAGTCAAAAAAAAATTGGTGCGCACCAGTTTTGCGACCAGATTTATCGATAGACCTTCAGAAATATACCAAAATATACCGTCTCATTATGAAAATATACCGTAAATATACTGACGAACTCAAGTTCTGTTTTACATGTTCCTCAATTTTGATATTCTGTCGAATAATGCAGACTAACTAAAATCTTTTGCTTTGCCCATATAGTTTTAGGTCATTGATGAATAAATTTTCTACATGATTTTCTATTTTTAAGTACTCCTTTTTATTATATTGTGTCTAAAACATGGTTTAAGCCAAAATGGTCAACGACAAAACATAAGTGAGTACGGTAACCATATTCGGTTAATATAATATGAAGAAACTGTTAATTAATAAAGAAATTATCTCAAATTGATATGTTTTAGACCTATTCATGAATATGAATGGTATCTTGCATATATACATCTCGATCCTGATACCGATTCTTGATCTCTGTAAGAATACAATAAACTGCAAAATATCGTTGTGATATTTAAACAGACACTAAGTTGTTTTTGCCTTCTTTGGATCCTGGGAGGACAAACATATTCTCAATTCTAATATATCCTTTTCCCTAGGGTATGAAAATAGTGTTGCTGCAACTTTTGTGCATGGAATGGGGCTCATTGTCGTCCTGTTTCAGGAATCGCCGGCATAACTCGATAGAAATTCATTGGCGCGTAAATGCAGCTCTGATTTTGCCACCAAGTGGCATCGCCGTCCATCAAATTTTGTTAATATTCTCACTGCCGGCGCACGCCGCCTTTTTGCACTTTCTGTTGTTTTTGTTCAAATTGTAAGAGCGCACGAACATGGAACTTGGGGACCTTCTGCAGCAGGCCCAGTGCTTCACAAATGACACCAGAATGGACGAGGACATGCCGCGCGTCGATCGCACCATTTCACAAGTATTGCAGGCCACACAGGAACTCCACTCCCGTGTGACCCTCACAGGAACCCACGATCTGAAGGCGTAAGAGTCGCACGAATAGGGTTTGAATAGAAAGCACACTTAGGCAATCCACATCTTCCATTTTCCCCCAGGCACATGCTGCTGGGCTCCAAGGGCGTGGATCTGCCGAAGCTGTCGCACAAGCTCGAGACGCTAAGTGCGCGGAAGACCTTCGAGCCTCTGGACCCTGTCTCGGACACCGATGTGCATGCCTTTCTGAAAAACGAGCGCGAGAACGCCATACTTTCCGTAATTGATGAGACCAATCGCGGGGTAAGTCATGGGCACAACCACACACATTTGGGGATTTGTTGTATTTTTCATGGCTTTGATCTACAATTGGCAGATTTTCGAGTCAGTGGAGAGGCATAAGTGGCGCCGCATTTATGCCGAGTGGGGGGAGGAGAAGGAGTCTCTGCTGAATGCCCTGATTGGGCCCAAACAAAACGAGTTTCCCGATGTTCGGCGTCAGACGGTGCTCACAACCCTAGCGGAAACTCCAATGCCCAGTTCTCGTCTCAACCGCACCGAGGAACTCTATGCCCAGGAGATAGCCTCGTACAATCAGTCACAAATCCAGAGGGGCCATCGCTCGAACCTCCTGGCAGCGTTCGCCAATCTGGCGGCGGAGAAGTTCGATAACCAGCTCGTGTCCGAAATGTGGAGTGTGCTGCAGTTCATGGCCGACAATGCGCCGCCCTCACGCACCGCAGATGCCATCAAGTCCCGCCTGGCCACCCAGAAGTTCGTCCAGCAGGCGCGTACCTACCTGGAGCGACGCTACAAACAGTACATAAACACCGTCATCATGGAGAATCCTTTGCAGGCCCAGCGCGGTGGCATTCCGAACGTCTATAGCTCGGTCAACTCCTTTGTGAGCATCAATTTTGCGGTGCCGGCCACTCTGGTCGGCCTGCTGGATGTCTATAACGGCCTGCCACTCTGGGCCCTGGTCTACTACAGTCTGCGTTGCGGGGATCTGGGTGCTGCCGTCAGGTATCTCAAGGAAACTGGCGTCTGCTACGATCTCTACCGCCTATTGTCAATGATGAAGGAGGGCACCAAGGGGGAGCAGTATTCCCGGATCGAGGGCGCCCTCAAGCTGGAGTACAACAGCAAATTGCGCAGCTGCAGTGATCCCTACAAGAAAGCGGTAGGTCCATCCATTAATCCCATTCAATATCCTCCTTATCTGGACCAACCTCTTTTCGTTCTTCGGGCTGCAGGTGTTTGCCTATGTTCTGGCATGCGATCCACACAATTCGCATGCGGAACTGATGCGCAGCATCGACGACTTCCTGTGGATGCAGCTCTCCATCCTACGGCAACAAGACGGTCGCGAGTACAACGTCGAACAGCTCACCTACAGTGGTCTGCAGAGCCTCATCCTGGAAAAGTACGGCGAGAACTACTTCAATGCACGCGAAAAGGCGCCGCTCTACTTCAGCGTACTCGTCCTCACGGGCCAATTTGAGTCTGCAATCGAGTTCCTGGCCCGCACCGAGGACAATCGTCCGCATGCCGTGCACATGGCCATTGCCCTGAACGAGATACACATGCTGGGCACTCCGAGCTCCATGCATCATCCGCTGATTAGCGTCAATCCCGAGGATCCGGCGCCCATGAAGCGCCTGAATCTCGTCCGCATGCTGGTGACCTATGCCAAGTGCTTTGAGATAACCAACACCAGCGAGGCGCTGCAGTACTACTTTCTGTTGCGCCACTTCAAGGACGACAACGGCCGCAGCCTGATGCTGAGCTGTGTCTGCGATCTGCTCGTCGAGAACTGTGATCAGCAAATGATTGATCTGATCTTTGGCAATGAAGACGATGATTCCGGCCAGACGTAAGTGGGCTTTGCTGTATGGAACAGACTCTTCTGGGAATCGGTTTCTGAGACGCGTTTTGCTTTTGCTTTCAGCGGCATCTTTGCCCAGTTCCACACAATGGACTTTGACAAGTATATGCTGGCTGGAATGGTGGGCGATGAGCTGACCTATCGCAGCAATTTCGAGACGGCAATCTGGCTCTACTTCATTGGCGGCCAGCTGGACAAGGTGATGCGTTTGGTGTGCTCTCTGCTCTCGCAGGTGGTCCATCAGCCCCCGACAGAGTCCAGTATGCGGACACGCTTGCGCCAGATTATCATTCACCTGGAAGATCTGCGATCCGTGCAGCGAGTGGACGTGGAGCCGCATGTCCTGGCCACATACACAATGCTGACGCAGCTGCTCGTCTTCTTCGATCATTACCACAAAAATGAGTCGCAACAGGCCAGCGAGGTGCTGGCCAATTTCCGGATAACGCCCAACGACTGCTCGGAGGTGGAAGAGTGTGTGGCCAATCTGAAGAGCCTCTGTCCGGAGGTCACCAAGGTCCTGCCCGACATACTGCTGGCCGCTATGGACCTCATTTACGAGGAGTACACGAAAATAAAGGAAAATGGTGGCAGCAGGTCTTCCTTTGATAGCCGCGAGAGCACCCAGACCGATGACTGGAAGAACGAGAACAAGGAGGGCATTCTGCGCCATCTGCGCACAAAGGCCAAGGCCCTCACGAATATGGCTGTCACGGTGGCGTACCGAATGCCCACGGCCACCAATAAGCGTCTCGTCCAGCTGGAGATACTCATGCATTAGGAAAGAAACGACACGACTCTTGAGATGGATATCCTTTCGTATAAATGCATGTGTTTTTCTCTCATTTTGTTTAAGATAATATTTGAAATTGGAATAATTTGTTCGCGTGGATAGTGTGATAGTTCTTTCTCAGTCAGTAGTTGGATGCGTAGTGGGCGCAGGACTATGCAGGATGTGCGCCTAGCCCATATACTGATAGGAGGCACACACTGGCTCCTGGTGGCGCGTGTGCGGCGATGATTGCAGGGCCAGACGTTGCAGGTGACAGCCTCGACATAGGAGACGCCCATCCAAAGGATAGCAGCGCTTGTCCGGCTCATCTGTCAGCTGCATGCCGCACTCTTCGCATATGTAGCAGTCCACATGGAAGTCCTTGTCCATGGAGACCACGCGTACGGTCTCATCGGTGCCCTCAACGGGTGTGATGCCTGGGATAGAACAGAAAGAGTATAAAAAGCACTCTCTACAAATTGAGCCAAGTCGAGGAGTCTTGGAGCCTACCTTTGCCACAGCTGGCGCATTTGGGAGCAAACATTCGATGGTAATCGTTGACGCAGTATATCTTGTGATCCACATCCACGGTGAAGGGCACACCGTCCAGGCACTCGTTGCAGACGCAGCAACGGAAGCAACCCGGGTGATAGGACTTGCCCATTGCCTGCAGGATCTGCAAGAAAGGGATTCCAGTGTTACGGTGTGGTGTGCTGTGGTGTGTGTTGTTTGTGGCATATACGAACCATTTCCATGATCAAATGCCCGCAAATAGCGCACTTTTCCGCTGTCTGCTGGAAGCCCGAATACTGCAGAGATGAATTGTTAAGGAGAGTTAGTTATATACATGGGATGGAATGGGAATGGGATTGAGAGATGAGGGATGGGGATCCCTACCATGTAATCCTCCTCGCAGTATACCCGTCCGTGCACATTGTAGAAGGCTTTGCCACGCAGCGCCCTGCCGCAGGAGCAGCAGATGAAGCAATTGGTGTGATAGAGATTACCCATGGCCTGGCAGGCCTGTCCGGCACCCTTTACCTTCTCCCCGCACGTATGACAAATGCCTAGAGGGGGGAAAAATGAGACGGTAACGGTATGGGGGATCTATTTCAGGCATTAAATATCTTTCGAAATACATACCAAAGTACTCGCCATGCTCCTCACTTTGCTCAATCTCCTCCTCCAGCTGGCGGGTGAGCTCCTCGATCTTACGCTGCGCCTCTGTCGGACCAGCCGGACGCGGCGGAGTCACGCTGTACGGCAGCAGATTCTTGGTTAGACCTGTTTCCGGTTTAAAGACAAGTCCAAGGATTAGCTCTAGCTTTCGCTTCTCTCTTTCTATCTCTCTCTCCCTGTCCGTCTCGTGGGTCTCTTGCTCAACCGATCCACATCCACTGAGGGAGGGACTGTGCCTGGGGAATCGATTGAGGTAAAGGACGAGACGACTACTTGGCCACAAGAACCGGTCGGCAACCGTTTGGTGCCAAGAGCGAACCGGTTTGTGATTTGAAACCCAACCCAACCCCAGAGACTTGGTTCCTACCTTTTCTGGGTCGCAAAGCGGCATTAACCGCTGAGTGGAAAGCATTTTAGTATGGGGGTAGAATGCAAAGGATATTAGTCTGTTTCGAATGGAACGATAGATCCATTCTAGGGGGGACGGGGACCCATACCTGTGCTGCCCTGCGAGGGCGTGGGTGATGTGGCCACCGCCAAGGGTGCTGACATCGCTATGGGCGTAGCTCGCAGCGATGATATTGCTGTGGATGACGCCGCTGCTGGTGTCTCCTGGACTGCTCGTTGTGGCATAGCCCCTGCAGCCGGTGCTGCTCTGCCAGCCACCACGCTGCCTGCGCCCAGCGGGCCTGTATTGCGATGCAGATTGGCCGTCATGCACACGTAGTCCGAGCTGTTGATGTCCTCAATGTAGTTGGGATTCACCGACACATTGATGCCAGCCCCATGGCCGCCGCCAGCTGGCGCCTGTGGGGGCGGTGGCATGTGCTGCTTGATGGGTGTGTGCTGCTGCAGCTTGGACACGGACATCGGCAGGGGTGACGGCGACGAGGGCGGCACGGGACTCAGGTGGCTGGGCAGCGACAGATTCCTATAGCGCTGGGTCGGCGAGCCCAGCGTGGCAGTGGGATGTTGCGTGTTGTTTGTGCTTATGCTGCGCTGGTGCATTGGCGACGAGAGCAGCGCGTTGAGATCCAGACCAGAGGACGCGGCGGAGGAGGCCACATTGCCCGGCATTTCCTGGTACATGGTGGCCGTGGCCGGAGAGGCCTGCGGCTGGGCACGCTGCCCGGAATGGGGTATGATGTTCTCGTATATGGGCGCCACCACCTCCTCCAGAGGTTCGCGTAGGTGGCCTCCGCTCCCAGCCACCCCCACCGCCACTGTCTCGGGCACAGGCGTGTGGGCAAACCTCCCACCGCCAATTGGCTGCATCAGCAGGTAGTCGTTCAGCATGGCGCTCTGCCGGCTGCCGGGGCTCTGCGGCTGGGCGCGCTTGTGGTTCGAGTCGAATTGTCCGTAGAATTCGAGGTTCTCGTACACGGGCGAGTGCTTCTGCGGTGCGATGCGCTGGCCCAGCACCTGTGCGGTGGGCGCATAGATTTGTGGGCTACCACCCCCATTGTTGATCAGCTGCTCGACGGGCTTGGGCGTGGCGTATTTGGAGGCGGCTATAATATTGCCGCGCTCGTACAGCTTGTAGTCGTGTGCCTGCTGTTGCTGCTGCTGCTGCTGGTGGTGATGCATCTGCTGCTGACCATCGTGGATGAAGTTCTCGATGGCCCCTGGCGAGCGTTGGTAGCCACGCATGCCACCGCCACCCCCACCCCCACCGCCACCTGACCCGATATGAAGACGCTGCATGAGCGTTTCGTAGTCGGACTCCGTGGAGGCGGCGCTGGTGGAATTTCGTTGCGTTCTCTGGGTGGTCATTATCTTCCCCTTCCTCCTTCTCTCTTGTCCAACGACTCTGACGCTGAGCTCTCTCACACTCACTCACGCTCTGCGGGGGGACGGGACGCCACCCAAATGGAATCTATCGGCTTTTGCCGGTCGAATTCCAATGTGCTTACTGCTTGGGGCTGAATGTCAATCAGAAATTTGACTTTTCATTCACTTGGTTACTAATTTTTAGCATTTTCTTTGTCGGAAATATTGTTGGGGATAGATTAGTGATGTAAAAAAACATCGATGCATCGAGCATCGGTGTTTTTCTGCCGATGTTTACTGATGTTTACCGATGTTTTTGCTGCTACCGATGTTGAGTGATGCATCGATGTTTTGCAAAACATCGGTAGTTTAATTTCATATCATTGCGTATTTGTCTTCTGTAAGCGATGCATCCGATAAATCCGATGTATCAATCCAACATCGATGTTTGATTTTGACAACATCGATGTTTTCATTCAAACTTACATCACTAGGATAGATGTTAGCCAGTGTGACCGCGGATTTATCGATAAAATGTATCGTCCGACCCTCAGAAATGTACCGAAACATACCGCCTCATTTAACAAATATACCATACGGACAGAAAACCTTTTTGTAAGAGTTGACATCCACTTAAAAAATGGTCCCAAAGAAAGTCCGAAATCGAGCAATATTTGAACTGTATTTTAAACTTTTTTTTTCACATTTTATTTATAAGCAAACGTAAACGCAAAATTTCTAAGGTCAAGAGCTACAAGAAACGGAAACAAATTTCTGAACTCAGGGCCGTAGCCGAGTCTAAGGAAATGTTTTTGATGTGGTCAACATACATAATTTCAAGTTTGCTTTGATATCTGTTCTCTGGATTTCTTAGATCTTTCATCATTTCATGAGATCATTTCATATCACGCGTTTCAATGTCAGAGAGTCATTGAGAACGGTTCCCTAGCCCCAAACGCAGTCTCCGTTTTCTTGGGGCATATTTTGTTATACATAATAAAAACGATAAATCATCAAAAACATCAAGCTTGCGTATTTTGAATAGTTTAGCCAGCTATAAACATATTAGCCAGTTTGGGTATACTTTATATTTTTTGAAATTTTGGTCTGCCGCGCATACAATTTGGTTAGTACAGAGATTGAAATATATTTATATTATGAAATATATTTGTAGAATATATTTTATGTAAATCTGTATATATATGTAGGAGCTAGTTGTTACGGCTCTTTTGGGAGGTGTGGGCTGCGGCGCATGCGCCCGACCTAAGAGTGCTCACTGAGTGATCCGCAGGTCTGGTTCACCTTGAATATATTTGAGAGCTCATCCAGCAGAGTCTCGTAGCGATAGGCCACTCGGATTTCGGGGACATTGGTGCGTGTGATGTCGTTACCCATAATCCCATCCTCGTAGTAGTGCGGTCCCAGCCACTGTTGTTTGGTCTGAAAGGCAAAGAGTTTTTCGGATCAATTGAATCGAATCCCATACGTTTTGGCGGCACTCACATTGTGGGTAAATCCGCTCATCATGACACTGTTTCTCGCCAGCTCGCACATGTCGCAGGAGCTGAGCTTCCACACCTGAGCCGCAATGCTGTACTCCTCCATGAGGGGTTCCTAACGTTTGAGAGAGATTTACCCAGAGGTTAAAGGTTGTTCGAAGGCATCAACGTGTTGTCTCTTACCTTGGTAAAGTGAAACTGCAATGGATCGTCCGTGGAGAGGGAGATGATCAGGCCGCGGGCCAAGTATTCCGGCAACGGATTGCGATGGTAATTGAGAAACAGCGAATTGTTGGACAGCGGCGACATGGCAATGCCAATCTGTGTCAGATAGTACAGATACTGCAGGACAGGCACCTTGCGCAACAGCAGGCCGTGTGAGATGTTCTCGGCCATGAGAAAGCCGCAGACCAAATGCTGAACAGGTCCAGCCTCACCGCAATGTGGCCGCAGCACAAAGGTGTTCATGCCGCGTGTTCTAAACGAAGGAAACATAAAGTTTAATATTGCAATGAACGGGGAGCGGACTGGCACTACTCACTGTCTAAACTTATTCAGCACCGTCATATTGGCATACATATAGTAGATGTAGTAGGCATAGGGAGGATTATCCTCGTAGGTCCATTCCTCGGGCCGTGGCACATCGTTGTCGAAGAGGGGATTCTCCGGCTTGGACTCGTCATCCACAGAGTCAAAGCCAATCACATACTGAAGGAAGCGATGCAAGTCGGGATGCTCGCTGGGCTTGTTGGTGGCCTGGAAGAGCGGCAGGAATATGTTGTTCAATATCTCCTGGAATGACTTCATCATCTTGTTCGACTTGAAGATGTCAAACAGTCGCGGTATCTGGATCAGCCAGCGTATGTTCGAGCTGTACACATCGTTGTCGATGGCCCACTTGGCCAGCTTGTTCCACTCATCCGGCGACTTGCCATAGATCGAGAGACGCAGCTCGGCGTTCTGATACTTGGACTCCTCCAGATCGAATGCCACTTCCTAAGTGAAGGAAAAACCATTACAAAAAACCGTTACATAGGAAGCAGGATGCAGGACGCACCTTTATAATTTGTGCAAAGTATTTGCCGTTCAAGAAGTTGTCTGTTTTAAGGAACACCTCCCTCAAACGTGACTCGCCAATCGGATTGTACTTGGAATTGAACTTGTCGAAGCGATGGAACGTATTGCGATCGGCATGGACGTCCAGCATGTCGACGGTTAGATCGTATGTGGTCAGATTCATTGATTGGAACACCTGGGCCAGCGTCATGGGCTGGCCATTGGTGCAGGTAACCACCTCATTGGCGCTGTTCTTCAGAGTCTTCTTGATGAACCGCAGCAGGTGCTTCTGGTTCATGCAGGAGGCGGCATGTATGTGGGTATCCACCTTCCTTGTGTTGTAAAAGTCCCGATGGGGCACCGCCTTCTGGGCGGCCAACTCCCGCAGTTCGTTCAGCAGCACATGCATCTGATACTTGGACGACAAATAGCAAAGGCGGCGATAGCAAAAGGATTTCCTATCGAAACGAAACAAGCCGGAACGAATCATAGCGAATTTGCAATCCAGTGATCGATCGATTAGTACTTACAGCGGTCCGTCGGCAATCATATTGCACATGACCTGCATGTCGTTGACGAACTGGCTCATGTCCGGATACACAAACTTGAGGTCCTTCGTTTGCTCCTGCAAAAAAGAAGGTTCGTTTAGGATGCTCGAGGATACTCGAGGTGGCTTTGCTTACCTCATCCTCGTAGACGTGAAAGACGCCATTGAGGGGCTTGATCACGTACGTCTCGTCTGGCGGAAAGTCCACGTTCCACGGATTCGACACCTTGTGATGCGACAACGGCTTCATATGGAAATCTGATCGATGGGTTTGTGTGTGTGTGTGTGTGTGTGTGTGGGTGTGGGAGGTATTCCCATTTGAAAATAAGAGTTTCGTTTAGTTGCAGAGGCGTTCATTGGACATAGGCAGGCGGTATATTAGTTATCACTAGGATCTACACACACAAACGGATACGTGCGCGAGTTCTGTATGATGTGTAAGTATCTTGTATCTAGTATCTAGGTTATCTAGGTTCTACGGTGTGGTGTCTTTCCTTTTGTACAAGGCTTTCGATGGTTCGGCGGAGAGAGACAACAGAGAGCGAGAGCGAAGAAGCGGAAGAACAAAGTGTGAGTGTGCAAAAGAGAGCTTTTAGCCATTTCTCTGTGTCGCTAGCACGTTGCTTCGATGTGCAAATTTACCATAAGCGAAAGGACAAACAGATGTTTAACATTGATTATCCCCAAAATTGTATCAAATTACATTAAATATGGGCATTTCCAGCCGATTTTAATAACACTAGGCAACGTTACGTAACTTCCCAAATCCCATTTGACCGTTGAAAACATTTTGTAAATAAAAAATTGTGCTATTGCAGAGGCGGCACCTTAACCGCCTAGTTGTAACGAATGGGAGATTAAGTAGGCCCAAGCAGGACTATTAGGTTGGCATGCCTTTCACTAGAAATAGCCGGAGTCATTCGGAGCTCGCTGTTTGTTCGGAATACTCTCGGTAGTAAAGCCTTCCAGTTGAAGAGGGAATTGGCTGAGCGGGGTTTACCGACGAGCTGTAATGGAGAGAGCAGGCCTCAATGTTGAGGACCATGAGTTATTGAATGAGGTTCTACTATGGTGGAGCACCGGCCGGCGGCGGACAATGGCCAATTGATGGCCATGACAGCGAAAATGGAAGATCACGGTGATGCGGAGGTGCAACAGCAACAGATAATGCCAGACTAGCTAGATTAAGGATCAAAGATAAGAGTCTATGGCACAACAGATGGAAGAGAAATGTCATGACACGATTCGAAAGGTCAGCGTCGAGGAATAATTGGACAAAGGACAAAGGCGCGGCCTCTTTGAGGTGCTGCAGTCGATTTCCTATGCGGATCGTGCCCTGAAACTTCGATATGGTGGTGACATCGCTTGGAGCTGTACAAGTCTGAAGTCAAAAAAAGTCTGTTTGGTCCGAGCCGGTAATATGGTGTTGCATAGTGCTATTAATCCTCTTTAAAGGATGATTTTAATAGGTTTTTACTTCAAAGTTAATGAAATGGTCTGCAAATTATTGAAGTTAATTAAGTTTAAGGGATTTAGAAGAAATTATGCGGTATATTCTTGTATGGGCTCGGTGAATCTTTCGGTGGAAATGCCCATACATATATAAAATAAGCAGAGAATAGGATATGTTTTATTGGGTTTGGTTGTGGTTGGCAATCAAGAATTTTGTTGGGGGTCGAACCAGCGGCTGGCGGCAAGCGGAATACCCGCCTGCTGCTGAAGAAAACACTTCCATACTCCCGGGGAGCGGCGGCAATGCATGTTCGTGTGTGTGTGTGTGTGTGTGTTCGTGTGCGTGTGCGTGTACTTGCCTAACAAAAAGCTCACTGCTGCGGGGCATTCTGTTAGCTTTCGGCTAGAGCTGAAGCTGAAGCTGGAGTGAGCGAGCGAGCGAGAGAGTAGTAGCGGAGTTAACAGTTAAGATTGCAAAATATTAGAAGAGCAAAGCAACTAAAGAGAAACAGAAACAGTAACGGTAGCGGTAGCGGTAGCGGGTAATGCGTAACGGTGGTTATGTGAGAAAGGGGAACGCATATGCAGAGGGGTAGGGGTGGGGGTGGGTGTGCGCACGCATTACCTGGTCTGGTCAC